CAAGGGCTGATGGGAGATGTGCCACTGTTTGGAGGGAAGATGGAGACCGGTAGAAACTCGTCATGGGTAGTTAGCTCACAAATGTGTGAACACAGGACAACTGCGCAGAAAGAAAACTGCACAGTAACCATTCACATGTGTGAATGGCCCTCTCTCTCTCTCTCTCTCTCTCTCTCTCACACACACACACACACACACACACACACACACACAGGTAGAACTGTGGCATTTACATGGTTGTCTGTTCTGCCACAAGTTTTGCAGTCTTCCTAGTCTTGCTGTCCCAGCAAGGCAGCAAAAAGAAAATGTTTATCCAGCCCTACAGAGATGGCAGAGGGGCTGTGTTTGACTTGGTAGAAAACAATAGTTGTGTCGGCCTGTACTACAGCTTGATAAAGTGATTTAATTTGGGGGATTAGTGGTGTTGTACACACACATTCAGGACCAACCCAGCAAATGGTGCTCCTGCCCCAGCCCCATCCACTAGCACCTGAGCCAGAAGCCCAGAAGCTCCTCTTCCTTTCCTGGAGATAAAAACTCTAGACATGTACATGTATTATTATATATGTATTATTATATTATTATTGCATTTACAGCCCTTTCTTTTCCTCTTGTCAGTAACCCAAGGCAGCTTACCATTTGATACTTGCAACAACAACAATCCTGTGAGGAAGGTTGGGCTGAGAGTCTGTGACTGGCCCAAAGTCACCCAGTGAACATCATTGCTGAATGCGGTCTAGAACCCCGATCCCCCAGGTTCCTAGAGCAACACTCGAATCACAATGCCATGCCTTCCTTTTCATGATACCTTAAATTTAGCTGCCTAAATTCTCCTCCTCCCCAAAATTCTCCACGCAGCCATAGGTCAGAGAAGGTCAGCTGGCTGCTCAAGCAGCAGGAAGGACCCAAATGCCTATGGAAGCATTTCTTTCCATCTCAACCTGTTTTTACTTTAAGATCACCTGATGAGGCTCTGCTGGGGACCTCCTTTATGCGAAGTATTCAGTATACTCTAATTAAGAACAAAGGAATGGGAGATTTCAGCAGTAGTGCTCTGGTCATGGAATGGCCTCCTTAAGAGCAAGGATGGGAGCATGTGGGGCCCATGTACATACGTGGTGTTTTGGAAAACTGTTCTGAACACCACTGCAAAATGCTAGAGCAGGTCAAATCTTGAAAGCACCCTGTCTTCATGTTGTCCTGGTAAAATTGGGTGCCTCTCTGTTTGTCTTTTAGCATTCTTTATCTAGGTTTGAATTTCCCTTTGATTTCTTGGATCTTCTGCAAGAGGTCTCTTGGTTTTCCTCTTTGCTGTTCTCTTCTGCTTCTTTGCACTGGTTATTGTAATGGTGCTTTTTGTCTGTACCTGATAGCTGCTGAAATTTGCATTCAGGATTCTGACCCTATTTTTGTCACATACTGCTTTTGCTTTTTGCCTGTCCTTAGCAACCATGAGTATTTCTTCTGTCATCCAGTTAGGCTTTTTCTTTCTTCTTGCTTCAGGAATTTGGCATTCTTCCCTAATAATTCTCTGTTTTCAGTTCACAGTTCTTCTCACTCATGGTCAGTTAAGTTGAGTAATGCAAATCTGTTCTTTATGTGAACTTTAAATACCTCAGCAAAGAAATTTGCTTTCTGTATTGGCCATCTGGTGATGTCCATGGATTCACTGAAGTATGTACTTATTTGCAATAATCCGACTGTTGCCCTCAGAATTCTATGTCATTCTCTTGCTTTAACTGGATTGACTATCTCTTCCAAGTTCCTTCCCTCATTTTAGAGAAGTTTCTCTTAGGATTCTGTTGGGCTGCCTTGGCAACCTTCCACTTAAATATAAATCAAATTAGATAACACTTTGGTCCCATTGATTCAACAACACTCACATCTCACACCAGGTCCTGGGCAGCACCTCACAGGATAAAGTCCAAGCTTGCCCCCAGCATACTCTGGTCAGTTCTAAGGCACAATCATTCAGGGCACTAATAAATATATTGCTTTGCGGTAAGTGTCATAAGCATCAAACCAGTCACTGGAAGAAGTTACTGAAGTCAGCCATTAATTACAGTGCAACCTTGTTTAGAAGCCTTCCTGACTTGGTTTTCCATCACAAGCAAAACCTGAGTTTTTGTTCAGGGGGAAAGATAGGATATCCCCAGTATTAAACTACCTTTTGGAATGTGTTATTGTCTGCCCCTTTTAGGTTTTCCAATCTACTTGACGCTATGCCCTCTTTGAGGTACCAGTCTGCCTGATCTTCCTATAGAGTTTATATCCAGAAATTATCATATCCCACAGGCTTTCTCCATTCCATCAGGTTTCCCTTATGGCCTCTGTATCTAAGTTTGCCTTTAGAAACAGTCCATCCATCCCTTCAGCCTTGGTTCAGAAGATTCTAGCATCAGCACAGAAACCGGGATTCATGGTCACCTGCCCCCCAGAGTCTCTGACATGCCTCTTCTGCTATGGCCTTCAGGTCTCTCTGAGTAGCTATTAGGCGTCACTGTTTGCCCATGGCCTATTTCCTCCCTGTTCCCTTTTAGACAATCAAAACACTTTCTTTTTCATCCCTTGGGAACAATTCGGCCTGAACTGCTCTGATATCATTTCAGTGTTAAGTGCCAGCAAATGGATTTCTTTCTGATTATTCCTTCTTGTATAGGCTTGGCTTGCCCCAGAGTGCTCCCCAGTGCCTGGTGAATCCAGACTCCTTCTCCCTACAGCACCGTCTCATCCACCCATTGAGATTCCTCCACTTCACCTGACTAGTTGGCCCTAGCTGTGAAAGAAGGTGGCATTTCAGAGAGAGCCAATTGAGGGTCCTTTCAAACTCCTAGCTTTCAACTTACACGTGGCTTCCAGGACCTCACAAGTATGTTCTCCCATGTCACTGAAACCAACCAGTGCAACCAAGCATATCTACAAAGCTGAAGAGACATTGCATTGTATCTGCTAGCTTTGTCCCAGGTAGCTGATACACCAACAATGGTCTATGTTTCTAATTCAGGAATCCCTATTACTCCAAGCCCTCTCCCCACAAGAGGCATATCCTTGACACTGAGGATATGGGGAATAGGTCCCCTGAGGGAACTGCCCAGAAAGTTTCCTGTTGTGCAATGTCCAGAGAGCTTCAACAATTGGGCAGGATAGGAACATACAAAAACTTCAAGCCCTCTTTCCCAGAATGCTCCCCTCCTTCCATGATACCCCTATTCTCCATAACAACTGAGGGACCTTGTTTCCTGGTATCCAAAGTTCTCACCCTCCACCCTTTCTGCTTCTCTCGGTTTCTCTAGCTCTGTGACCTGTTACAGACCTGTTAATTACAGGGCATGCACACCCATGACTCCTGTCCAGCTGGTAGATAAGCATTCACTGGATTATTAGTTTCATATCGTCATTGCTTCATTTGTTTATCCAAGAAACAAAGTAGATTGCCCAGGCGTTCTTGCCATGCTGGTAAACTCACAGAGGTAGCTAACTGGTGTGTGTTCAGCTTAACTTGCACGTATACGTAACTTATTTTTACCACGGTGCTTTGCCAAGCTCAGTACACCAGGTCCCCTCACAAGCTGCTTTATATGTCCACAAGCTTCCCCAATTGTTGCTGCAGCCAATAAAATTAGAAGGGATCATTTAAAAAACAAGGGAGGCTATGCTTCAACTGCTAACCAGAACTAGGTTCCAGTGACGGGAAATCTTGGACAGCTGAGCTCCCTCGGAATGGAGATTTCTAATCATGTGGACAAGTACCTGTCCGTTTAGAAGTGAAACCAGGCCATCAAAAATGAGGGAGTGATGTCTGCCTCCTTGGGGGATTTCCCAGGTATGCAGAAGTACACAAGTTCTTATACACAACAGAAAGGGGTATTGGCTAAGTATTATAAGCAGCTTCCAGCCCTACAATATTCCCCAGAAAGTTTCTCTCCCAAGGGCTTCTGAATAATTCCTCATTCTTTGCTTGCCAATATCTTTCCCCACCCATCTTTTCTTGAGCTTTGGCTCTGCCTTCTTCACATTGTATACCCATGGTTCAGGAGGGCGCTGCACAGATGCAATCTTGCTTGAGCAAAATAGTCTCCTGAGCACCTTGATATTTTACCAGAGATTGACAGAGATTTAAAAAGAGAGAGAGGCTTTAAAAGTACATACGCAACCACGGACTGAAGCAATAAGGCAAAGTAAAACCACATGTTTCCATTCCAGACTTTTAGTTTGCACTCACTGCCCCAAAACATAAATTTGCCTGGGCTTTAGAAGTCATCTTTTGTTTGTAACACTTTCTGTTTTCCCACCACTTTTTCAGTTATTTTTCTTACCACAGTCCCATAAGGAGGGACTGTGTAACGCAAGGAGGGACTGTGTAATGACTTGGTTCATGTGTAACGCAAACTAAATAAATCACCCACAAGATTTTTCATTGTAGCAGCAGCCACTATTTTGAGTGTTCGGGGCATGATGGGGTACAACAGAACCCAGCAAGAACAAGCCATCTAACACCCAGGGGCTGTTTTAGGGTTGCAGGCAGTTTGTCACCCACACCAACAATTCACCTTTACCAGGTGCATCTGTGACAAGCTGTTGTGACTTTCCTGCCATGCCACAAATATTTGAAATGGCAGCAGCGGTCACAAGAAACTCGATGGGAAAATGTACTGATCACAGCTTATTGTTATGTGCAAAATGAGTAAATGTCTTTTGGTTGATAGTGCTAGCGCTTGGCCGTCATCTGATGGCCTGAAATGCCAATGTTTTCTGAATGACAAAATACAGAGGCAACTTTGGAATTTCCTGCCGAAACAGCCCGTCTAAAGGCATCCCTGCCAAGTCTGGATCCTACCCAATATATCCATTTCCCTACCACCTCGAAAATGAATAGCTTCAAATCAGCTGGTGTCTCCATGGGCCATACAGTCTGACTCTCAAGTGTTATCGTCAACTCCTGTCCCAACCCAGGTGATCTTATCTTTAAACTAGAAATGAGTGGTTAACTGGCAGCCTCCAGTTCTGATCTTGTCCCTGATTTTGAGCCAACCCTTGCAGCAATTTTATTAGCTCCAGGCAGCCCCATTACATTTTGATCATTTTCCCCTCTCATTGTTTCATTTGTAGGGCCAGGGAAATGTTTTCAGGTTGAAACATTACCTCTCTCCAGCATGTTTGATATAATAGATAGAATGCATGCATATTTATGCAAAAGCATGTGTGTGCCTTGACTGTGAAGCACTCACTGCCAGATGCAACCATATTTCCATGAACTTTTATGGTTCCCAGATCCTAAACCATCTCACTCAATGGAAGCAACCAATAAGAGGTAGCTACCAATGATTTGGCTATAGCAGATGAAAGCTACTCCAACATCATTTTAAATACTTTCTGCCTCCTGAGAAGAGAAGAGAAGAGAAGAGAAGAGAAGAGAAGAGAAGAGAAGAGAAAGCTATCCATCCAGCATGGTACCCTGCCTGGTCCTTTCTCTCTCCAGTCTGTACGCTGGAGAATTGCTTTTATCAGACTATTAGGTTAGATCCAGAAGTATGAACCAAACCTTGAAAAGATAGCCCTGGCTTCTTTCAGGAGGCATTTGTTCAGCAAGATAATAACTTGATATGAATTCATCGTGTTCAGGATCTACTCATTACACCTCCATTCTTCCAGTGCCAGTACAAATGCAGGTCAAGAGCATAGATTGCAACATTAAAGCTCTCCCTCCCATAGTGCAATCTTCTCATGGACTTCAGTAACAACATTCCAATAAGAATAACTTGTTCCTACTGCTCCCACACAATTGCTGTAATATCTTGCCATTTCCATGTGAGGGCCATCCTCTTTCTCCACCCCGGGATGCCCAGTGGCCGCATATGCTGTGTTACCAAGCTGTCAAACCACTCATTAGACTTCTTCAGAACTGCAGGTCTCCACGCTGCTCTCCACTTGCACCCGTCACCACCATGGAGCTGTTCCAGTGCATGCAGTTGCTACTCCCCAGCTTGTTAATTGGGATCTATCTCCTTTAACACCGGAGCATCACCTTCAACACCACCTTCAACTTCTTCTGCAAACTGGCTTTCTTCAATGGTTGGATTTTTCTCATCTCCATCATACTGTCCCTCGTTTTAACTGCATGCCAGTGGCGATCAGTGGAAAACATGAAGTCAGTTCTATCTTCAACATCTGGTTCTATCTTTAACTTTTCAGAATGGTCACATCTATGGGAACGAGATGACTCGTGGCACCAGATGTTTCCCCTTTCTCCCAATAATAGGCCAGTGACCTCAAGGTTCACCTCTTGAGCCTAGTGGACAGGACTTTCTCTACCAAAGCTGATGATAGGTCTATTTGAACATTCCTCCAGTTGCTGAGCCATGGATAGTCCATCATCAATACTCAAGAAAGTAGGAGGTACACTTCCCTTCAAGAAGCAAGAGGGCATCACAGAAGCCTCTGGGACTCCTTGAAAGGGGGTGGTGGTGCCTTTGGATAGCACTTTTGGCTTGGTTTACATCAACTCCTAAGTGATTTGGCTGAAGGCTGGTACTGACCAAGCCAAGAACAGGTCCATTGTGTGTTGCCTCGAGAACATGTGATCCCTATCAGCTCTGTGGGTTGCTATGTTTCTCCAGGCAGACAGCCCTCTTTAGTTCTGGGTTTCCCAAGATAAGAGGGAAACGGGGGTAGTGGTGACAACCTACCAAGTACATTGAAGCATGCAGAACTTCCCTGCCTCGCAAGACTGTTATTGCATGGCAATCCTTTCAGTCATTCCTTATGAATTTGGTCTTTTTAACAAAGAGCAGTATGGCACATTAAGGACTAACATATGGATTATGGCAGACAGTTCCGTGCATAAAGTGTTACCCTAACTTGGCAGTTACATATATCTCATTGTGGAAAGCGTGGGGAATAGTTAATGCGAGGTGAGATGGAAATGAAATGCAAAAGGCACAGACGACTGCAATTATATTGAACCATAGATGTTAAATCTTTGCAGTGACCATTCAGCAAAATAATGTCGATGGAAACACAAACATCCTGACAATGGACAATTAATTTGATACTTGCCATGGCGGGAGAAAAGACCATTATATAGATTTAAGTTACAGATGATAGAACTGAACCTCTTGATAGGCTCTAAGTCTGTAGTTTCATACTAAAGCTCTTCTTTGGTAAACAGGTGTTCATCTAGGTTTAAACCTCCCCTCCACAGCTGGGTAGTAGGCAAGAGTGTGTGTGTGCGTGCGTGAGAGGGAGGAGAATGTGAATGGGGCTATACTGCTTGGACTCTATGGCCTAAATGGCCCATTACAACTCTGATTCTAATACACTGTATATATTCGAATGCACTACATATATAGTGCATTCAAAAAGTTATTTAAAAATTCAACATCAAAAGCAAGAAAGGAAACAAACAAGAAAATTTTACATTGTATAAAGGTTAGGAATATCAGTTGCAAAGAATATATATTTTATTTATTTATTTATTTAAAACATTTCTATGCCTCCCCATCGCAATAAAGCCTCGGATATATATGGAGTATATACATAGGAGTTTATGCACATATGTATTACACGTACATAAGGAAATATGCTACCATTAGTAGAACTAATTAAGCATAAGTTTCAGGAAAGGCAAGCCAAACTCCATCCATGTTAGGTGGAGTCTAAACACCTGTCCAAAGATTCAAAGCATTATTAGATCTCAGTCCACTGGATTATTGGGGGTCGCTATTATGCTTCCAGTGTTGTACTATCAGTCATTTAGCTGCCAGAAAGGTGTGGAAAATCCATTTACACAGATCTTATTTTAGATCACAAGAGGCAAGCAGAAATTTAAGTAGAACATGTAGATCTGTAAATACTAAAGAGTCCAATACAAATTCATCCATATTATAAACTTTTTCCAAAAGAAGGAGGCTGTTTGACATTGGCCAGGTCTTTTATAATCTCCATCCTCTATTTTATTGTATTATAAGCTGCTTTGAGAACTTCAGTTATTAGCTGCTGTATGAATACTCCAAATAAATATTTATATGGTGTTCTTCTTTTCCCACATAAACCAGCCTCTCCAGCCCCCCGCCCCTCCTCTCTTCACAGGATCCTGTGCCTCTGCATTCTGCCACTCAAATATTTCTATGGGCTTAGACTCACAGTGCAGGGCTCTGAAAATCTGAATATCAAGGAACCCTACATGATTGTTTCCAACCATCAGAGTTATTTAGACCTTCTTGGTATGTTGCTAGTGTGTCAAATCCTTTTTGCATTTGAATTGTATTAAGTGCATTTCCATCTTCTTAAAAATGATGAGATGAGAGCACAGGATGAATCTGAGAGAAGAGAAGATGGGAACACACAATTCTAAATGAGAACTGGAAAAAATATTCTCCTAAAATAAGGACAGTGATTTTAAGTCTCATCTCTCCAAATCTGAGTCACTAGATCCAAAATATTCCTATTCTAAAATGTGGGTTTCAAAAATTAGATTTAAAATTGATATTCAGAATGGTCTTTAAAAATCCTCCAACACTGGTGCTGGAGTTCTGAATTTGCTCCCTCCTTTCTTTTCTTCTTTGTGTTGTCCCTACATAAAAATCCAAATATGTACATTGGACATGAATTGAAATAAGCATCTTCATTTACTAAATAGGTAGCCAGAACTCTGAATATTTGGGTAAACCAGATTAACATAATTCAGGGAGGGGGTTCAAACTCATAAGGATCAAATGGTTTATTACTGGAAAGCATTTAGTACACTGGAAATGCTATGAAAATATAATGACTATTTTCTTTCACCTTTACTGGAACTCCAGTGTTGCCCAGATGGGGAAGGCAGCAGGTAAGCTGAGAGAGGGAGAGGGAGGTTCAGGAGGAATAGTTTCTGGTCCGTTGTACTTTTCTGCTTAGGGAGTCTTGGGCACCTTATCAGCCAAGAAGCTCAGTTTCTTTCTTCCCAAGGGATGATGGAGGTTCTACCAGATCGTTGCATTGCCTTTGCCCTGCTGTACATGGGCCCGGTGGGGCTCAGCTGCTGGTGCTGCAACTTCATTTTCATTGACCGCAAGAAGAGGAGCAAAGCCATTGAGACGACCGAGCACATTGCATGGATCATGGCACAGGAAAATGTAAGCATGGGGGAGAAGGATATAGGACTGGGAGTTGATGAAAAGTTGAAGAGTTATCAAAGTACAGTGGTACCTTGACTCACGAACTTAATCCGTTCCACGACTCTGGTCGCGACCCAAATTGGTCATGAGCCAACTCAAATTACCCCACAAGGTTCAATGTAAATAAGGTTAATCCATTCTGCAACTTTTTTTTTTTTTTTTGAAATCACAAAAATTTGAAGCAAAGTGACAAAGAACAACAAAGATCGTGGCCATCTACCACCCCCCGCAACATGGCTGCGATCACGCCCGTGCAGGGAAGACGGGCGTAATTGCGGTCGTCATCCGATTTGGAGTTTGCAACCTGCAGCAAAATTTTTCTGAAATTTCTGTTCATGACCCAATTTGGTCATGAACTGAGGTGTTTGTGAGCCGAGGTACCACTGTACCATGAGATGAAGGGACTTCATGTACATTTTAATCTATAGCTTCCCCTCCTCTTCTCTTCTCCCTACCCCTACTTGTTCAGCTGAGGGTCTGGGTTTACCTAGAAGGTACCAGAAACCCCAAGGACACCATGCTTCCCTTCAAGCGGGAAGCTTTCCACCTGGCTGTGAAGACACAGGTAAACCTTCCAATTGTGAATATAAAATCGGTTGAGGGAGCTGGGGGTGGTGGGGGCCTGCAAGAGCCACTGCCAGGTAAAAACCAGGCCATGATGGTCCACATTGACAAGTTCTTGCCATCAATTTATTCGAGGCTGTTCCTTTAACTAGTAGCTATTTCCTTCTTGCCCTTTTTTATGCTGCTTCTACCTATTTAATTGGTTGTTCTCCAATTCACTTTTTGGAATTGGCCCTTAATTAGTTCCCATTCTCTGAGAAGGGTAGGTAATTTAATTACAGGTTTCCTACTTTCAGCCAGAGTGGTTGCTCATTATTTTATCTGATATTTCACGAGCGCAATTTTACTGTTGTGATCATAGAAAAATACATATTTAAACTACATTTTACATTGTTTTACTTCCTCTCACCCTTCCTTTAGTCACAATCTTAGGATGGGGGTGATATCAAAAGAGAAACATTGAAATATACAGAGTCATGGACAGATTCACGAGGGAGGAGGCTATCAGTGGCTACTCGCCTTGCTGGCTAAGGGCTGCCTCCTTTGCCAGAGCTGGCTGCCTGCATGCACCAGCTGCTGGGGAGCATGAAAAAGAGGAGGCCTTGCACCCATCCTGGTTGAGGGATCCTGTGGGCAGCTGGTTGGCCACTGTGTGTGGAGTGCTGGGACCTCGGGACTGATCCAGCATGGCTTTTCTTATGTTCTTATGCAAGGAGTCCTGCAGCACCGTAAAGACTAACACACACTTTATTTATTTATTTATTTATTTAAAACTTTTGTATGCCGTCACCACATGCCTTGGCATCTCGGGACAGCTCCCAATATACCCAATTAAAAACAGTAGCATGATCTGTAACAAATTCAATAAAAGATTACATAAGAGGGGAAAAAACGAAAACAGAAAGAGCGAATGTTCAACTATAAAATATTAGTTTTTAAAATGGCGATTAAATATCCATTAAAATCCATTTTAATCGATTTTAATCGATTAAATATCGATTAAAATCCATATTTTATATGGATTTTAACTTGTTTTATCTATGTTGTAAGCCGCCCCGAGGCTTCGGCGAATGGGGCGGCATAAAAATGTTTTAATAAATAAATAAATAAAATAAAAAGGGTTTAACCCAGTGCCGAAAAAAATATAAACTCAACACTAGGCACAGCTCTCCACGGAGCGCATTCCATAATCTGGGCACCACCACAGAGAAGGCCCTGCTTCGGGTAGATATTATGACATTAGCTTTCATGGACTAGAGACCATTATGGCAGATGCATGAAGGGCAGGCCTGTTTGTTCCACTAGAAATGCCAAGCAATACTGGAATAAAGGTTGGCTTGGTGCTTTGTCCCACGATGTATCAACGCCCCCAAAATTAAAACCTCTGTCCCTATTCAAAGGGAGTTTAAAGACGCAACGCAGGCAATGTGTCACTGAAGCATGTGATGTGGGCCTGCCCTTCTGTTTCTTTTTGGACAGACGCTACTGCCTGCATAAATTATCTGTGGTAAGTGTGGATGCTCATGCATTTTGAAATTATACTCCTGTGATTTGAGGATTTACAGATGGGCAGAAAAAGTGGGCTTTGCAGAGAGGTAGGGTTGGGAAGGGTGTTTAATTCAGGTATGGGCAGGAAATAGATACCCAGATCCTTCAGATGGGATCAGAACTATCCATGCAATGCCCTTGTAGTGAAGCTATTTGTGGGATGGAGTTCAGTAATTCCTATAATGCTCACAAGAAAAGCTGCAAGGTATAAGGAGCCCCACTGAATCAGAAGGTGTTCCCTTCCCCAGCTTTGGACTTTCTCTTGCAGCTTCCTTGGCCATGTGTTGGCAGGTGTCTCTGGGAGCTGAAGCCCCCAAACCCCAGAGATCTACCTTCTGCCCACTTCTGGCTTAATTCATGAGCATAACTCCAAGTTCCTGAACTGTTGATTGTCTTTTATCACACAGGTATCCATCATCCCCATTGTGACATCCTCTCATAAAGCCGTCTACAGCTACAAAGATAAGGCATTAAAGCCAGGTGAGTTTGAATTACAAAGAAAACCATTCCTATTAAGTGCTCCTTCTCCTCCCCAAAATACCAGCTGGGTAACAGGACTATTAATAGGTAGTCAGATCTTAGAGCTGCTCTTCTTAAGGACAATCAGAAGCCTACAGGAAGAAATTTAGCAGATGAACCTTCTTTCCCCATCACTTTCAGCACAATCATAATCAGATATAACTTCTGCTGTTTTCAATGCACCTTGTTCCCAAGAAGGTGTGTGTAAGATTGCAGACTTAATTTCGATGCAAAAGTTCATCTACTTTCTTCCTATTAGGCACCTGTTAAAAGTAAAGGCATAGGCAACTTCTGTGTCTGAGTGAGTGAGTGAGTGAGTGAGTGAGTGAGTGAGTGAGTGTGTGTGAGAGAGAGAGAGAGAGAGAGAGAGAGAGAGAGAGAGAGAGAGAGAGAGAGATTTGAATAACATTTGCAATTAGATCTGAACCAAGTTTACATGCATATGGACGCACTCTTAGAAATGATTATTGTAATTTAAATGAAAATGCAACATATTGTTGCTATTATTTATTACATTACTATACCACCCATAGCTGAAGCTCTTTGGGCAGTCTACACAAGGTTGTATATTCATATTACATCTACTATAATATGGAAGTCTGCAGTCCTGTGACTGGGGTGCCCCTCAACCTGGTGTCCAGGTGCTTACCACTGATTGTTGCTTTCAAGTCCCCTGCCTATTGCTACTCAAGGTTCTTTATCTTGAAAGAGGACATGGACTGAAGAGTCCTTCAAAGAGAGGATGCCATCAAATAGAGGACTGTTCTCTGGTAGCCCTTCAAATACAGCACTCTCCTCTGTTTAGTAGGGCTCATGACACTAAAAAAGGTGCACATAACTCATCCATTCTGGCCAGACTACCAAGAATGTGTTGTGTATGAGTGAAGAAGCAAGAACAGTAACATTAGATCTGGATAAGTTTAGGTACTCCTCGTGGTAAGAAGGATATTGCTGGAGCAGGGGTGTTGGAGCAATCCTCAACGGATTCAAAGGAGGTCAGATTTCTGTGAATTTGCCCAGAGGATCCTGCATCAGACTGCCTTTTCTTGGATCATCCAGATTCCATAAATCTGAGGACTAGTTTTTTACTTTGTTTATACGCAGGTGTGCAGGTGTGTATTAAGTATTAAGTAACAGCCACTTGTGCTAAGTGCATTTGCAAACAAACAAAATTCTTGTACAAAAAAAAATCTGATGCCATCAATGAGCAATGGAACAAAAGTCCTCTGATAATCTATAAAGCAAGAGTTAGCAAATCTCTGCCCTGGAGGAATGTGGATATGTACTGGCAAGCACAGCTAAGCAGGGCTGGGTGGACCTAGAGCAGTTAAAAATGGGGAGAAGCATTTTTATTGCAGGGCTGGTTCATGGGACTTGCAATCTACTTTTTAACACTAGGACTTTTTAACATCGACAGTGCAAGCCTGCCCATTTTGGACCTATTCACACACAGAGCATAAATAATCTGATCCTGAGTGTGCAAGGTTATTTAAAGCATAAGACGTGCCTTATTGGGTCCATCTGAGGCACTCCTGATCACAGCATCCTTAAGAACCCCCATCGTTAGATGCTGCTGGTGGATTACTTTTACAAAGTGCTAATTTCCAATCGCCCTGCTCTACAGTATAGCTTCTCTCTTTAGAAAAATCCTAAACCTCAGCACGGTACTCTTTCCAGCTAAGTGGCCGAAGGCTGCCAGTGTGATGTTTAAAAGGGCTTCTGGGTAAGAATTTAATGTCCAATTACCCTCCTTTGAGCATGGAATTAGCAGGGTGAAGTCATCTACTTGAATCTCTCCTGTATTTTCTTCCTTATTTTTTCTTACCTCAGATCATTTCTTAGGGTGCACCCCTATGCCGTCCAACATCGTCTGTGGGACCATAGGATTTTTTGAAGTCAGGTGGCTCAGTGCTTGGACTCCCAGGCTGAGCTCTCATCCCTTTGCAGCTTGCATGGGCAGGATCATGCTGACTGCTTCCCTCCAGTGTGTGACTGGGCCTTGGGGGAGAAACAGGGGTAGGGAAAGGGGAGGAATCTGCAAGTGGAGAGCTGTGGAGCTGCAGCCCATCCTCCTTCCCTCCAACCCCCCTTTGCTAAATTGAGTTGGTGAAAAATGCAGAAAAGTGCAGAGATGATCGCTGCCACCAATTCTTACACCTTGCAATGGATTATGTTGCCCTCTGAGTTCAGAGGTTTAGGAGCATCCGCCAAGGGCACAATAGGATCATGTTCCTGAGGAGGGAAGGAGGAATGATGCCTTTTGATGGGTAGCACTAGAAGCACCCAAAGGAAGTTGAGGATGGGAAACACCAATAATGGAAGCGGGGAGATGAACTCTCAGGCTGCACAAAGATAAAAACTGCATTGGCACAATGCATCGTGCAAGACGCTGCTTTAAGGATACTTAAGAAACACATCAATGTGTTCTCTGTACTGCAGGGTTTTTTATGCCAAAGTGTGTTGGACCATTAAAATCTTTATGTTTGTGCACCTTTCAGATTTAATTTCCCTCTCCCCTGTAAACAAAACTAAACAAAACTTACAGGATTAGTTGCACATGAAAAACTGAAGGCTAAGTGAGAGCTCTTCCTAGCATCCATGTAGCAAAAAGAAAAAAACAACAGCCATTGTTGTTATTTGAGAAGAGAATTGAGACATGGGTTTATTATCCCACTGAAAATGTGGCGTAACTGGGAATAAACCTCACTGTACTGAGCAAGGCTTTCTTCTGCATAGCCATGCAGAACATCCCTGCTTCTTGTTTGACTTCGCAGCAAACAGCCTCTCACCATCTTTTCAGCAGTTGTTCCAAACTGCTCAGGGATTAATTGCCCCAAGCTTCCCAGGGTGTATCCCCCGGCGTTCCTCCTTTCCCTCTAATTAATGAAGGGTCACTGCCCTTGCTTTCTGATATTGCTGTGCAGTCCCCAAGCGATGTGACATGTCAGGGCAGGGCTATTTGCGCTGCCTTCCTTTTGAGGCCCAGATCAGAGGAGACCTGTGGGATTTTGTAGTGTTTGGTCACTTTACAAAGACACACACAGGCCAGCTGCATGCATGATGCTGCCAGACAGCCGATCCCCTAACTAAAGCGCACCAGATCCCCAGGGAGAAGTCGCATGCTTCCCCACTCACGCACTCCCTCTGCTTTGCCCACTCCTTCTCTGCTCCAGAAGCACCTTTTCTTCCCTGCAGCACACAGAGCTCGACGGCCTTAGCTAGTGTTGGAAGAGTGTACCAGACTGCCTGCCCCAAACTCTGATCGGTTTTCCGCTGGAGGGATTTCCGAGAAATCTCTGCATCAAGAAGACAACTCCTCACCATCAGCTCTCATAACGAGGCTGCCCCAGCCAATCTGGAACATTAAGAAATATTAATTTTCTTTTGTCAAGCCCAGGTTGTCATCAGTCCTCACACATTTAAGGCAGCCCAGTGATAGGCCTGGTTTGAGCATCACAGTATTCCAGAATGACAGAGAAGAAGAAAACATGCTGATTCTTGGCCACTCCGGCTAAGCTAAACAACCCAGGAATGCTTCATTTTTAGGTAGTTAACTGTGATGTCCAAACCTGTAGCTCACTGGGGAAGGAACAAGCCAGATTTGTAACTCAAAGGAAGGTCCTACTGCAACCGAGCTTATGTCAGACTGCGCTGCATGGCTATAATCACAAGGCCTAGTGTGATTGCTCACACTTTACTAATCCAGAAGTCTCACTCAGTCAGGCTGACCTCCCCAGGACCTTACAGAGGTGGAGTTTAGGCATGTACCAAGACCAAAATTCTTTAAAGCTTTATTTCCAAAGACAACCAAAGCAATGCAAGTCCTCAAACTGAGACAGCTGCCACCCAAGATCCTGCCAGACAGCAGGTAAGGAGGGCTGACACCCAACCCTCCTTTAGGAAATGCGGTAGAGTAGATACAGCCAACAGGAAAGTCATCTACTCATTCATATTTGCACATGCTGGCCAGGTAAGGGCATATTAGATGAACTGGCATATGCATACCTGGTGCAAGGTAATGTGGTATTGCCCAACTTGCCTCTGGTTTGAGATTCCTTTCCTTTCTCAGGGAAGGGGCTGCTAATCAGAGTCTTCTTGTTGCTTTGCCTTCTACATGAACAACCATCATCCATTGGGAAGAAGTTCCTGGGATAACATGTTAACACCCTTCAGTGCTTTGCTGTGTTGCTACCTCTCAAGGATACCCTTATAGGCTGCCGCAAAAGTTCTCTACTTTCATTCGTAATCTGCTCCGAGCTGATAGTCCCTCACCCTCTCCTCATCGCCTGTTCATATCTCTTGTGCTCTGATGACTCAATTCTGTGTCTTCATCCACATTATCTTCCCACCCCATCCCAGGGCTTTCCCTGCAAAAGAAATCATGCTTCGCCACGTCCTCGCCCTCCTGCACATTTCCAATTCAAAGAAGATGAAGAACAGTGTTAACAAAAGGGAACTTTACACTAAGTGCTTGTGACAGGATCTTATTTAACGTGCCAGAAACTTCTCACAGCTATTCCGGGGATCAAGAAAAGTTCAGTGGTGTCTTTGGCTGCAAACTTTTAGTTACATTCACTACAGATGTAAGATGGGAATGTAAGGTGAAGGATTTTGGGTGCTGGTTCCATTTCTAAATATCCAATGGGCCTTTTGCACTTTTACTACTGATATACAGGTACAACATAGTAGCATAAGGAAAGAAAGATAGGGAGAAATTGTAATGTTATACAATTGGATTCTGAGCCCTTTGCATCAGAACACAGTAAAACTTGTCCTAGGATGTATCAGAGGAAACTAGAAGCACTGAATTATTTCCGGTGCTGAAGAAAAACAAAACAAAACATTCCACAAATCTATTCTGTCAACTCCTTTCTCCCTTTTTTGAGCCTATTTTAGATTTTGCAGAAACTCTTCCAGATAAGTCTATGCTTTAGCATGCACACAAGGACCCCATGTCTCCCCAGAAGTAAAATTATGGGAACAGAGCTAGAGTGCTTAACAGACAGGACCAATAATTGGTCCGGCAGTTTTTAAAACAACAATGAAGAGCAACCCACTCTCCTCCAAGGGTGATAAGCTGCCCTCCACTAACTATCCAAATGTTTGTATACCTTTAAGAGCGACCCCATCTATCATTGGTCATCTTGATCTCTCCCCATCTAGCCTTTGCTCTTTCCTTGTGCCTGTTGTTAGCCTTTGAAGGTAGGGCAAGCTGTTTTACCACATTCCAGTCCTATCTTAACAGTGCACAGACAGACAGACGGACAGATGCCGGCAACTATCTTCGTCCTAGTATTCTGTAGCACACTTGAACACAGTAGCTTCTATTACACTAGTATTCCATTCATACATGCAAAAATTGTGGGTTTTCCCCCCCGTCCATCACTGATAAACCAGGTTTGCAGCTTGAGGGCTCTCTTGGCTCTTCTGCAGATCAGAACCGGTTAAAGCTACTGTTCAGGTCGAGGCCTCCGCCAGGTTAGCAAGAGTTCAAGCACGGCGAATCAGAAATTGTATATCACCTTCATTTTGAAACTTTACTAAAATGAATATGGGTTGAATTATTACACACGCACATGAAGATCTGCAGACAGAAAACAAGCTCTCTGGAGGGAGGAGTTTGCGCATTTCCCCAGCAAGAAAAGCCCTTGCTGTCTCCATGTGAGGATTAAAACGAAATCTGCAGTGCTGCGACCAAACGCACAGGTCACCCATTGGTATTTCAAAATGGTTCAGTCAAAGACCAGTTTAACAAGCGACGAATGGTTTGGCTAGACTGGGCTACACTCCCTGCAACGTGGCAACCCTCTATCCCGGCCTGTCTGCACTGCAGGGCACAGTAGCACTGCAACCAGTAGCAACCATTCACACCTTCTCCAGAGAGCCCTTTCTTTGCCTACTGTCCAGCCCTCTCCCTAGAATTTATTCAAAACGAGTGTAGGAGGCACTGAAGCATATTTCATGGCTTTAATGCTTGCATTAGCAGCATCGGCTGCAGCTAGGAAGGCTTTGTAGCATTGGCTTCTTTCCTTACTCCCACTTTTCTGCTATATGTGTACATACAGGAATTCAGTTGCAAAGACCGCACATAAGAACCCTGGACCAGACCCACGGCCTATCTAGTCCTGAGAAGCGGTTGTGCTCGAAAACCCCTCTTTGGCTCTCCTTTCTCAGCAACCGCTACTCAGACCACAGTGCCTTTGACTGTTGAAGCAGTACCTAGCCCTCAGGAGAAAGTCTTGCGGCAGTGAATTTGGGAGCTTAATTGTGCTTTTATTTATCCCAAATCCCCTACCATTCCTCTTAATTGGATCACTCTGGGTTTCAATATTAGCTAAGAGGGAGACAGTTTTCTTCATTTATACTTTCTCCGGGCATAATTTTATACACCTTTATAAAGTCTCTTTACCGTGTTTCTAAGCTAAGAGCTCCAAATATGGTGAGTCCTCCATGCCCTTGATCGTCACACCTAAAAGGGATATTGCACAGCTGCCTAAAGCGCAGCCTCTCCTCCTTATCCCTTTTTAGGTGCAATGACTAAAATTGTACAGGCATCATTGCATCATTTAGTACTGGGACACCATATAAAAACTTTAAACAAACAAGGATATTGTGGTACTAAGAGTATGACCCTCCCCCTCTCTCTCCCCCATCCCCAACAGGGAATTGGACCAGCCGGATTTTGCCCAGGATAGAAACGCAAGGCCTTGGCCCAAAAGATGTCCCTGAACTTGCTGAGAATGTCTGCAAAACAATGCAGGAAACTTTTGATGAGATCTCCAGTGAGGTGTATGGGAAAAAGAAGGTTAAAGAGTGAGTGTCCCCTTTGCATGGAAGGCCAAAACCATGGTCCTGTCTCCCCTGCCCGAGAAGCACTTACTGGTCTGAAATTGCAGGCTTGCCTGTATCCAGTGGCTGGCATCATCCATGACGCCAGCGGTCCCCACCACCGCAAGACCTCATCATTAAGTCTGCAACTTGTCTCTAGAATTAGAGGACAAGCTGATGGCGGCTGTGTAAATTGGTTGCTTTTACTGGCTATTGATTTGTCATTCTTGCACTCTTTTTGTGATTAAATGTGGTGAGATATCTATGCAGGATGGCATTTTATTCGGGATATTATTATAAATTGCTTTGGAGACCTTTTGCAGGCCAAGTGGTGGGGAAAAGGGACAATAAAACACAGAGAACACTACAACATAACCTGGACCCTTCTAAGTGGTGACCCTTCCAGCTCCCCACACTCTCTCACAAACAGAGCAAGCAAAGCTGAGCAAACCTCAGATGGGGGGCTTCGTTATACGGGCACAAGAAACACCAGCGTGGACTTGGCAGCCTACGTCAAGCAACCGTAACACTCCTTGTAGCTTAGCTGTAACCACAACTAGTCCACCAGTCCTCAGCTACATGGTTTGAGGTCCCAGGCCTTTCATACTGGAAGCCAAGCCACCAAGAAAGACCTTTTACAGGCTTCCAGAGAAACCAGTGGTGAATGAACTACAGGTGGATACATGACCTGGGATCTGCTTTGTCCAAGCTTCTGTTTAGACGCTACAGCAGAAATGGATGGCAGTGGCAGAATAGGGCACAAGCTGACATTTCCGGAAAGGCCAGCACAGTTGTTTGAGCTTGTTGTTGCTCTTATCAGAGCATCTTCCTATCTGTGATATAAAGGAGCATCTTGGTCTTGAAACTGAAGCAGGAAGTCTTCCTCCTATGAACAGGCAGGGCATTGCTCCATGTTGCCAAAGATTCAGGTGAGCTCCTCTGAATGCATTTCCCAAGATGGGACCTGGCAATTCGGGCTGTGAATGATGCTAAACAAAAAGGAAGGCATAACTCCTTGCAGTGGGAGGAGTTATGTACTCCTTACTAACTCCTTTCCTTACAGAGGAAAATATTGATCCAAGTAGCATGCAAAGGGAGTTGTTCAAAGAATACTCAGACTTTTAAAAAATGCTATGGAACAGACTGGGTTTGCAGAACATGGGAACCCATGATGGGTAATTAGCAAGGGTGTCTTTGTGTGTTGTCTGAAGCTGGACTACTTCCTACAGGATAGCTTGTTTGTGAACACCCTTGGTGGAAAGGTTGCTGTGTTATCTGAACCCAGGCAAATGACCCCATTGTGGATCCAGAAAAGTAGAGGGCAAACTTGTGCAACAGCAACAAAACCCCTTGTGGCTTTTGCTGCGCTAGCACAAGCCACCAGCAGTGGCAGCTCTTCCACCAAGCACCCGAGTGGTGGTTGCTCCAGACACAGGCTCACTTTCTCTTACTGTGACCGTGGCTGCTTTTCGCACTTACTGCAGCTTTCTCCATTGTATTTGCAGAGATCCCTTTTCACAATTTCCAAGTAACAGCTTCTCTAAAGTGCTGAAGCAGCATGTTGGAGAGGTTGCTCATTGTTTGCCACTTCTTTCTCACACAACTGAATGTGTGAGAAGATATTTTAAAAAGTATTTATTCTTTTGCTGGTTTTCTGGAGTGGCACAACTGTGCAACTACAAATCGCTGAAATGGGAAGACCTACTTGAACAAATGTCCTGGCAAATGTCAGCTATCTAAAACAGGAGGTACCAGCCATAGACAATGACCAAATACTCTCTTTGTCACTTTGTGTTCACCTGACAGCTGTCATAGAGAGCTGTCAGATGAAGAACTGTCAAATGAAAGCAAAACCATGAGAGATCTTTGCTCATGAAAGAAGGTGGAAACTTTTTTTCTCATTTCACAGTGAAGCTTTTGGTGTTTCACCCCATAAGTCCTGGTGGTTCCACTTTTTCCTCCTTTTCTTGAGTTACCAGCTATCAGAGAAATGAAGATTATGACACCTTCCCCCCGCTTTTCATTAGTGCTTCTTTATTAGAGCTGTCAGAAGAAAAACTTTTCTTTTTAAAACTCTTGGGAAAATCTCTGCTTTTGTTTTTGACAGGTAAATATACACAGATGCATGGCTGCCTAGTTCTCTGTCCAAAAACAGAGATAAGCAAGAGATTTTTTTTAATAAAGCCTTTCTTTTGATAGCTTTAAAAAGTCTACAGGTAGCTCCTTCAATGTGCCACCTGGGCACTTTGAAAATCATAGAAAGTGATTCCGCCTCCCCCCAAAAAGAGCCGTAAACCTGAAGTGAGTACCAAAGGGGCAGGGGCAGGAAAGGAGGTTACTTCAGCTGCCTAGTGCCCTGAGATACCTCCTGGAGGACCAAGGAGGAAGGAGATGGGGAGGATAATGCACAGTAGTTCTACTATCTGGTTTGTTTCATGAATGCATATGAAGGCATGGCTTATTTCCATAGTGGGGTGCCATATTGTGTGAACACACCTGCAGACATAACTGGAGTTGGACACATGGGCTAGGGAAAAGATTTTACAATCGAAAGACTTCAGCCAGGAGATTACTCAACTTCACTTAATGTTTGACTAGAGGTTCAAGATGCAGAAGCCAGCGTTCACAGCCCTATATCTGCACACCCTCATCTTGTGCTATGTTGATCATGCACACTGGGGGTTGTGTGTGTTGGCCTCTAAGAACACAGTCTAGCTTTGCAGTGGCCACTCATGCTTCATAATCATCAGGAAGGCAAAAAACCAGACATATATCTGGAGAAAATGCTCATATATCCATTTATATATATAAATACAAAAGATGTAATATAAAAGAAAAATAGTACATCTCACTAGGGTGAGCGAGGAAAACAGTGGATCTCTTGCCTGGGTTCTAATTGCAGATGGGCAATCAGAAGGTCTCTGGTCTCCCTTCTTACGGTGGTCTATTTATGTATCCATTTATTTGTAAAAGTTATTACCTGTTTTTATTATAAAACCATCCCAACCTGGTCTGCAACTAATGAAGCAGAATAAAATCACACACCAGCCAAAAAACCAATCAAAGGGTGGGGGCATATAGCAGTTTACATGATGCAGCCAAACAATATAAATTCAGTCCAAAGCCTGGATGAACAACAAATTAGTACCAGAAGTTGTACTGGCTGTACATGAGGGAAGGGGGAGTTCCAGCACCCCCCTCAGAGATTGCAACAGATTAAATACCAAGCAGATGTGGCGCCATCAAGATGCATCTGGGCTTGGTCTTAACATTTGGACAAGCATACAAAGGAGCAGGCTATGGTTCCAATACAACAGCGGGACCCACTGCAAAGGGAGGTTGTGTGGTCTCCCACACTAGATGCATTCAAGAAGCAATTGGACAGTTGTCTGATCGGGATGGTGTAACTGGCACTAGTAGGGGGTTGGACTCGATGGCCTTCCTGGTTCCTTCTGACCCAGCCGTTCTGTGAATCGTAAGCTGTGTAAGGCACAAGCACAAGTCATCTTTGTTCAGGGAAGCCTTGCTTGCGTCTGAGCCATGAATTTAAAGTAATCCTGCTTCTAATGCTTTCTTTTGTTCTTGTCTCTGTTTTATCTTGTTGTTGTCCACCATTCTGGAATCCATGTAGATATGAAGTAGCATACAAATGCTTGAAACAAACAAACTTGTCTGGGTAACACGGCTCTAAACAGAACTGGAACTTGGCATCAGAGCGCCTTCCATTTGTCTTACTTACAGTGGCCATTCCCAGAACAGTTGTTGGGTGATAACAGAGGCATCCTTTCAACTGTGAGCTGATTAGCACATGCGAACTGAAAATCTAAGGTAACTCTCCCTCCCTCCCTTTCTCTTTCTTTGCTTACTCTTGTTCAATTCCCTCTGATCTCACTCTTCATCATTCCCTCTCCCCCTCCAACTTTGTGCATGCATCTGTGCTCACTTGGAACTCAGGGCAACCCTCCATGGGCCTGATTAAGAGGTCTACTGCCCATGAATGCTTATGCCAGTTAAGGTACCACAAGACCCTTCCTTGCTTTTCTTTCAGATAAAGGACTGGCTTCTGTGAAAAAGGGTCCATGGCCACCCTGGTACAGATTACATAGGCTTAAGTACATTGGCAATCCTGCACAGAGGCTACTGAATACACTTTAGGTTTGGATCACAAATCTGTATCTCCTCCTATTGCATAGATAAAAATAAGGACATCTGTTCTCACAGGCGGATCACTGTCTGAGAGTTTCCTGTTCCGTGATTCCACGTAGTAGGAGACTCTTTTATACCTTGGCTTTACAGCAGTCTCTGTTAGACTGGCTTCTGAAACAGGTTGAGCTAGTGAATTAGCATAATCATTTCCTTAAAAGAATGAAGAACGTTTAAATGGCTTTCTTCAAATGGAGAATGTGGGTCCTCAAATGTTGCTGGACTACAATTCGTACCAGCTCTGGCCATCATCCATATTGCTTGAGGATGGTGGGGGTTGTAGTTCCACAAAATTGGAGATCCAAGCAATAGAATGCATCATACAGCTCCCCCTTTCCTTCCCACTGGTTTTTGGGCATTTTATATAAAACTAGCACACATTAGAGATGCATCCCCGGGCACGAAGCCTGAAACCTTTCAGAAGGATAGTTCAGGGGGGCTAGGGAGTTATGATTTTTATATATATTTTATCTGGCCAGGGCAACTTATTTTATATTGTTATTTTTGCATTTTAACTTAATGTTTGTATTTTTTAATTTAATGTTATAATTATTTTTTAACTTAACGTTGTAAGCCATCCCAAGGCTTCGGCGAATGGGGCGGCATAAAAATAATCTTTAACAATCCTTTCATTACAGCAGAAACATAGCCTACTAACACCAGTAACAAGGATAGCGTAAAATATACTCACATATATATTTGAATGCAGCCTTATGTTATCCTTAACTTCGTATCATACTATTATCTAACCCCTGCTCACATTATCTATCCTAAAAACTTAAAGACTGACAGTCCACATTATTATCTATAATATCTTCATCCAAGTTAAGCTCAGTACCATGTTTCCATAATGGTTGCCACATTTTCTTAAAATAATCATGTTTTATTTCTCCTTTATATATTGTGCCTTGATTAGACAGTTTTTCAAGCATAGCTACTTGCCAAATTCTATTAAGGGCTAGGGAGTTATGATGACTGAAAACCTGCTTAAGGCTTTTTTTCACACTGACGTTGGAAGAGTGTCTCATTCACAGTTCTGTCCTTGCTCTCCCACAGAACAGTCATTGGCACCTCTGATAAAACTTATTCTAGGGTTAGGAAGTGAACCTATCACTTATAGGTGGATCTGTGCTCCTTCTATACCCTCCCCTCCTGCTGTCAGGAGTTTTAGAGGATGTAGAGACATTTTCATACAGGAAAGGTATCTGCATTTCTAAAATGTGAAGGCTGGCAAAATCTCGCTCTGGATTGCATTCAGTTCTGTTCCCTTAACATGGAAGGTCGCTTTGATTTAGGAAAGGACAGAACTGCACTAAAGTGACCCAATTCTGCACTGGCTTTATCAGAAATCGGTGCACGTTCCTCTTTAGTTACAATGCTATTGGTACGGGATATTAACAGTCCTACTGGGTATGGCTTTTGCTCGCATTAGCTTTTGATAGGTTTCAAATGAACTATGAATTGGTGAGCTACCAATATTATGTTATGTTATAATTCTGTAAAATATTGGCATCTGTATTGCCTGTTCTGTGAATTACTTTGAGCACAATGCATTTGTGGAAAATACAGAATGCAAATAAACTGATACAACTATTATCCAAATTCATTTCAGGCTGGTGTCTGATGTAAATCTGGCACCAGGACAACATTTAGTTCCTCTTACAGATGACCAATTTTGGGAGAAGGATTTTGGGAATTTCTAAAACTAAGCACATGGGATGTATCTCATCAGGTCTGAAACCAAAACCACACTGAATTTCTGAGCATGTTTCAAAATACCGATTGTAACCTTTCAAGCAATTGGGGGCCTGCATAGAATCACCTGCCCACATGAACTCACCTGTGTACTGGGTTGTTTCTCCAAAGTCCTTTTCCCGACTCTTCTGACCCCACATTGGTCACTCCATATCCATCAGAAGCGAGATGAATAAGGACGATGCTGCTTGGCCATTTCCAGAGAGACCTGCCTTGCTTTAACTAGGCCTCACTCAGGCCTTTTAGGAGCTTCAAGAACTGTAGAGTTGCTAGCTTGCTGTTGATTTCTTTATTATTTATTATTAAACTTGTATACAACTCAAATAGTCCCACAGGACTCTCTTAAGTGGTTTACAACACTCCAAATTAAAAAAAACCATATAACAAGGAAATACATAAAACCAGCTCTTCCTTACTTAGCTCACTCTCACAGCCCTGGTGTTTGTTTTTATTGTGTTTTTGTTTTGTATAGTCACACTGGGAGCCGGTGCGTAAAAAGCAACACATTACCTTTTTTTGTAAGAGGAAATTATTTTTTCTTCTTCACACTATGGATCTATTTGCAGAATTTAAACAAAGAATTGCAGCAACTGCATTTATATGTGCTGTTTTACTAGATGTTGCTGGGAACAATTTCTGTTGAGAACAGTTGGAAAAATACATACAGCAACTTCCAGTAAGTAGGTGGATAGGCATTTAGGGGGTGGTATCGGCAGAAAAGCACTAAGTACCACTTTGCATTCACACCCAGCTATGCCATTTACTGATACAAGACGCAAGATGGAAAGAGAAGAGGCAGAATTCAGACACATCATTGAGCATTAATAGCCATGTCCACTTCAATGAAATTCTTGACTTTTGTCATTGTTTTAATATTGCACATTATCATCTCCCATATGTTATCAGGATTTAACTGTTTAAAGGAAAGACATTATGAATAACATTTCTTAAAGGCAAAACAGAGACTTCCCATTGTAAGGAACACAGATGAAATAACTGGTGTGTCAAATTTTCTAAGAAGGTGTAATTAAAAGGATGCTCCCCCCAGGTAGTGTGTTCTGTTTCTCATTATTGTTACTGCATTACATTTCTACCTCACCTTTGTGTGTGCACACACACGTGCATGCATCTGTTGGTGATGCAGTGAGCAAATGTGGGCTTTAGATCAGCCTCCCGCATCCTGGTGTCCTGCTAGCATGTTGGACTACAGCTCCCCAAATCCCCCAGCCAGAATGGGAATGGCCACAACAATGCAAAACCTGAGGCAACATAACAATACACAAACACCACATTCAAAACAAAAACGAGAGACCTGCTTGTACACTGGGAAGCTTCCAGCTGCCACCTCCTAGAACCCTTCCTATCATCCTCTGAATTGCATTTTCTGGGCATGCTTTAAGACAAAGCACAAAATGCTCACCCATTCTATTTTGTAAGAACCCACCTCTGGGACCTGTAACAGGACCAGAGGCATTCTGGGAAATAAAGATGGTGCTGGTGGCTGGTACTTCACTTTGCAATCTGCCTGGCCTCCTAGGATTTTAAGTTTTTTAAATTAAAAAAATTAGGTGGGGCACATCAAGATGAATGCCTAAGGCAGTGTCCATTGGCAAATTGGTGCTCACCCATTATCAAGCTAGGTGCCTCAGGACTACTCAGTCCCTACTCAGCTGTATTCCCCACAACCAATTGCTTCAAGGAAGCCCACAACAAGCATCATAAATCTTACTCCCCGATTTCTCCATTTTAGAAGCTGTGACCCTTCCTGTAAGAGCAGCTAAGGGGATATCTCAAAATGTAGAGGGGGTGAGTGGAAGCCCTTCTGCTCCCCATACAGGTCAATTACTGCTTTTTATAGGCCTTTTGTCCATGACCAATTTTTTTTTAAATCATCGAAGTCATAATTTTGGCCGTAACCTCTGGTAACCATGATTTCCATACATTACAGTCTATCTGAAATCTGCCAATGTTTTCACTGGGAGATTTCAAATTCTAGTATTATGGGAGGGAGAAAAACCTTCTGTCTGCTTTCCCTATTCTACTAATTCATACTTTTTATAAATCTGTCATGTGTTGTCTCTTCTCCCACCCAGCCACTAGCGCCTTTTTGAAAAACAAAAAAAAAACCTCCAAATGCTTTCCTGGTAGGGCGAGTCTTCTAACCCTTTCCTAAATTTGGTTGTTTCTTTTCCTGCCTCACAATATCCTCAGTGAGATGGCACACCCAAGCTTTGGAAACAGGATTCCAGACACAGTTGGAGTTTTATGTAAAGGGAGGCAGGGTTTTATTTTTATTTTTTTCCAATTCCTTATCTTTCCTTTTGAAATTGCTCCACATTGACTCAATATTTAGCATTAGCAACAGAGGGGAAAGGAAGTTTCTCTCTCTCTTGTATTTCAGTACGGCCCTACAAAGCTGATTGGCCGACAAAAAAAACGAGAGAATCCATCAGGATTAGTGGGTGGCATACAAATTTAAAACTAAAACAAAACTGCACACGATGCATAGTTCTACCACAAGTTTTGTTTGCATCCACTAGGTTGGATGGTTGGGCTTAGAACCTCTTTTGTTCCAGCACTGTCAAGGTGAAGTTCTTTTCCCCTTGGCTCCTTTCCCCTTGTGTGTCTACCTTTTAGAGTAAGTGAGAGAAGGCTTTGCAGGTGGATTAGATTTTGATACACGACCCAGCTAACGCTGGCTCTCACTAACAACAATAAGGCAAGTGCACGGATGATGAAGCAGTCAATCCAGTGTTTCTAGCCAATACAGCTTATTACAGGGTGGAGGAAACACTCTTGGCCAGTGGCCATGCTGAGCGCGGCTGGTGGAAGTTGGAATCCATCAGCATTTGGAGGGCCATGTCTTCCCTCCACCCTACAGTAAGAAAAAGACCAGCACTTTTGTGATCCAACTTGTGAATGTAAATTTGCTTTGCAGCCACTGGAAATGAATTCGTGGAATAGAATAGGCAGATCTTTATCTGATCCATCAAATAAATATTTTGATTCTTATAATCTCACTTACCCGAAGGCCAAGTACACTGCACACAATACACTGTAAATTCTATACCAAGGTAGGCTAAAGTTGCAGCACGAAAACCTGGGGTCCTGCAATTTTGTTTAATTCAGACTCAGAAAATTTACTTGCATTTTTCTTACTCTGCCTTCTTTGTTTTCAACCTTTTGATACTACAGTTTAAGTTTTTGATGGTGTATATTTTTAAAAAATGATGGCTTTTAAAAATTAAAATGGCACTTCTAGGCATAAAAGGACAAGTGTATGTATTTTAACAATACAAATGTTGGAATGCTTTTAAAAATACAATAGCTTAAAAAATCCAGTTCCATTTTTCAATTACAATGTCAAAAAGTTTAAAGATTTATACAATCTGAAGAGAAACCAGAGTATTAATTACAATGTCATTTACTTTTTTAGAGATCACAACTTTTTAAATAATTACAAAGGCATTACATTACAATGGCTTTTTTTTTTAAAAAAAACTTTTTTAAAAGAACAGTTTAAAATTGTGAATTTAAAGTATTGCCACGACTTGTTCATTGATAACAGCATCAGCCAAAATAATGTCACTATAATGACTGATGAATATTTATGCATTTAAATACTCGTACATGTTGTCCTCCCCACCTTGGCAGGAGCCCAGGGGAACCCGTGGTTTTCCACAGCATGCTACTGGGTCTGAGAAATCTGCACCCAGTGGCAGAAGCAGCTGCTGGGCCATCTTCTGCGCGAGGAAGCAAGGCCAAGCAACTGGATCCCGCCTGTGGCAGCAGGGAAAGCCACACTATGCTTGCTTTCCCCTGAGATGAAGGCAAACCCAGTGGAGGGCACTCCCAGCCCCATGATCCTTTCCCATCAGGGGAGAAAGAGGGACATTAGGTGGGAGGCCCCCTTCCCATTGCCCTCCCTGTGTGCCTCCATCTTTCCTGCTCTCAAAGGCGCTGCCCTTTTAGGACATCACAGACGGACCTTGACAGGAGGGGCAAAAGAAAGGGGGGAAGGAGCAGGGACACAACTGGTGCCATGCCTGTCAGGTCAGGGGAATTTTACTAGCAGTGCGGGGGTAAAACTCCCAGGGGGATTCATGTGTCATGTAAACCTGCCCTCTGCTTGCTAAAAAGCCTTTAGGGTGGGAGACAACAATCTGATAAAATCTCAAATGAAGAAAAACAAGAACATTTAAAGCACATATCTGACAAGATTAAATTGAAAAGATGCATCTTCACACCCTTTCTAAAGGCCATGAGAATGGAAGGCAATTGCAGTTCTGGAGGAGAGTGTTCTGTAGTTTGGGGGCAGCCGAGTCCTTGATCGAGGAGCAAGCTCAGCAGTGACACTTCAAACACAGGATACCCTCCTGTGGCTGCTGTCCCATGACCCATCTTTAAAGATATTACTGGGGAGTTAGTCCACGAGTTTCAAAATCCATCTTCATTAAGAAATTTCGACTCAGCTTCCCACCATAACCCTCACGGTGGCTTATGAGATCAAGAAAATAGAGTATAAATAATACTATCAAAAACAGATAAAAGCAGTCCCAACCTCACCCCTGGCTTTGCTAGTTAGGGCTGATGGATGTTGTAGAACATGCCTGGAAGAACACAAATTGCTCCCCCAAGCATTAAGGGCTAGCAGCCTTCTTTAAAAATAGGAAGAGAAAGAGAGTTAATAAAGCTTTTAAATATTGCTGTGTTCTGCACCCAGTAGCAATTTCTGCTGTGTGATCATGGACTGCTCACAGCCCTCCTACAGCAAGAATATTCAGCCTTGCTTGCAACCTTGGCCATCACACTGCCAGCCCAACCCCCCCACACCCCCCTTGAAGACTGTCAAGCAACCCAAAGGCACTTTTTTGTTGGCAAGAAAAATAAAGATAGCCTGGAGAACAGCATTTGAGAAAAAGAGTTTAGTAAAGCACAAACATGAAGGGCAGAGATCTTTAAGGGGAGAACTTCAGGAACATAAACACCACCAGGACGGCAAATATCTCAAACTGTCCGATGCCCATACAGCTTACAGCACCAGTGTCTGAACTGCATACATCAAGGCAGCAAACACCGGGCATGTGATCCTCTCAAAACGCCTGGTACATTCATTGCTACCTCACAAATGCAGTCTATAGGACAAGGCTTTGCCCTCAGTGCCTGCATCAGGGGTGGATTCAGGGGCGTATTTCTTGTGAAATCCTGAGATGTTCCAGAGAGGCCGGAGGTGCCACTCCCTTGCAAGAGCCATGTACCATGACAGCAGTTTACTTCTGCCGCCGGCGTCTTGGCTTCTGCTCTTTGCGTTTCTGGGCTCTCATATCCTTCTTGAGACGGCTGTCCACCACTTTGAACTGGCCCTTGACTCCGGCTGGGCGATGGACCTTGCGGCCTGCACCCTTCTTGGACACGACGTAGGTCACTTGCCGCTTCTCCTTGCCTAACCCTGCTTTCTTGTAGATGCTGTTGGGGAGGAAAAGAAGGTGCGTGTTGTGGAAGAAGTTATATGCGAAGCTCGCCTCTTAAAAATCCTCTCAAATTCCACCCTGGCTTTCCGAGAAAGCCTCTTCTACCACACAGCCCTCAGCCCCTGACCCGCTCCTTCCCTCTCTCATCAACTGTGTTGCTGTCACTCTAACATTCTCCCTCCATCATGTCCTGGCCAGCTCCTCCAAGGCCCGTCCCATCCCTCTGTCTCCACTGAAAACAGCAGTCCAGCCCAAATAAAGCCATTTAACATCACTAAAGGAAAAGTGTGCGCTTAGCAGGGGCGCAAAAGATAATTAAAAGATGGTTAAGTAACAGTATTTGCTACACGCTGTTGTTTTCCATTATATAGCTGAAAAAGCTGCCAAAAGTTAATTAGGTTGAATGTACTAATGCAAGAAACCCTGTACAACCACATCCCCAACAGGTGACCGTTCAGCATCTGCTAAAAATCTCCTAACGAAGGAGAATCCTCTGCCTTGCTAGGCAGTATCTTCCACTGCCCAACAGCCTGTAGCCTCAGTAACTTCTTCTGTATTTATTCTACATCAGGCTTTGGCAGAAGGTAGATCTGGATTCACTGGCAATATTCTGGGTGATTTGCAGCAGATAAGCAAAGTTCTGGCTTGCATTTATTTATCAAATTTGGGGAATATGAATATTCCCCAAGTCACACTGCAGGAATGCAGAAACCCTAGAGGGTGAGTGGGGAACAACCATGAGCTCTGTTCAATACTAATTTTCAAAAGTCACTTCCTTGATTCTGAACTCTCTCATTTTACGTCTTTTGCATCACTGTGGCTCTTGGGCTTATAGTGCAAAAAAGAGTAGTTTCCACAAATCTGAAGCTTCTTTTTTGTATTTTGAATGTATTGCTTTGGGTCCTTCCCTGCTGGAAACAAATGAGTCCTCGCATCTATGCCAAATATTACCTCTTACTTGTCTCTTTTCCAGGCTCAGCATACACAACTCTTCCAGCCTTTCTTTACAGCTCATCTAAGTAAGCTTAATATGTAATCTGGAGTGACTCAGATACTCCAACCCAAGACATAACTGGATCCACGAAAATGGGGAAATCTGTTAGATCTTTGTCTACAATGCAATCTTTTGAATGAAGGCAATGACCAGCCATCTAGCACTAGCTTTAAGCCACTAGGGAGCCTTAGGCCATGGCTTAGGCCTATTTCTTTCCAAGACCTGACTGCAAATAAAATTTCCCTGACATCCCCGCTGCTAAGCAAGGGGCGGCATAGAAATGTTATCATCATCAGCATCATCATCATCATCATCATCATCATCATCATCTTATATGGGAACTTCACAGGCAGCTGAAAACTTACCTGCGCAGCTGAGCAGCCTTCTCACGCTCCGAGATGTCCACAGTGTTCACGACGGATTCCGCCTTCTTCCTCATCTGCTCTGCTTTCTTCAGCATCTGTGGGAGGGGACCGAATCATCAACATGGAGGAAAAGGTCCCAGGGCAGAAGGGGAGGGAGTGACTGGAGTTGCGCATGTGCCTCTCCTGCCCCAGTTCCATGCCTTGCCCCCCAACGTCACTGATGATGGTGAAGACCCAGGCAGGGGTAACTGCGATCAGAGGCGGCAACACTGGTCCACGTGGACAGGAAGGCAGCTCCCTGGCTGGCATGGGGAGTTATTTATCTATTTAAAACATTTCTAGACCATCCCATTAACCGAAGTCTCAACATGGTTAAAAATAAAACACAGCGTCCTAAAATTCAACTAACGATAAAACCCCAATTAAAATAGGTCTTAAAACATTGGGAAAATAAAAAGGTTTTGGCCTGGCGCTGAAAAGAATAAAGCGACAGCGCCAGGCAAACCTCTTTGGGGAGTGAATTCCACCATTGGGGTGCCACCGCAGAGAAGGCCCTTCTCCGGGTAGTCGCCCTCCTAATCTCCTTCAGGGAGGGCCCCCGAGAAGGGCGTCTGCCCCAGATCTTACGGGGTGGGCAGGCACATATGGAAAAAGATGCTCTTTCAGGTAACCAGGCCCTAAGCCGAGGATGGCGCGCTCGCTGGCTTACCCGGCGCTTCTTGCGGGCCTTGGCTTCTGCCACTTTCTTGATGGGCCGAGCATTGATCTCCCGCCAGCGCTGGCGGTATTCCTCCACCGCCTGCCGGTCCAGGGGCAACGGTTTGCGCCGGTGCTGCTGCTCGTCCTGGGCGAACCACTCTGGGAGCTCCCCATCTTCCTCGTTAAAGGCGTATCTGGGAGGAGAGGACACGGTGACAAGCCCGACCACAGAGGCAGGTCTCTCCCCATCAGAGGACAATGGGAGCCCCCCTTGGCTTTCACACACACAAGAAGGGAAATGGAGGCAAACTCCGTCTGGAGCCACGACAGGCCTCCTCACTGCCTCCCTTCTCACCTGTTGAAAGAGTCATCAATCAAGTCTCTCTTGGCCTTGCGGGAGGTAGCGATGACGGCTCCTAGCGCCAGTCCTTCCGCGTCCAGAACACGCGCTCGCTTCACTGTGGAGAGATCAAGTTTCATCAGCTGGTCTTCCAGGCAAGTGCCCTCCTGTGAGAGAGCTGGGATACAAAAGCCCACCGCTTTTTGCAGTTCACTTGCCTGGGTCTTCAATGGGAACGACTTCAATACTGTTTGGTTCCTCCCGGGGGCGCTTTGGTCCCACACGCAAGGCTGACTGCTCCCTGGAAGAGAGGGAAGCTAAGAGACCGTCTTCACTCTGCCCCACCGAGATGCCAGAGACAGAACGAGGGACACCACATGAGGTGCACCATCCGTGTGTCAACATTTAAACATGGGCACTTGAATCCCCAGCAGCTGCTCCCCAACTCTGGGGTTCATTTCTTGCAATGTCCACAGAAATCACCTTGAGGTTTTTCTTACTATTTGGCTGTAGAGAAATAGAACAAATAAAGAAAACACCTGCCCAGTGTCTTCCAGGCCAGGCAGCACGACCTTCTCTGAAACTGGAGCAAATGTTTTGTAAGCTAGTATAACCAAGCACTTGTTTTGGTAGTACTTTATTACATAAGATAGACGAAAGACTGAAATCATTCCCTGGATCATCAAGGGAAAGGCTCTAATTGCATTCAGGACTGATGAATTTCCATGTTCAGAATCAGAAGGGAAGTTTAGCGTACGTATCAGTTTGGCCAATATCTTTCTTTTCCTTCAAACAACAGTGAGTGGAAGCAGGGCCTGGGATCAGCGATATGGGGAAAAAGTAACCCTTTCCAACCTATTCCATGGCCTGGACAAGAATAACTCCACACTGCTAGTCTCTCCAGGAGCGGGGTGGGAAAGGGGCAGAGGAAAGAGCGGGGAGAGACTGACCCCTCACGGCCTGAAACCCATGAGAAACCCATGAAACCCTGCACAGCCAGTCATGTGACCTAATGGGAGTTCATTTCAATTATTTATTTCATTTCTATACTGCCCAACAGTACTAGTTCTGGGCAGTTCACAAAAGGCTGCAGGGCAAGCTATTTTTTAACTATATACAGAAAGAGCCATCTTGATATTTTTCTGCTTTTCAAAGGCTGTGATCAACTCTCGGGCCAGGGAAGACTACTCCTTGAAGCATTACTCAGATCATCCTTTTCCAAGGAGAAGCACCAAATGGGCTTGCAATACACAAAATTAAATATGTTCTCTGGCCCCTGCAGGACGCGCACACACACACACAATTGAGGAAGCTTTGCAAGGGCTTGATTACCCCTCACTGTCGCTGCTGTCACTCTCCTCTGTGTCCGAGCCCTTCTCCTCAGCTGGGGCTCCGGTTCCCTCGGGCTGCTGGCCCTCCTTGGGCATCTCCTCTGGTGCAGCCTCATGCTCAGACATTTTCTTTTTCCTCTTCATATTTCTGGAGACTATATAGGAGAAGACCAAGTATTAACAGGGAGGATACTCCACTCATTTTCATTCCAAAGAGAAGTGGGGGAAGGAGCTAACTCAACTCATCCTTCAAGTTTCTCTCTCTCAAACACACACAAACCATGAGAGTGAGCAAGCAGGCCACCAGTTATAGAATTTATTAAGCTACAATTACTTGGGGGAAGTAGAGAGGAGAGAGAAAGGGGTTTTTCATATCCTTGTCCCAGGATATAGAATTGTCCCACCCCCAAATTAGAAGGGATATACACGCCACTTGCCCAGCAAAGGTTGTGTCCAAGTTTTTTGGACCACCTTGGAAGAATTTAAAGTGTCGCTACCTCTCCTGGTGCTTTTCCGCATGTTGAGCAGGACTGAAATGCTGTATCAAAGGAGCTGACCAGCATTACGAGGGTTGATTCCCCCACCACCAACATGCACAAAGTCACACACACTTCTTCCCCTCCACAACTGTGTACAGGGCCAAACAACCGATGGATCGGCAGGCCCTTGGATCACATCCCTTGGAATGGCAGCCACAGCAACCTGGCAACGAGCTGTTCAGCTCCTTCTGCGCATCACCTCCTTAAGCTGAGGCAGCTCCTCTCTCCCAGAGAGGCTGACATCGCTGAGGTGGGGGGGGGGGTGGGGGCACGCTTGAGATTCACCATCCACCACTGTTAGTGCTCGTGGTGCACAAACACTGGTGTGGAACACAGCAGTGTGCTCCTGGCCAGAGAGTCTACAGTGTATGAAAGACCTGAGCCCTGCACTGAGCCGGGAGCTGGACTCAGTGGTCTTCTAGGCCCCTTCCAATTGTATGATTCTATGATTCCTACCAAGAACAACTTAGCAAGGTCCTTAAACGCATGGGCTGAAATAGATCTACGCAATTTGTGCAGCTGCTGCACAAGAGACAATTGACACATCAATTCCCACTTCCTTCAGTCGCACCTAGCAAGGAAAATGTGTGAATTGGTGGTCTTTGCATTTCGTGTTTCCCTGCCTCACATCAGCTCTGATTGTGCCCACTAGTGGCAGCCAGTGATGCACAATGACATCCCATCACACTTTTCCTTACTGAAAGGGATGCAGCAGTGCCTCTTCAGCTGACTCGCACGACAAAGATTTCTGCTATTATAAGCCTCACATTTCTACTGCTTATAAAGAGACACCTCGAGAGTTAATGACTTGAAACTTGTACCCATAATCTTCCTGATGAGGCTCTATAGTCATGCAAACTTCCAAACCAATCAGATACAAATTGCCGGAGTTACCGCAACTTAAAAAGTGCTGCAAAATGACACATTTGCACTTTTTCGTCAAGCTGAGGCTTGGCATATCATGGATTTCTTTCAAGTCCTGGAAGAGAACTACTGGAGCATTTTAAATAGGCTTCTTGAGAGGCAATGTGCCTTTCCTGAGTTTTGTGGAATTATGAGCAGTGGTTTAAAAATAATGGGTTGTTTCTGTCTCGTGAAAGCCAAATGACAGCAGCTGCTGGCAGAGCTATGTTGGGCATGCTCAGGCACACTCTGAAGCCAGAAGGCTGCCGGTGATTGGAATTCCGTGGTTCCTGTCAGCATCCTGACAATGGGGCAGGGCAACCAGAACTGCCAGTGACAGTGATACAGTTTAAAGGCAGAGGGAATCACTTACTCATTGACAGATCACTGCTGGAAGAGAGGGAGGAAAGCTATGCAGGACTCCCAGGCAGGCTTGCCCAAAAGAAACCTATTCTCAACCAACAAGGACATATCTATTCATCTGTACACAACTACTGAGTTAACAACTTATTTGTGCTTTGTTTTTCAGTTTCTGTGGTCTGGTGCTTCTTTTTTCGAACACTGCAATAATATATTTCCTTTCTAAAATCAATTAGCAACAAACCTGTTGGCTTAAGACCAGGGCTGAGGTTATCTCATGCTGGCTCAAGCGCCACGAAGCCCAGAAATGCGATGCTGTGGCCAATGCCTAACAGATGTGCCCCACATCTGTTAGTGATGCTGCTGCTCAATAGCACGAACTGTGCTGGCATATAAGCAACGAACTGGCATGGGTTAGCTCCAGCAATTTGGTGCAGGGTCAGCTGCTTCATAAGGCAATACAGGGTCTGACTCATATGGGGCATCTTTACAATTTCTAGCCACTCCATCCTCACCATCTGGATTTCTGCCTGAAAGTCCAGGGAAAATGTGGCTCATGGGGGATAATTGAGCAAGCACAACTGGTGATGTTACACAACATTATTAGTGATGGGGGAACTATCTGCTAAGGCATCGGCCTATGCTTCCCATTTTGAGGCTTTGGGCAGCTGGAACGAAGAAATTTCAGCCAACACAGCTGTCTTAAATGGAAAGTTGCTTCAGTAACTGAACTACAAGGGGAAAAAGAAGTGGGGCTGCTGTTTTCAGTTGGCAGCCCCGTGTGTTGTGTCCCATCAAACCTGGTGCGTCCTCTCTCCACCCCAAACTCTGCATTCTGATTTACTGTCATGCCTGGTCAAATGGGTGCAAGTATAGCTTACCAGACGGTGGTTCTGCCCGGTTCTGGGACAGGACCTGTGCCTGCCCAATCTCCAGTGCCTCATCAGCATAGTCATCGATCCCAGCAAAAGCTTCCTGGGCAGAGGAAACACAAACATCATCACGGCCCAGCATCCCTTCCCAAATGGCCGCCCATGCCAAACAGCGGGGCACGCGAATCCTGGCAGCAGACTCCCCAAAGGGCCAATCCTCCCAGGCTACAGAGAAGAGAATGAATCACACCCATCATTAAAGATCCTCACCTTGCCAAACCACAAGCTCATCTGATGCTGCTCACGCTCCTCCTTGCCCTCCAGCGACACCAAGAGTGGATTGCCAGCCTCAGTGTCATCTTCCTCCTCCTCTTCACAGGCAACCCTACAACACAACAATCGGAGTTCCACCGGTCAAGGTGCAGTCAACATCCCCAGCCCTGCATGGATAGGAACCTGTCTGGCATGAGCCGGGACTGGAAATCCAGGTATATTCTTGCTGCTTCCAAGGGCCAGGAGCTGCTTATTGGTAGGAATAACACATTCCCACCAAAGGAGCTTATTGAGGGGCACCTGCAGAGTATCTGCAAGCCACATATTGTTCTAACATTTGGGAAGGGACATTGCTCAGTGGCCGAGCACCCGATTTGCATGTAGAACACCTCAAGTTCTATTTTCAGCACCTCCAGAGAGATGGGAAAGACCCTTCCTTGAAATGCGGCCAGTTCATGTGGACAACATGGAGCTAGATGGGAACGATGGCCTCACTCAGTAGAAGGCAGCTTCCAAACTTCCTATATCTCCACAGTGATGGGAGCAAAGCAAGGGCAAGTTGGCTTCCTAGCACCATTTTTAACTGTCTTAAGGGAGCATAATTGTATTTGCAGAGTGGATGGGGGTGTGCGTGCACAGAGTGGCCCCTCAGGTTAATGCCTGTCTCCGGTCCCCGCTGCATTCTGTCCTCTCCTCCACCACCCCCATCACAAAAGAGTTAAGAGGATGCATCAGGGCTGATTTGCAGTTCTTTTTCCAGCTCCTTGCAGCTCCTATTTAATGCTGCTCTCACAAGCCGTTTCTCCCTCTCCAGGTCAACCACATCAGAGGCATCGCCGCCCCTCGCGTACCTTTCTGGGGCACGGGCCCGCTTCATCTGGCTGGAACGCTCCTCCACCTCAGCCATCTCCTCCTCATCCAACTCGCTAGCCAAAGAAACATCATCATCGTCATCTGAGTCTCCTTCTGAGAGTGAGAGGTCATTGTCTGCACTGGCTGCTGTCTCCACGAAGGTATCTGCTGCTGCCATGTCACCCTGGACCACTTCATGCAGGAGCTGGAAGCAGAGGAGTGCCCATGTCGAGACCTCTTGCAGGAAGGTACAACCACAGGGTACAGGGCAGTGACTGTGGAGAGCCACTGGCATTATCTGGACGAGTCTGCAATGTGCCATCACCCACAGCACTGGCTGGAGACCAGGGAAGCTGCAGTCTGTTGCATCTGGAGGGAGGCAGGCTGAGGAGGGATGATGCAGACTGTTCCCACGTCCCGTGCACATTTGCGATTCTTCCCCCTTACCTGACTCTTGCCAATGGCCCGCAGGGAGAACATCCCCGTGTCACCATCGTCGGCGACAGAAACACCAGGAAGATCCATCTTGAGCTCGACACGCTCCCGCTGGCGCCGCCGCTCACGCAAGATTTTCCGTTTCTTCCTGGAGATGCAGAAAAAGCAGGTTTATTGCACTCAGAGATGGACCACATGGTGATCTGCTCTGGACCACTCTAAAACCGTCATGGCCTGCTCTGAGGATACAGAGGTGGATCAGTCAAGTTGATCTAGGGAGGAAAAATGGGGAAGGGACCTCTAAAGAATGTCTATCGGTCGGGAGATGACATGTGGGAAAGTAGCTCCCCTGCGTGCCGGAGAAACTGGTGCAACTGGGCCCCATTTCCAATTATGTATAGAAAGCCCATTACACATGGCTCCCTCCCTATTAAAGTTGAGGAAGGAGCCATGCACCACACGAAGAAGGCCCAGAAAGGTTTTAGACACTCTTTGTTCTTATTCGCGAAGTCATGTCCGAGCCATTGCGACCCCATGGACAACATTCCTCCAGGCCTTCCTGTCCTCCACCATCCCCCGGAGTCCACTTAAGCTCACACCAACTGCCCCAGTGACTCCATCGAGCCACCTCATCCTCTGCCGTCCCCTTCTCCTTTTGCTGTCAATGGTTCCCAGCATCAGGGTCTTCTCCAGGGAGTCCTTCCTTCTCATTAGGTGGCCAAAGTATTTGAGTTTCATCTGCAGGATCTGGCCTTCTAAAGAGCAGTCAGGGTTGATCTCCTCTAGGACTGACTGGTTTGATCGCCTTGCGGTCCAAGGGACTTGCAGGAGTCTCCTCCAGCACCACACTTCAAAGGCCTCAATCGTTTGGTGCTCAGCCTTCCTTATGGTCCAGCTTTCACAGCCATACACTCTAGAGCATTTAAACACTGAGCATGGCTGCGGTACATGAGGGGGTTACAGCTGCCATTTTGAACAGACAAGCTCCATTGGAGGGGTTGTTGTGCTGCATAAACCTGAGAAACATCAGATATGAGAGGGTTAAACAACCCATACATAATCCATGGCCTGCTTTTGGAGTATGTGAAGGCTGTTTAACCCTCACATAGCCTCCAGTGGATTGACAGTGCTGTCAGCACCACCAATGGCCACAGGCCAGAGGTCCAGCATTTGTGCGTGGCCTGAGTGGGGAGCTCTTCCCCATCATCATGGGGCAGCCGATTTCTTCTCTCCTCACGGCAGTTTCCCAGCTATGCTCATAAACCGGAGAAGAAAGGCACTGAAAGGGAGCAGGCAAGCCACAAGAATCAAGCTCTTGCTTCCCAAATGGGCTCATAAAACTGGGAGCAGGGCAGGGTCAGGAGGAGAATGTGCGAAAAGAGCACTCAATCTCTAGCCAATTTAGAAATGTAATGAAAAAAATCAATTGCTTGCTGCTTTTCTGCCACACTACGCATCCAAGGCAGTGCATCAAAAAATCTTACTAACTTGTCAGAGTAATAAAAACATAATACAGCAGATATAATGAGGTGCTTTTATACATCAACAATCATAAAAGCAGTGGCAAAACAGGCCAAGCTGAGCCAGAACAAAAAACCTTTAGCGTTAAAGAGTGACTGCTTCTTTTCGCACTCTGAGTTGTATTAAGTATATCTTTAAACACATCCTTCCTCCAAGGACATCAGCAGCTCAGAAAAGACATGATTCTCCCCCCGCATTTTTTCCTCGTAACAAAACCTTTAAGGTAACTTAGGCTGAGAACAAAGTCTGGCCCAAAGCAGGATTCATGGCTGGGGAGGGGTGGAACTTGGACCCGGTCTCCTCTGTCCACAATGGGTTATCGTAACACCACACTGGCTTCTGGTCAGGCATAAAAAAATAGAAGATAAATTTCCGCAGCTTAAACTCAAGCCATCTGCCAAGTGGCAGCAGAACAGACATTTTCTGAGTACATCAAGCTTCCAGGTAAAGCTTGCTCATGCACCAAAAGAACCTGCTCTGAAACTGATGCCAAACAGCTGAGGAGCTCACCCCCCCTGCAAAAAAAAGAAACACTGGTTTATAGGAAATCAAAAACTGATTTATGTTTCCAGAGATATTTAAGCATTCAGGGTGGTAATCCAGTTTTTCTAATGTGATCTTCATTCTTTGTTCTTGTAGCATTTTGTTAATACTTCAGCTATCCTTTAATATAACAAGGTAGGAAAAGCAGCTGGGGCATTTTTATGTAACTTAGAAGACTTCAATGTAGTTCTACGTTACACACAATATTGCAGAACACTAAAAAAAAGTACACCAGAACAAGGGAGAACAAAAGTGAATCATCCAGAACAGCTGAACCCCAGAAAGGAATTGTGGGAGTTTCCTAAAACCTGGGGAAGCAACAATGTGCCGTCAAGTGAAGGCTCCAGAAAGGTTTAACCCACAGATGTAGGAAGCATGCTGCCACCATTTTGAATATGCAACTCCACGGGGACTGTTGTGTCATGTGAACCTGACAAGCATTGGTTATGCAAATGTTCAACAACCCTTGCATAAGATATGCTCACTGACAGGGTTTGCATGGTATGACAACCCTCAAGAGGGGGTTGGATATGCTATATGCTGCCTGAGGGCCCTGGAGTTCATCATGGATTAAACAAACCACAATGAGCCATGCATGTTATCCAAACCTGGTCACAGAGTGACGGGGTTCACACATAATGCTAACCCATGGTTTGTTGCCCTTTCCATGGTTTGGTGGGCAGACTATGATTTTCTCAATCCCTGGTTTGCTTGTTTCCCTCCTCCTCCACCTAGCCCCTCCCTGTAGCCCAAGTGCCTTTACAGAGCTGTAGTGCTGGCAAAAGGAGCAGCTGGGCTTCCTTACTACTCTTGCCTGCCACCTCTCTAACCTGGTGAAACAATGCTTGAACAACTCATGTTTCTGGGTTCACAAACAACAATCCAGTGTTTAAATTACACAGAGTTCATAGCCTAAGAAAAAATAACGAGCTCTCTTTTTGGATTGTTCATGCTTCATAAACCATGGTTTGACAATATGGCTGGGTTTGTACATCACAACAACTCAGTATTCAACAACCCATACCATGGGTTAGCATTAAGTGCACCCCCAGCCATACTTGTACTAATTTTTGATCTCAATATTCCCCTTAGATCAAATTTTCCACCTTGGTCTGCTTTGGAATCATCCTGGTAGGACCCACTCTCTAAATGGATGGAATTAGGTTCTAGGCATATCAACAGGTAAGGTCCTTCCCACAGTTGCATCTTACAAGTGTATGATCTATAATGTCATGCCAGTAACATTTTAATTCATTCTGATGCTATGGGAAAATCCAGATTTAAAAATGTTTTTGTGGCGGACATGAGCACATAAGGTGACTTTTACCGAGGATCAACTAGTTGGTGCCAAAGATGAGTTTTTGCTATTCTCCATTATGCAGGCCTAACATGATTTACCATGTCGGGCTAAATGGCAGTACTTGCAATTTCAATGCATCTCAATATCCAGGTTTGGTACTGCTGTTTTTACAGCTTCACCATCCCCCTTGCTATTAGAAGTACTTATTGAGGCCACTGAGGCAAATCGACCTATGCTCCATGTCTGTAAATGCTTCTTGGTAAATAAATATGATATAGAGGGTCTTAACCTGGAATGGAACAGGGAATGAGATTGCCCATTTTTTCTAATCAATGGACCTCCACCTTGGTATCTGTATCTGATGCACCTACAGATCTCAGGCTGAGCCATGCTCAGTAAAAACTTTTGCTTTATGCCTATTGGATGACACAACATTGCTTTAAGTAAAGGTTTGTCTTAGTCAGCTGACTGTTCGAGGTGTGGCACAGCTAAATGCTTCTTGTAACCATATTTTTTGGCAATGCCTGGTTGTTGCCCATTATGTGGAATAGATGATTACACAGATAAATTTTGTACTGGAACATTGTGGAATATTTACTCTTTTAAATTATCCTGGAAATTAATGCAGAGTCAGTGCAAATATGGCTTGGAGTCATTTAAAGGTTTTCTGTCTGGATATGGACTGCACTTGAAAAGACAACTATCACAACAAAGGAAGGATAAATGCTCCTCTCTTTCAATGCAATGGTTTGAAGACCTTGAAACACTTTTATTGGTTGCTTTGATCAGGTCTATCATTGTATTATTCAAGTTTTAACAGTGTTAAGAATACAATTCTTGGCCTCCTAACATTATTGGTGGGGGAGCCATAAAATTATTCAGGAAAAAGGGTGTGCTGGGGAGGAAAGGAAGGGAAGAGCTGGGGATAATGGCTTATGCTGTTTCTAAATCGCCCCTCAGACTGCCTTCCCATCCTCTCTACAGCCAACTAGAGGAAACACAGAATGGTGTAGATCTGCCTCTGTTGGGGCTTGTGTTGCATGCAAGAAGACCTCAGTTCAGAGGTTCACCTACATCAAAGGCAGAGGACACCAGCCTGTGCCCTGCATTATTTTACACTTTGCATGTCCAGAATTTTATATTGTTTTATTATCATGTGATGCGGTTATAAGCTGCCTCAAAAACTGGCTAATGGAAGATATAAAAATGAAATAAATGAAAAAATGGAGGTGCTAGTCACATGTGAATGGGTACTTCTTTGGATAGTCAGTCTGCTTTCTCACAGTTTATGTACAGTTCTTAGAAACGTGCATTTTCATACATGCACATGTATTTCATATGTATACACGGAAATGGATTAATTCAAATCAAGGTAGCTACATTTTTCCTTTTGTTAATATTTCATGATAAAAATGTGAACATCAGCCACACATCCCCTTCCTCCAGCCCCATAGCCAGCATTAGAAAAAGCCTCCCATTGGAAAACGACTTGAAGGGGCTGTAGCACTCAGGAAGTACTAAATTGTTCATTCTCCAGTTGCGGCATCTGCCTCCCCAAACTGCAACACTTCCACAGCAATTAAGTGTTTTTAGAAAAGCCTAACATTGGTGCTAATGAAAACTATTTTTCAAGCCCAACTGCTGCATGTGAGGGAGGGACAAAGGGGGCGGGTTCTTCACCCTTGTCCTAGGGTAAAAATGCATCTTGGCTTTGAAGTGTTGTGTATGCAAAAGGTGGTATTATTCCCTAACGCTGCAGGCTGTAGCATCAAGACATTTTATCCAAGGCCCATTTTAGTTTAGTAGAAACTTGCCTCAAACGTATTCATTCCAAAGCAGAAAAGTATTTCAGGGGAGCTTTTTCACTGTTTGCTCAAATTTCTAGCTTTTCTAATGAAAGAACTGAAAAAGACCTCATAAAACAGCTGGCGGGGGGAGGGGGCGGTTCTCTGACCCTTCCTCTCTCTGTACAGTAGAGAATGCTGTTAGGAGCACAACAAATTAACTGGTCGGGTTTTCTGGGCTCAAGCTACTCCAACAACACCCTCGGTGACCACCGTGCAGCCCCAGCACGAGGCACCACAGAAGGCTTAACTGTCTGAGGGGCAGCCAATTTCTGCACCTGCTGCACCTGGTCCCTCAAGGCTCTTGAACAGCCTGCCCTCACCTGCAGGGCTCCAGGTGTTCCAGCCTACAGCTCCCAGCATTCCTGACCACCAGCCACCCTGGTTAGGGCCGACAGGAGTCAAACGTCTAAAATTTTTGGAATGCACCAGGTTGGAGAGGGTTGCTTTGGCAGCAAAAATCCACATTAAAAAGCCAAGACAAAAACCTTCAAAGCATTCTACGTGGCCTAAGCCAGTGGTGGTTAAAAACAAGCCCCAAATCGGATTCCTTTCATTACAGTTCTTTGTCACCAAGGCACTCTTAGCATGCTTCCAAGCCTACCTCTTCAGTTCTGCAATCTCTTCGGCTTTGAGCTCAGCGAGCTTTAACTCCAGCTCTTCAGCCTCCTTTTTTTCATCATCATCATCTTCATCCTCACCCTGGTTCCCTGGATCTGTCCGTCTAGGCTGCGTTTCCTCTTCTTCTTCTTCACCTTCCTCACCAGAACTCAAGCTGCAAATAGGGAGAAAGACCCTGTAGTTATTGTTTATTTAAAGCATTTCGCTCTGCTCTTCAGCCAAAAAGAATCCCGAAGTGGCTCATGTATGACCAATAACAAACTAAGAGTCCCTGCCCTCAGGCTTACAACCGTAGAACAAGCCACAAAAGAAAAAAAGGAGGGATGTGGGGGCAACAGGAAGACAAAGAAATACAGGCACCAATTTTTATATGCCAGTTCTGATATCAACCAGCTGGAATGGAATGGAGTGGAAATCTCCCCATGTCCCCAAGCCTATGGCTGGTAGAACATCCAGAGTAGAGCCGAGTTCTCTTACTTGATATCTGTTTCTTTGGCTTGTTCTTTTAGCTTCTTGACCAGGAACCGCCTCAGCTTTGTCCTCCAATTCAGCAAAGCCCTGAAAAAGGTGAAGAGCACAAGGAGATTGTGTGATTCTCCATCCATTTTGTAACAAATTCCTGATGCAGCAGGAGTTGGTTTAAAGAAACACTGAGCTCTGATCAGCTACCAGTACGAGTTAGAAGCCCCCACCGCTTGCTTTGTCCCCATATTGAAGCCTGCATGTGTGCCATGATTTGGCAGGAGTGCAGAAATAGCGCACCATGTAATATTGGGCAGAGAATTATTTTTTTAAATGTTTCTAGCTCCTTTGGCTGCAAACTCAAAGCACGTGAACAATGTTGGCCCATATCTTAGAAACCAGAGGCATTCTGCATAAAGTTTCTGATGGCTGGCAATTTGGTGGTTGAACGAAGGCTTGTCCTGCACCATAATAGGTAAAGCCAGAATACAAAAATACTAAAGAAAACACTAGGACTTTGCAGGGGGAGAGAGAAAGAGAGATTAGGTCAATGCTCTATTTGCATACTATATGGAAGTCAGAGCATTTCTTAGCAGGGAGTTTTGATTATGCATCTGACCAGATATAATTGTTAAGCACAGTCAAGATACAAATAGGTTGTATTTCAGCCCTCCTAGAAAGGGCCCGTTGCTCAGCCCGCAGAGTATAAAAGGTTCTATCCCCAGGTTCTATTCCTGGCATGTCAAGTTACAGAACGGTTCTCCCTGAGACCTCAGTATATGCGACTAAACAGACAGGTAGAAAGACATCTTATGGGATCACATTCCGGCCATTCACCTATTGACGGCTCACCCCCCCCCCCCCACATCTGGCCCACATGATTACAACATAATTCTCTCTATTTCTGATGTTCAGGCATAAGAGTGGCTGTTTACATAGCCCCAGCACCACCACTCACACATTCATAAATTCACAAAAATTCCAAGGGTTGCAAGAAACCCAGAAACCTTTAGGAAAAAGACAAAGAGCTCCTGAAGCTGCTAAATTAGAACTGAGAACACTCAGTAGCTACAAACTGCTGACTTGACTTTGGAGGGATGCAGGTGGAGGGAAGGAATGGAATGGAGCACCAGAGAGGTGGGCATGGCTGGAAGAGTGAGCAGGAACCCTCCATATTCACCTTCCTGTTCTAGCCCCCAGCCGGGCTATTAAATGTCACATCACGGCTTTGAAAAACGAGCATTAGGCCTCTCAGCTATTCATTTGCTTATCAATTCCTATTACCCATAAGAGCTGGAAAAGAACATCTATGTTCAATTACAATACAACGTCAATGCCCAGGTGGTGGGAAGCAGCAACAGGAAAAGGACACCACCCTGTTTGTCTCAAGAACAGTTCATAAGCTCCACTGCAATTAAAAATGCTGAGCTATCACTGGTTGTGACGTAGCATGACAGATCTCATGCTCTTGCTAGGGGTGCAGGAGCTCAGAGTAGGCTTTTCCTGCAGTTAAGACCTGAAGATGAATCTCGCTCCTCCCTTGTTCCTGACACCCCAACTGTGTGATTTAAGCCACCAACCATACCGGAGCTCCTTCCGGCCCAGAACACGGATATCCTGGCAGCAGTGGCGCACTTCCTCGGTGGTGGCACTGTGGTGCTTCAGTTCTTCATCATCCAAGACAATCTAGGTGGCAAGAATCAGAACAGAAAACCAGACAAATCTCTCAAGGGCTGCTGGTCGTTATGGTTAAGGGATGGGCGAGGAATTTGTTTGGGGTGGGGATTCGTCAGATTCCTTGGGCTCAGCTCCTGGGACTCTTGTCTGCTTTGTGCTCCCAGCATTCATGGCCACTTGCCAGGAACTGAGCTCCACACACTGAGCAAACAGTGCCCCTCCTCCATGTCACGGGCTTCCTCTTGGCTTGGCTCGCTTTGCAGGATCAAGTTAAGCACAAGAAGAAGTCTGTGGATGCCAGAGGAATGGACTCCGGTTGTCTCAACCCTAATTCTGGCTGCACCGTACCCCCAGTGCCAGCATGCCTCTCACTAGCAATGGCTAGAACACGCAAGCAGCAAGCAGACAGGCATTTTGGTTGGCTGCTGGGGAAGCAAAATGCCGACCTGGATGGGTCTTCGGTCTGACCCAGCTCCCTCGTTTCCTAGCTCCATCCAGCACTGCCCTGGCCAATCTGTGCCTTGCCTAACACACCTGCCCTCTTGATGAGCCAGCACCATCCCTGCCGCCCTGTCCTCACCTCGCTGGCCTTGGCCAGAAAGTCAACAGGATTTGAGGCCTTCAGAAAGTCAGTCAGCTTGCAACGGTTATACAGAACTGTGGCACCATCTTCATATCCTTCTGCCTGTTTGAAGCAAAGACAATCGGAATGAAGAGAAAATCCATGAAGCAGAGACTTCAGCTTGAGTCACACACATTCACTACCCAAGCCTAAACCTTAAATCTCTCTCTCTCAGCATTCCAGAAGCCAAGCCTCCTCCACTTCTCCAAATTCACAGGGTACCACTGGGCTCATTTTTAAGCATCTGAATCAAGCCATCATAGTTCCAGGCAAAAACATAGACATCTGTGCCTGATATTGACTGATTGATTGAAAACTTTTCTAGACCATCCTTTACCGTGGTCTTGGGATGGTTTAACAATAAGACAAAATAAAATAAAACACAACATCCTAATAAAAATTTTCCAATCAACAATAAAACCCCTATTAAAACAATCAAATATTAAAACACTGGGAAAATAATAAGGTTTTAGTCTGGTACCAAAAAGAATAAAGTGAAGTAAAGAGTAAAGTGGCAGTGATAGTCAAAGGCGAACCTTGGAAGGAAGTATAAAAAATTACAAATACTCCATTCCCTTTACAGCTCTTTATTCTTTCTCCCATGGTTACTTACACAAGCCAGTTGAAATAAGAGGAAGGCATTCTTATGTCATGAGAACATGACATGAAATTCTTGATTCTGTCAGAATTTGAGACAAACATTTAGAAACAAAAGCAGTTTCCTTAAAAATTCCTCCCCACTGACCTTTGGTTTCTTCTGGGACACCAGTTCAGTCACAGACTTGGCCTGCACCTCCACTTCTTTGAATGCAAACTTGGGATCAAAGAACTTGTTATCAATTTTATCTGGGGCCAAATAACCTGGAGCGGGTTGGTAAGAGGAGAAAAGAAATGTGTAACAAGGCAACTTGTTATTAAACTTATATCCTGCCCTTTTCCTTCCTAGAAGCTCAAGCAGTGCACTTGGGTTTCCTAGGCAGTCTTGCAGCCCAGCTTCTATGAAGCCCAAATCTGTTTAGCTTCTAGCTTCCACAAACTGCCTGCATTCTGTGCCCTGGAACTACAAGATTATGAATGACTAGTGTTATCAACTGATTATTAAAAAGTTACCTGCAATTAAACCACAACATTTAGGCATTTAAATTTAGATCTTGAGATAAGTTAACTAAGTTTGCCTCTTTCAGGTTAAAAGGTCTGAGACTACCTAAAATTCTACTGTTAACAAAAACAAAGCAGTAAAAAATATGCAGAATCACAAGAAAAAAAACGAAGGAAAAGATAGTTTCTTTTATGGAAGAGAATGCACAATGTTATCACAAGCCAACACTGGGTATCCTCTGTTGTATTTTCACTCAATAAAATTGCAGAATCCCTATTATAGCTGACTAGGGCCTGATATTGTGGAAGCGAACTTGACGAATGCCGTGTTGACTTCAGCTTCTCATTGTCTACTTCAATATCATGTATGGGGTTTTGTTTGTATAACTGCCAGAAAGAAAGTCACAGTAGTTTCAGCCTAGAGATAATGAAGTAAGTCTGAGAAGAAATAATTTAAGTTTCTTTTTTATTGCATCTGTTCTTGGAAGGAGGGAACAGATGCGCTGGTACAGCCTTGACGATAATACATGCAGGAGGCCATTAACACATCCAAGCTGCCTTATCACCAGCCCCCTCATGAATGTGAAGGCGCCTGTCTTCTGCCTCCCATTAACTTTCATTAATCATTATGGTCTCATCATTAACTTTCAAGTTATTGCCAGCATCCTTTAACTGGTAGCAATGCAAAGTCCCAAGGCTCAAATCCAGCCTGTGTGCAGCTGTGATTTCAACACTTCTCTGCAGGTTGCAGACATGGTGGCTACTCAACAGCAAGAAAAGGGAACTCTCTGCCATCAGCACCCTTCAGCAGAGGGTGGCCTCACATGGCATGCAAGGCTATGCCCCAGATGTGACAAAACCCTCCAGCTGCATCACTCCATGCTGCTGCCGCCGCCACTGTGAATTTGGCAACATCTAGCCACTGCCCGATGGCCCCCAGGTTACCCTGCTCGTCACCTGGTTTGTGCCCACTGCTCCCCACCTCTGGACTTACCTTGGCAGACCACAAAGATCTCAGCAGATTCATTGCGCGAGGCCTGAGGTTTGGTGGCTTGCACCTTGCGGAAGAGCTGCTGGAAGATCCACAGCAGGGGCTGGTAGTCCCGGGAACGGAAGACCTTGGTGACAAACCAGCCACCCTTGGACAGGAAGTCACAGGCCAGCCTGAGTGCTGACAGCGTAAGGTTAGCTGGCAGAGGGACAGAGCACAGCAGAAAGTCAGCCAGGGCTGCAGACTCAGCAGTCACTATGAGCTACCAGCTCCTGGACACACATCCAAGCACCTACATTTGCAACGTGGGCATAGCACCACCTTACGAGATACTGAAAGGAATGCAGAGATTTAAAGATCAAAAGGTCAAAAGTGTCCCATTAGTGCTACGCAGTCCTAGTATTTAGTGAGAAATAGCAAAGTCCCAAGTTGAGAGGCATACCTTGATCAAGTGTAATGTTTCATGCATTAAAAGACAAATATCCTTGCTCTTCAGATAGCAAGCACTTAGGATGGCTTATAAGGCAAGAAAACTAACAAAGTTCAACTTGCTATGATACAGAAGAGTAAAACAACCAATAAAATGCAGCTCAGGCCTGAAACAGTGCAGACTGGAACCAGCCAGTGGAAATGCTGGGCGAACAAGGGGGTCTTTGGTCCTGGGACCAGGAAATCTCCTGCAGTGGTGTTTCCACTAGTCAGGGACTATGACTAAAAAGCCCTTCCTCTTCTTCTGTCACAACTTGCCTAGCTCAGAGCATGTTTGGGGACCCAGCAGCCTCCAGACTGTAGCGGACTACAGCTCTCATCTTCCCTGATCACTGACCATGATGGCTGGAGCTGCTGGCGGACTGGAGTTCAAACACACCTGGAAGGTGACTCCAGTTTTGCCTGTACCCACCCCCTCCCTGCCACTTTGCCCAGAACCCGGGGAAAGAAATGCATTACACAATGCATTTTGCAACACCATCTGAGACTGTACCTCTGCTAAAGTCCTGGGTGCTGCATGCAGTGAGGCTTGGAAGGAATCACACCATGTACAGAGTTTCTAGTATGATTTGACAGCCGTGTGTGTATATCTGGCTCACATGGACAGGATGGACGTGCAAAACAGACAAGGCATTGACAATAGGCCACTAACACAGAATAAACTGCAGAAGCCTCGGTTTTACTCCGGTGTCCCACTTTGGATGGATACACTAGAATACAGCTCTTGCGAAGACATTTGGCAAGCCCTTCCCCTTCAAAATGGAAAACCCCCACTGGTGGAAAGCTGTCTCTCCCTGCTTCATCCTAACAACGTCTGTGGAAGAGGGTCCCATACCTTGGGAAAAAGCATCATGCACCCAGCTGGCTCCAACATTAGGAGCCCCATCATTCAGCACAACATCTACTTTCCATGTCTTCAGTTCCTTGCGCAAAGCCTGGGAAGAGAGAGAAGTGGGGACACACTGTGAGCACAGGTGCACACACCACATGCCAGGACATCCGGGATAAAATTCACCAAGAGTAAAACCTTTCCACCTGCTTGTAGAGAGGATGTGGAGGCAGGGAGTTCTCACAGACTGTTGTTTTCAAAGGTACTTCATTCTGGTGTTCTTACACCGATTGAGTTTGACATATTTAACTGATAGATTAAAGGGAAACCATATTGGTTTTGTTTTAGGAAAATTGGGATGTAAATACTAGAAAGAAACAGGAGAGGAGAGAAGAAAAAAAGGAGAGCCAAGGAGGAAAAAAACTTGGAGGTCTCACTGGCAGTAGAGATGAAAGACCGAGCCGAAGCTACACAGGCATCTGTATGCAGGTACCAAAAAAAAAAAAAAGAGCAGTTACCTGGCGACACTTCTCTGTGGTGATGTCCTCCTGCAATGTTACCACGTTAGGAATGGGCTTTATAGGAACCAGGTCAACTCCTGAAGGCAAGAAGAGGAGGGAATTGGGTGTAGCATGGGAAGGAAGTAAAAACCATGCAACTTCATCATGAGGGCAGTTCTTTTCTATTACTTATGAAGTTGCCTTTCACACCATCAGCGCAGCTGCTTCAGTGCTGCCCACTCTGGCAGGCAGCAGCTCTCCAATGCTTCACACGGGGCTCTGCCCTGAGATAATCTTAGCAAGAGGTACCACAGATCCCCTTTCCCCACCTTTCAGCTTGCTCAGCTGGCAAAGTGTAATGCCAAAGAGCTGGAGGCTAGGGAGGAGGAGGCACCAGCTTCATCCCTGCTCTCTTCCATGCCCCCAACTAGTTCCGGGTGCTGGAGGCAACAGTCTGCAGCCCACCACACTTGAAGGGCACCCAGTGGGAGGCTGGCCAAGCAGTGTGCCCCTGAATGCCATGGGAAGGCATGCAACCGTGGCTGATGGAAACAAGATGCTTGAGACTCCCCAGGCCAGACTTTCCAACTGGGTTCTGCCCAGATATCCTCTACTGCAACTCTCATCATCCCAGACCACTGGCCACGCTGACTGGGGCTGATGGGGGTGGGAGTGGTGTCTGCTGATAGCATCTAGAGGGCCCCAGAATGGAGACTGCCAACGCAGGCTTTTGGTCTGACGCAGCAGGGCTCGTCTTATACCCTTTCCATTTGGGTTACTCACCAATAATAAGACTGGACACTGGCATAAATTTTGAGGCCACCTGCAGCCTGTTGGAAGAGCAAAGAAATTAAGACTAATTCTGAGCATTCATGAGCCAACACTGATTGATTTGACAGTTAAGAATTGCTTTTATTAAGAGAATTTTCTAATTAATGCACAACACCATATAAGATCATAATTAATTATGCTGCAGTATTATTGTATATGAAGGTGTTAAAAGTGTAGCCCACAGGCTACAGGAATCCCTACCAAGCCCTAACAGCCTTCCAGAAAGTATTAGGGGAGTAAGGGGAAAGAAAAACACTCTGTAGATCTGCTATAGATACCTAATTCTAAAGCTGCCTGGGAGATGCTCAAAGTCTCCTGTCTGTTTCCTCAGATGCTTTAGGTATAGAGCTTCTGTTTTGTTCATTTTCTGAAAACATTCCAGGACACCAAGCGAGGGATGCCAGGATCCCTCAGCAAGGGAGTGGATTAAGGAAGGAGAAGGGCTTGGAGCCAGGAATCTTGGATGGCTGGGTGGTCTGAGAACTGAGGCTTCTGGGAGGTGTGTTGGTTTTACCTGTTCAAAAACTGTGCCTCTGAAATGCTCTTAGGCAGGAGCTGGTATATTGCGCTGTGTGTGGGAGTTGAATATGCACACGTGTATGCAAATATACATTTTGGGCCACTTTGGCAGACATGTGATGCAGCCCTGCTGTATATTGAAGGCAGGGACGCAACTTCATGGTGGGTGGTTGCCATGGTGATTGCAGGGCTTTCCCAGTGTTGGCTGCGCTTTGCAAACAAGCCTCCCTGAGAACCCACGGCCTCTAGCTGGGCTGTTTAGGTTGGCCTGCTGTGGCTTGTTCAGATATTCAAACGCAGCAGGATTGCTTCAGCATGGGATGTTTAAAACGGTGAAGCAGCTGCCTGACAAGACCAGCCAGAACCCCTGCCAGCTGCCCCTCTTGATTTCATGAGCGCTGCTGCCATCTTCCCTGATCTTCTGCCACCAGAACTGGCCAGGTCTGCCCCTTCACCAACACTGCACAGACACTTGGCAATGTCCCCATCCTATTGGCACGCCTGTTCTTGATTCTTTAAAAAAAATCATGCAAATAGGTGCGTTTTTTGAAATCTTCTATTCCATGCAAGAACGCATATGTGCAGGACCACAGCACATCTGAAGAAAAAAAAAATAGTAATCCAGATATGAATGACTGGGGGGAAGAGGCTTACTAATGCTACCTTTCGACAGAAAAGGGATAATGAGTGGGTAGCTTTGCTCCTAGGGAAATATATCAGAGAAAAGTGCTGGCACTTTGTAACTTATCCATTTGAGAGCTATGTAGTGATGGCGAAGAGAAGGGAGCTCTTGGCCAGTGGGAAAACAAAGGTCTGAGAGAGGTTATGCCACAAAGGCAGCTGAGATGCACATCGGAAGTGGGAATGAAGACCGAGAAGAAAAGAAGCCATGCCAGACCACTGCAAACTTGAGCATCTGGTCAGAAGTACCATGCGTCCTGCTCATGGCTTATACTCAGGGTGATTTATCATGATGTTGGCACTTCTCCAATACAACATTTTTGGAAATGCGTGCTGAAACATATGTTTTCAGCAGGGCCACAAACCCCAGAAGGACCAGCACCTGGATAATTTGACAAACAACTGTCAGGAACAAAGTACAAACAATTACAACCAAAGAGCATAAAAGAACATCCTTGCTGATGGGAGAAAAGAGCTTATCTTTTATTCTACTTATCTGAAAACTGATCAAGCTCTTACACTAGCAGACTCTTTGCATATCAGTAACTTAGAACAAGGAGAGATGCGTAATATTTAAAAAGACTGCATTTTTGGAGCCCTTTGGAAAAAAATCTTATCTCAGTCATAATTAGATACACTTAAACTTATCTTTTCCATAAAGTATGTTGATATTTATAATGATAATATAAATACTTTAAGCAGGGAAACTTCTCATTGCTTTATGAGAGCTTCATGCCTGTTCTTCCCAGCTCAGAGAAAGAACAGAGGACAGGAGATTCCCACCCCAGTAAAGCAGGATCCCAAACACAACCATGGTTCTCCCATTGAAAGCAAGCTCACACTTTGGCTAGTGCAAAACCGTGCTGCTCCCTTCATAGGCCTGGAAAACTCCCATTTTGGCTGGCTACTAAGACTGCCACAAATGTGCGTACCCTGATTGCAAAATCTTTTGCACCATTTAAAAAAAAAGTATTCAATAGTAAAATTGATCTACACCTGAATCCACTTCTGTTGTATGGACAAGTTTTCAAGGTTACACATAACTCTTCACTGGAAGGGGTAGCATATACATGTACTGGTGATTCATCCAAAGTGTCTTCCCAGCTCTCAGTAACATAAGGACCTCTAAATTCTACTTGTGTCAACAGCAAGACTGCTGTGATCCTGTACGACCATGTTCAAGTCTCACATCACATCCCCGTCCGCTACTGGTCACTCACCATCCTCCAGGAGCAGCACACAAATCTAGCAGTGCCCGTGACTTTGCCAAGAACTGGAATTTGCGGTTCAGTTGGATGAGCTTGAAGGATGAACGGGAGCGGAAGCCTGGAAAACGGAGGCAAAATACAGTCAGAACTGGAGCTATAGGCATACAGGACAAGGAACGATGAGAAGTAGGATTAAATGGGCTATGGACCTGGATCTTGGAGGTGATCAACGCCTCTTTAAGAGATAGCCGGGTACTTGCCCCTTTAAAAGAGGCGGTAGTCCGGCCAGTCCTAAAGGCGGCTTCCCTGGATCCAGAGGTGGCCGCCGATTATAGACCGGTGGCCAACATCCCGTTCTTGGGCAAGGTACTAGAGCGGGTGGTGGCGGGACAACTCCAGGCACTCTTGGATGAAACTGATTATTTGGACCCATTTCAGTCCGGCTTCAGACCTGGGTATGATACTGAATCTGCCTTGGTTGCCCTGTACAATGACCTGTGCAGGGAGAGAGACAGGGGGAGTGCGTCCCTGTTAGTTCTCCTGGACCTCTCAGCGGCTTTCGATACCATCGACCATGGTATCCTTCTGGATAGGCTAGCAGGACTGGGGGTTGGAGGCACCGCGTTGCGATGGTTCCGCTCCTATCTCAACGGCCAATTCCAGAAGGTGGCGCTGGGGGACTATGGCTCTGCGCCATGGCAGTTATGCCATGGAGTTCCGCAGGGGTCCATTTTGCCCCCCTTGCTATTTAACATCTACATGAAACCGCTGGGAGAGGTCATTAGGAGGTGTGGGCTGCGGAATTATCAGTACACAGATGATACCCAGCTCTACCTCTCGTTTTCCACCAATCCAGGTGAGGCAGTGGCTGCGCTGAACCAGTGCCTGGGCGAGGTAATGGGCTGAATGAGGGCCAATAAACTGAAGCTCAATCCAGAAAAGACGGAGGTCCTGTTGGTAGGTGGCTCGGGCCTCGGGATGGGGGACTTGGGCCTTGTCCTAAATGGGGTTGCACTCCCTCTGAGGGACAGGGTTTGCAGCTTGGGAGTGCTCCTCGATCCTGAGCTGTCACTAGAAGCTCAGGTGACGGTGGTGGCGAGGAGCGCCTTCCTTCAGCTTCGGCTGATACATCAGCTGCGTCCCTTCCTGGAGAACGACTGCCTGGCGACAGTGACACACGTGTTGGTAACTTCCCGATTACACTTCTGTAATGCGCTCTACGTGGGACTACCCTTGAAGACGGTCTGGATACTTCAATTGGTGCAGAATAGAGCTGCCAGGTTGCTGACAGGGACTGGGCGTTGTTCTCAAATAACCCCAGTCCTCCGTCAGCTTCACTGGCTCCCGATTGAAGTCCGGACCCAATTCAAGGTGTTGGTCATCACCTATAAAGCCCTTAACGGCTTGGGACCTGGTTATCTAAAGCAACGCCTGCGTCCATATATGCCCCCCTGCCCCTTGAGATCGGCAACAGATGCCCTTCTCTGGGAACCCTCTGTGAAAGATATTAGGAGGGTGAGTACCCGGAGGAGGGCCTTCTCTGCGGTGGCGCCCCACCTATGGAATGCGCTCCCCAGAGAGGCCCGCCTGGCGCCATCGTTATTTGTTTTTTGGTGCCAGGCTAAGACCTTTTTATATAAAACTTATTTTAATTGTTAATTTATCATGTATTTTAGGATTCTAAATTTTATGCCGAGATGTTACCAAGTTTTTAATGAATTTTAATGTACTGTTATTTAAATATTTTAATTATGTTGTGAGCCACCCTGAGGCTTTGTTGTGATGGGGGCGGCATAGAAAGGTTTTAAATAAATAAATAAGCCTTCTGAGGTCTGGGACCCACGTTTAATACAGGACAAAAGTGACTGGTAATAGCTCTGCAGGGTATCAGGCAAGACTTTTTCTCAGGCTTTTTTTTTTTTTTTTTTGGAAATGCCAAGGATTAACCTGGGACCTGCATGCAAAGCATGTGCTCTACTGTTCTATGGCCTCTCTCCTCAGGGAAAAGAACCAGTAGGTAAAGCAATTCCTACTAATGTTTGACAGCAAAAGCAAAATACAGCAGCAGGAGGAACAAGGATATATCAGCCTTTCCCATTATGTTATTAGTTCAGCTAAATGGGTCCTCACCCTGTTTGGCTTGTCAGGATTACATGAGAAGAGCAACAAAAGGGTTCTTGCATCGAGATCCAGAATTCTTTACCTCCCTCCCTGCCCACCTATCTGTGCCCTTTCCCCCTTCTCAACATCCCTTCTAAGCCTGCAGCTGCAACTTCAGGAGAGAAGCTGCTGCAGATATTTCCACAGCCATAACTGGACCTCCTCCTCCACAACTGGAGCTCTGCCTGCAGCCACAGAAGAGAGACCAGCACCCTCTTATGGCTCCTGAGCACTGTATGGGAGCTACAGGATTGTTCTGTAAAGCTCTCAATGCACTGGGATTCATAAATCACCTGCCTCCATGCAAGTCTGCCCCAAAGCTTTGCTCATTCTTTGAGACTTTGTACTTCTCCACTATGAGAAATACAGTGAGAACCTGAGGCAGGTTTGTGCTTGGTGGGAGATTCAGGACAGGCATACGTATGTACACTCCCTTCACCATAAACCTATGGAATTCACTACCACAACATGTAGTGATGGCCAAAAATCTGGATGGTTTGGACAAATTCATGAAGGCTAGAGATGACTACTTGTTCTGAGAGCTAATGAGAAATCTAGTATCAGAGGTAGCATGCCTCTGGTACACCAGTTGCTGGGTAACTGAGATGGAAGGATGTTGTTGCACTCATGTCCTGCTTCTGGGTCACCCACAGGCATCTTACTGGCTAGCATGCGATCAGAATGTCAGACTAGAAGGGTTTTTGGTTTGATCCTGTGTGACTCTTATGTCTTCAAAGCAGAATAAAAAATGGTTCTACAACTTTCAACATGACTGGTTGAAGAATGCTGGGTATTGTCAAACTTGTTGCAGTCTAAACATACATAAGACTTCACCCTTAAACTTTTAAATCCCACCTTTCTGGCTATATACACACCACGCAGGGTAACTAACAATTAACCAATAAAAATACTTTAACACCAAAGAACAGCATATCTGATAAAATATATGTCTGCCTAAAGGGTTTTGCCTTTGTCTTGCAGTAAAACACTTTTAAAGAAAATGCAGCCTAGCCTACCAAGTCAGAGAATTCTGCAGTTTAGGTATGGATACCAAAGAAGCCTCTTTCTCTTGTCCCATCAACTGTACATCCATCATTGTTCAGTCGTAGAGAAAGACCTCTCCACTAACCTTGGGGAATGATAAGGATAAAGGAAGTGTTGGTCTAACAGTATACATTAGAATGGTGGAAGGGTTGATATTTTCTGATATTAAATAAATGCATGCATTTTACTGCTTTAATAATTTACCAAAGATCACCTATCTTTGGGGCCTTAAGGCTACCTCTTCCCCAGAAGTTATCTGACTTCCCCTCAGTCAATCCTCAAGCAGCTCTATCCCAGGGTCTTTTATAAAGGCCAAGGCTGGTAATTCCTATTAGATAAGCACGAAGAGAAGAGTGCCTTTGCGACCATAAAGACTTTTCTTCTCTAATAAGGAGCACTTCTCCGTACACCTGGGAACAGGGGCAAGACAAACGCAAGTGCTGCCCACCCCATCATCTCACCAGTCTCCTTGGCCAAGTGGTAGAATTTGTCCCTCCGGCTCTTGCCGACTTTGCCCTTCTTGCCCATCTTGGCTACGCGGCTCCTCCGGGGCCAAGAAATAACCACCGGCCACACACGTGCGCTAAACCAGCTATGATTCTTTCCTCATAGAAGTCCCTCCTCTTCCTTGTTTTCTCTCTCATACATACGTCTGCATCGGGGCAACCATCTTGAGTGTGGCATAACTTCCACCCGCCCCCTTCCCCGAAATACAAAAGAGAGTACGCAGAGCGCACCTCTCCTTTCTGCCAGAACTTAGGGAAGTTGAAAGAAGGTGGTGTCATATTGCCACTTCACACTTCCCTTCCTTCAGTGGTCGTAAACACTTTTAATTACCCTACCAAGATGGCAGCAACATTCTTGTCAGTTACAGCTTGAGTTTCCGTCGCCAAGTATACACGTTGAACCTAAACGCATGCGCAACAGGCTGTTTGTATAACTAGAAAACCGATCATTAAAAAAAACTTCTAAAACACTTCACTTCCGGTCCCTACTTATAAGTACGCAGCATTCTCCTTATGCGGGGTTAGAGTGATGGGTATCAAGAGGAAATGCAAAAACAGGCTGGCAATCGGATGCCTGGATTTATTCAATGAAGTGGACTATTGTTGCTGCTTGTAAGCCGTCCAGAGTCTGTGGTATTGGACGGCATATAAAAACTTTAAGCAAATAAATAAAAATAGACGAAAGCGTATACCGTTAAGCAGGGCTTTTTTTGTCATAGAATGCACCGGAACGGCGTTCCGGCACCTTTTTTTCCAATGGATTTTACGAAGTGATTTTGAATCGTAGCAGATCAGCAGCAAACATCATTAAGATAGTGCCTGCCGGCTGCTTTTGTGTCTGCTATCTGATAGTGAGATAGTGAGGGCGCTGCTCTCGGCTTGGGGCGCTGCTCGGCTTGGGCTAATGTGTGTGGTCGCGCGCTTACTGCCGGCGACGTGAGTGCCGGCACCTTTTTTTTTTTTTTTTTACAAAAAAAGCACTGCCGTTAAGAATGCAAAGTTTAGCTGGGAAAAGCCCTACAAGAATGTCCAGCTTACTTATCAGGGAGTGGGCGCAGGACTTTTTTCTGTCTAATTATGCTTCGAACTGCATTTTCATTTAGTCATACTTTGGGTGCGTCCATAAAGAGAAATAGGGCCTAAGTTAGTCATGATTACTTTAAGTGGGTCTTCTAACTATGTCCAAACGAGAATCCAGTTCTTAATCTTTGCGAACTCCCTTACTTGTGCTGGCGGAATGTTGGCTTTTGCCTTCCCCAGTCTTATTTCCCGCTCGCCTGCGTTTTGGTTACGTCCGCAGACTTAATTCAGTTCGGTTAAGTAGGCGGGCTTCATTTTTGTATTAACATGCAAAGGTGCGAGCGCTATTTTTCTTTAGCTAGAAACCCGAGGCTGCTTTCCAACGGCCAACGAGAGAGCGGCTGCTGCTCCGCAGTATCGGAGCTCGTGGAGCAGCGGAGGATTATGTTTATTGTAAAACCTCATATTCGCTTCCATTTAATCTGCTGGCATGGGGTAGTGATTAGATCATTAGACTGCGACTCTGGAGATCTGGCTCTGGTTTCCAGTCAGCCATGAAGCTCACTGACTTTGGGCCGATCATGAACGCTCTGCCTCGCCTACCTCACAGGGTTGTTGCGAGGATAAGATGAAAAACAGCAGGATCATGTAACCACTTAGGGCTGCTTAGAGGGGAGACGGAATATAAATGTAATTTAGGGTACAACCCTATGTAAGTGAAGAAGAAAAAGCTTGCAGCTCCCAGGATGTCCCACCCGGCTATTCTACAATGCTGGGAACTGTAGGCTTTTTTCCTGTCTAAACTTATATAGGGTTGCGCCTGTAATAATAGCAACATTAACATTGATCCTGATGTACTTCCACCGTTTTTGTTTCATACATATAAGAATTCCGCGAACTGCAAGCCGAAAGCGAACACGCGCCGCTTAATTCCACTGCGACTGCGGGAAGAGAAGGAAAAGTAGCGTCAGAAGCCGGAAGCGGAACTTCGGTAGTGCCCCGTCCTTGCGTCGCGCATGCGCGTAGCTGTGGTTGCTGATGCCGGCGAGGGAGAAAATGGCGGTGGAGGGTCCTGAGCAAGTAGGCAAATTCTGGGGGATGCTGAGTCACTCTTGTATCTTTCTCCTGTCCCTCATTTCTCTGTGGCGACGTGGGGGGTGGGTAGGAGAAGCGGAAGGGTGGCAATTCATGGGGGGTATTTATTTATGCTGTGGTGGGTGAACCGAACTGGAAGGATAAGGGAGGTTGTGAAGGGCTTTTTTAAAAAACCGGCAGGACGGTCACGCCAAAGGCTTCATGAAGGCGGGCGTTTGAACGTGGGTTCTGTCAAACCTACTGGGTTGCGGGAGATGGAGTTATACTGCCAAGAGATATGAGAGCAAGTGTGTATGGACGTGTATATGCAGGCACACCTTGTTCCCCTCTCTGCCCTCCCCCCCCCCCCTTACAAATGTCCATATTATTAGGCATCTCTGATTAGTAAAGGGAGAGGTTATGGCCATGTGTAAAGATGTGAAGCATTTTCTTTCAGCTTCTTAGCCAAAAATCTTCTAGAACAGCTTTACATTTGAGTAAGAATAACTTGGATATGACTCAGTAAAACAGGACAGGCTCTGCTTTTCTCTTACCATATTAAAAGAAATGACACGCATGAGGAAGAAAAAAGAGGGAGGGGAGGTTCATTCTTTCAGCAGGGCTAGTGGAATGGCCCTGCCTCCCTCTGTCATCTCCCTCAAAATGGATGGTATTATTGGGTTGCTGAGGTTGTCACTTATGAAATGTTTTGAATGAGAAGGAAAGTGGAATCAGAGACAGATAGTGGCTTAGGGTGCGCTGTTGTGAACAAAGCCACGGAGACAAACTGGCATCAGGTGTTAGGTGCAGTGCTGCCCCTCATTTTGTGTTTTATATTGCAGTCTGGAAGAAATGCCACAGAGATAGAGGAAAGGAGTGTGGTGTGCTGTTTGGGTATGGTGTAAGTGATCCGCCCCATTCTGGCATGTCCCTTTAGCCCTCTTCACAGCTGCTGAGGTTTTTTCTGTGTTGGCTGTGAAAGGGTGGGCTGGGGACTCTGCATTTGAGTCCCAGTTTTGCAGTTCTGAATCCAAACCTCAGAACTTGCATTCCAAATAATCCTCTGCCCTCACCTGCACGATGTTGACAGGCCATAGGAGTGTACCTTTATAGGTTGGTTATAGCATGTCTGTTTCTAGAGAGAAGGCATATTGCATTAGAAGCTGGAGAGAGGTGTAGAACCAACCAAAAGGGTGGGGGGTGGGAGATGGAATGCCATTAGTAGAATTTTGTAATGTAGATGGGCATGTAAGTTGTCATTTTGTCTGAGTTGATCTGCTTTTTCTTTTTTTCTCTCCTAAATGTCTTCTGCAGATGGAGTTGGATGAGGGCAAGGGTGGGACTGGGCTGCGCCAGTATTACCTGTCCAAGATTGAGGAACTACAGGTGAGGTTTTTCTATTTCTTGGAGTGGAGAATGAATACAAGTTGTTGTGTTGTACGCACTTCCTCACAGCCAGGCTACTGAAGCCATGGAGGATGTTCTTCTGGTGGTTCCATGAAGACCCATAACTTGATTGGAGTCCACCAGGAGAAAAGCTGTCGATGTAGTGGCTCCATTGCTATGATATGCCGTTTTCAGTGCCTGAAGACATCAGGTTGTCCAGCCATGACTTTAATGTTAGCTTGTTTTTAACGTGTTTTTATTTTACCTGTTTTAGCATTATACTGTTTACTACTCCTGAAACTGCTTACCTATGCAGTGGTGTACAAATACTGTAGATAAATAATAAATTTCACAGATTTATGGGAAGCAGGGGTCAGTTAAAGTTGTCTAATGTGGGGTGGGGTTGGACTAGGAGATGTTTAGGTAATCTTCAGCCATATAGTTTTCCCCTTGACTATCATTTATCATTTTTTTCTTTGGTGGACACATTAAATTAAAGCTCTGTAAAAATATGAGTGGAAACAGACATGTATTCTAAAACTGTTTTGACATATGTTTGTTGTGTTTTGAGGTATTTAGTTTCAGGGCAGAGTATGTACATTCAAGCCTGGCATACTACACACTGAAGGCATGACTTACTATTCTAAAAGAGCAGGCATACAAGGGAAAGGAGGTGGGGATGGAGGAAAAAGAAAAACAGGAGCAACATTCTGACAATGCCAGAGCAAGGAAGTAAGTTGTTAACTGGCTGTTATAGCTTTTCCTCTTTGCCCCAATTGGGATGAAAATAGTGCAACTGCCCATCATTTTTTGATTTAGTGTCCCAGATTAGGGATAATCAGTTGGGGATAATATTCTGTGGCAGGGAAGGAGAAGCATTCATTGTCTAGCTGATGGGTATGTTCAGGCTGATCTACCCATAGCTGGCAAGGTCTTTGTGATGTGGCCAATAGCAGCCCTTGTTTGATTGCGATGGTGTTTATAGAAAATTTGACTTATCTTTCTTCCTTTCCTATTCTAAGTTGATAGTCAATGATAAAAGTCAGAATCTCAGGCGGCTGCAGGCTCAGCGAAATGAGCTCAATGCCAAGGGTAAGTTGTGAACAGCTTGGCACTCTGCGATATTTCTTTTGTGACAAGGCAGTGGGGGGGAGGGGGATAACTGGCTGTGTTCAGATACCTTAGGAGCAGAGCAGAGTTTGGGGTATGGTTATACAGATGTGAAGGTTCATGTAGAAAGAGGAAATGGGTATATGGTTTCCCCCAAGGCTTTCCCAGATTTTAGTGGAAAAACAGGAACAACTCTTACAAATATTTTATGGAAATAATAAAATACTTTTTAAACCAGGATTTTAAATACATGTGGTGCAGAACGTTGTATAGTTGCTAGATAGCTTCCGAACAGCCATAGGATTAAGAGTCCAGCAGCCAACATGGAAAGCACCGTGTTGGCTGCTTCTCCAAGGTCATAAGAGACCTCCAAAAAGGCTTTTGAAGGCATTATGGGGAAAGGAAAGGAGACTGGCATTGCCAGGGTAAAACAAATCTCAACCTTTTTCCCTCCCACTCTGAAGTATGGCACTTAGAGAGCTGAAATCACCTCTCCAGCTGCACAGCAAGGTGAAGACAACCTTCACTTCCATGCTGCTTTTGGCCTTCATAGGTTCCCCATAATCCTCTGTTTGGAGGATTATGGGCATCCCCATAGGATGGGACTCCTGGCTGCATTTTACTCCCTTTTATGACTATATCATATAACTGAGCCTTTGGGCTATCGGGCAGTATAAAAATGTAATTAATAAATGAAATAACTTGCAGTACTAGGTAGTTACAGTAGCTGTACACTGTGGACATGTTTCAGCTGTTGGGCTGTATGGAAAATAAATAAATAAAATGTGTTCAAATTACTCTGTTGGGCTGAAGGCAAACATTAATTTTTAAAGAAGTTGGAAGCAGCCTGAATGAGTGATTGTTACAGTACCCGCATGAAGTTGCAAGTGGGGTGATTGTATTTCTTGACAATGCTAACCAGAGACTGTTGTTAAGCTCAAATGATATAAATTTCCTTTTGCTTATTATACTGTTGATTTTTCTAAAGAGATAAAAATAAAAATCCTATTTGTTCCCCTATTTTCCCAAATGGCAAAAACCCTACAAGATATGTGTGGCAGCTTCTTGTTCCAACACTTAATGCCTTTATTCCACACTGGTGTAATACATTGTACCGCTTGCTGGCTGGGAAATGCTGGAAGCATATAACTTTTTTTGTCCCAGTATGCATAGGATTACATTTTTACATGCTTATATTTAAATATGCCAGGTAGTACCACATACTACACACAAAACATTGTATGTGCCTTCAAAGTTTCTGGAAATGTCAAGAAGGCAGGTAACACATATATCCCTAGATTCCTAGTGTGGGTATAGTGGCTAGAGAACTGGGCTGGGACTTGAGAGACCGAAGTGGGGTTCTAGTCTCCCGCTCAACCATGGGGCTCACTGAGTGACTTTGGGCTGTCACTGGATGTATAACGGAACCTGCCTCACAGAATTGTGAGGATAAAATGAAGGAAGGCTATGTAAACTTTCTGCCTTAGGTTCCTGCAGCAGGCAGAAAATGTGGGTTAGAAATGTGATACTAGTATATTCACACTTCCTTCTTAATGTATTAATGAAAACTACATTTTCCCATAACTTCAAAACCTCTGGAAATACATCTTTGCCAGGGAAGGAGAGATTAGCAGTGTCTTATTGATGAGCGGGGAGACTGTTCCCCCCGCCCACCATCACTAATGTGAGATCTGTTTTGTTTTCCCTGCCTACCCCAGTACGCCTCCTCCGTGAGGAGCTGCAGCTTCTTCAGGAACAAGGCTCCTATGTAGGTGAGGTGGTGAGGGCTATGGACAAAAAGAAGGTGCTTGTTAAGGTATGGTTATTCCCTGTATGTTTGTATGAGATACTTGTGGTCTGCAGTGCAGTGAGAGGGTGGCTTGTGGACATTTAAATAGCAACACTGGGCATTTAAATAGCATTTCTGAATGCATGAATTACAGTGTGATGTCGTGGTTAGAGTCAGATTAGGTCTAAGAAGACCTGGGTTCAAATCCCACCCCAGCTATGGAGCTTTCTAGCTGAGGTGACTTTGAGCTAGTCACCATCTCTTACTGTAGCCTACCTCACTAAAAGGATGATGATGATGATGATGATGATGATGATGATGATGATGATTATAACATTTCTATGCCGCCCCTTGCCGAAACCTCGGGGCGGCTTACAACATGATAAAATACATTGAAATACAATAGTACATAAATGCAGGGAGGATAAAATGCAGGGAGGGAGATGCATATGTGCTACCCTGAAGGATAAGTGGAATAATATAAAAGCCAGTCTGGTGTAGTGGTTAGGAGCACAGGCCTAGGACTCAGGTGATTTGGGTTCTAGTTCCCACTCAGCTATGGAGTCAACTGGGTGACCTTGGGCCAGTCACAGACCCTCAACCCAAGCTTCCTTACAGGGTTGTTTTTATGGGGATAAGATTGAGAGCAGGAGGAAGAGAATGATGTAAGCTGCTCTGAGTTCTTTAAAAAATAAAAAGTGGGATATAAATCTAGGATATATATAAAATACCTTTTCTAAGTAATTTAACAGCTATCTAAGATAACCCATTATTATCCCCATATTATGGATTTGGTGCTGTGAGACTGAGCCTGAGAAAAATGGCCCCCCAGTTCATGGCAAAACTCAAATTTCAGGCAGGGCTTTGAAATTTCACAGCTCATTCTCTTAGCTACACTGTCTTGCAGACATATTAAATTCTTTCCAGATTTTCCATGTTTTGTTGTGTTATAGCCTAGAATTTAAATCAACACTGTGAAAGTGCAGTACAGTTGTATTGTGGAACAAAAGTTAAATAAACAACAAAAAAAACCTCCTGGAATTTGCTGGTTGCATAAATACTTGCCTCCCTGAGTCAGTAATGCAGTAGAAATACTGCATTCGTATTTCTATTTCTGCTATTTAAATGCTGAGAATCTCCTTGGGTAAGTCTCTATCAGCTTTGTGCTTCCAAATCCTGCAGTGTTAGCCCATTCCTCCTGGCAAAACTGCCCCAGTTCTCTCAGGTTGGATGGACACTGTTGATAAAATAGCAACTTACAAGTCTTTCCTCAGATGCTCAATTGGATTGAGATCTGGGCTTTGACTGGGCCTCTTCGAAACATTTAGGTTCTTGTTTTTCAACCATTCCAGTGTTAACTTGGCTGTATGTTTACTGCCATTGTTTTGCTGGAAGAGGCACCTCAGTCCCAGTCTCCTGGTAGGTCGAAGCAGATTTTTCTTTAGAATTGCCCATCCATCTTGCCATCAGTCCTGACCAGTTTCCCAGCCCATGCTGAGGGAAATATTGGCGCTGCAACCCACCAAGGTAATGTTTTCTGGGCATTGCACACTGTTGGTTTTGCTCCATACATAGTATACTGCAATTTTGCTCTCATCAGACAAGAGGATATTTTCCCACATACCTGTTGTGTCTTCCACATGTGTTTTTGCAACATTTATGCACAGGCTTTGATATGGGCTTGTTTCAGCAGTAGCGTTCTTCTCTCCACACTGAGTAATAGTCCTCCTATGGATGGTTTCTCCCATCTTAGCTGCATCTCTCCTCATTTTTCTTGATTGGGCACTTGGTTGCTTCTCTAATGCCCTCCTTACCTACCCACTGAGTTTTGGTGGACAACCATCTCTGGGCAGAATTGCAGTTGAGTCATATGCTTTCCATTTTTTAATAGTGGTGTTTAGTGGTGCTGCAGTGGTTGTTCACAGTTCAGTTTTTTTCATAATCAGTTTGATTGGTGCTTCTGCACAATTTTATCCAAGAATTTTTTGATAGATCCTTGGCCTTCATGATGCTCTTTTGCTTAGATGCGCTCTTCAGCAAACTTTGGGAACTTCCAGAAACAAGTCTATTTAATCTGAAATCATGGGGCACTGGAAATGCACACAGGTAGCATCCATTGGACTATTTAAAGCACTCTGGAGGCAATGGGCTCTACCAGAGCTTGCTTAGGTATGTCACAGCAAAGGGGGGGTCAATGCTTATGCAAGCAATAAATGCCTGTTTTTGTTAGCTTGTGTGCCACTATTTTGCAGCTTCACAATGTTGAGCATCTTATGCCAATTAATCCATTTTGATCTGAGGTTGTAATGCAACATCTGGAAAAGGCAAAGCGTTGGGGTGAATCCTTCTGCAAGGCATTGTAAACAGTTTCCGGACAGAAGCAGTGAAAGCGTTAATGTTACACAAGTTCTGGGGCAGCAGTGAAGTGATCTATTTTTCAGTGAACTGTGCTGGCACTTACTTTGTTTAGCTTGGCTTCTTTGCTGTTGGTGCTGGAAATGTTCTGTTCTCATTGTGGTATGTGGCCCCTCCTTTATTCTAGGTTCACCCAGAAGGCAAGTTTGTGGTTGACGTTGATAAAAACATAGATATAAATGATGTAAGTATTTGCCAGGCCATGCCTGGCTCTCAGAGGTGGGGACGGGACAGTACAATACTTTAGACCTGCAGGATTTTGTGGTATTTTTTGTTTTTTCTTGAGTCTAGTGTGCTGTCTTTGAAATGTCCTTGGAAACTTAGGGCTGCTGTCTTCAGCTTTCTCCCCTCTTTACATCCAGGTGACCCCAAACTGTCGTGTTGCTCTACGGAACGACAGCTACACACTCCACAAGATCCTGCCGAACAAGGTGGACCCCCTGGTGTCATTGATGATGGTGGAAAAAGTGCCAGATTCCACGTATGAGATGATCGGTGGGCTTGACAAACAAATTAAAGAAATCAAGGAAGTGATTGAGCTGCCTGTCAAACATCCAGAGCTTTTTGAAGCTCTGGGCATTGCTCAGCCCAAGGCAAGTGAGGAGGGTGCTTCAGAATCTCAGTCCTGTCTCCCCCACTCCGACACAAAATTGCTCTCCTTCACCGTGTCCTACTGGGCCAGCCTGTAGTAATATGTATGTTTGCTTGCACTTAACCTATATAAGACTAACAAATAATCTGTGCTTACTAAGTAATGAGAAGAACATTTGTTGTGTGTTATCACAGGGACCCTGTTCATGTATTTCAGGGCTAACTCTTGATGAGCCATGACTCTTCCCCTCTCATACAAATTTGGCAGAGAGTAGGGCACCCCACATTTCAGGCATGTGACGCCCCTTGTTTCAAATAGTACAGTCAAGAGAGTGTGGACACCTGGCCAGGAAATGCATTGCTTGAGGCTGCAGTGCCATGAGATTCTCTCCTCCCCTCCATCAACTGTTTCGAATCCTGTATTAACCTAACTTTCGTACTGATCTTTTGGTGTTCTTTATTGCAGGGTGTGCTGCTGTACGGACCCCCTGGTACTGGAAAAACTTTGCTGGCTCGAGCAGTGGCTCATCACACGGATTGCACCTTCATCCGTGTTTCTGGCTCTGAACTTGTGCAGAAATTCATTGGAGAGGGTGAGCAAGAAGGGAAAAATGCAATGGAAAGGTCTGGGTGTTCATTTTTCCAGGAAAGGGCTAGCAGGTATGCAGCCCCTTCAGTGAATGTCTTGAAAGGGCAAATTTCTGAGTGGGAATATTGGGACTGCCACTTGAGCAAGGCACCGAGATGTGTGATTACCACATCTCTTAGAAATGTAGCTCAGTATTGACCAAGCTCTCTGAAGTGGGGTTGGAAATTCAGGTGAATGAAAAATGGTTAAGAAACTGGAATAGCATTTTTAGAAGAGGACACATGTTTGTGGCGGGGGTGTTTTGAGGACATGCCAGTCTTTGCTAAGGCACTGGGGGATCGCTGCTTGTTTTGTGGTGGCAGGTGCACGGATGGTGCGTGAACTCTTTGTCATGGCCCGTGAGCATGCTCCCTCTATTATCTTCATGGATGAGATCGATTCCATCGGCTCCTCCCGTCTGGAGGGTGGCTCTGGTGGGGACAGTGAAGTGCAGCGCACCATGTTGGAACTGCTCAATCAGCTCGATGGTTTTGAGGCCACTAAAAACATCAAGGTAGGTTGGAGGAGGAGTGTGATTTCCCACTCTCTCACGATGGTATGCATAGCACAAAGTAAACTTAGTTTGCATCTTTTGCTTTTCCTGGTACAATCTGGGTTTTAAGGTTGAATATATTTGACCCTTGATGATTGCATGGTTATACTGCCTTGATACTGGCATCACATGCAGCAAACCAGATGGAAGATTAGGAGGGAGAGATGGGAAGATGGGAGTTTGGAATAGCGTTGTGCAAGAAATGGGAAAGGCCTGCCTGAGAGCATTATTTTCCCATGGTCAGTAGTGGTAGTAGGGGGAATAAAAATCATGCATGTAGATATTTATCAGATGCAGTGTTGACTGTAGGCCTCTACTGCCCTTCCTGTGCAGGTAATTATGGCAACCAACCGCATAGACATCTTGGATTCAGCCCTGCTTCGTCCTGGTCGCATTGACAGAAAAATAGAATTTCCTCCCCCCAATGAAGAGGTAATGTTGATGGAGGACAAGAGTTGCAGTCCTCTCTGTATCTTCTGTTGATTGCTGGTCTTGTTCTGTAGAAAGAGTCTGAGGAAATTTGGCTTCATCTTCTATACTGTATTGTCAGGCTCGGCTGGACATTTTGAAAATTCATTCTCGCAAGATGAACCTGACACGGGGAATCAATCTGCGGAAAATTGCTGAACTAATGCCAGGGGCTTCAGGGGCTGAAGTTAAGGTAAGTTACAGTTGGACAAAGAGCACCAAACCTCGGTAGCAAGACTTTCTGACTATTGCTTTTAATATTAATGAGTATTTGATCATTATCAGCTGCTAGAATTTGTTTCTGAAGTTTGTAATGTGCATCAATCAATATAAGATGTTCTCAGATCTTCTGTGATGTACACACACATACCTATTCAAATATTATTTTGATACTCTTTGCTGTTCCCACAAGTTTTGGTGCCACAGGCATGGGACCTGTGATTTTTTTTTTAATATCAGAATATATATCAACATAAATAAGAAAGCACAGTTGCCAAATGTTTCAAAAGAAATAACTGTTCCAAAGTAGTGCTTGAATCAAAAACTACACTTTGTCGTAACCTGTATGTAAAGTTGCCAAAGAAGTCATCTATATTAAAAATAATTATTTTGTTATACTTGAACGCACTACAGATGTTACCTGCCTGAACTGTCTGTCCTTAGGACTGTGGGCCAGTTCACATCTCTGTCTTGTAATTGTGCATTGCAGGGTGTGTGTACAGAAGCCGGCATGTATGCATTGAGAGAGAGGAGGGTGCATGTAACTCAAGAAGACTTTGAAATGGCTGTTGCAAAGGTACTGTTTTGGGCATGCTTATGAGGAAAGGGCTACTGTGGGGCATGTATATAGGTTTTCACCTTTGTTGTTCCATCAGTGTATCAGAGCTGGCCAGAAGGCAACGACATCCTGAACGGCTACAGAGACCAAAGCAGAAAATAGTTGGGATCTTACAATTCTGTCTTTTATGAAGCCTAGACTTTAGTTGAGAAGGCTTCTGGGACTTTTTAGTGACAGAAGACATCACTCTTAAAACCAGGTTCCTGCATCTGTTTTTTAATAGGGTGGATAGTGGACGGCACTGATTCAGTTTGCACAAAGACGATCTGGTTTCTTGGGAGTGAATGTGTATGCCACTGCATTTGGCATACTTCCACTTTCAGTAAACAAGTAATTCATTTCTAGGTTATAAGAATGACTTCTAAACCCAGACAATGAATTGATAGGTGGCTAAACCAACCAGAGAGAACTGCAAGTTGCTTTTGAGTTAATTCAAGATGAATTGATTCAAGTCGAGACAATAATTCAAGATGAATCAATTTGAGACAAATAATTCAAGATGAATTGATTCAGGATATCGAGGCTTTTTTCCCTACTTGGAAAACCAATGATTTCACTGCAACCAATTTTTTTCACCTTGCTCGAAGTTCAAACTTACGTAGAAGCATCCTTTGAACTGCAGAACAATTTTATCTTGATTCTTAACATTTGAGCTCTGGATCGTTCAAAGTTAGAATTGTTCAAACTATGAGACACCACTATATAACAGAATTTTCACAATATAAAAATCTAAGTTGGGTCACTTTACTTACTCTTCTGCTTGGACTTTTTGTCCTGCCTCCTTTCTCATATTCTTTCTCCTCAACAGGTGATGCAAAAGGACAGTGAGAAGAATATGTCCATCAAGAAACTCTGGAAATAAAAAGCTGCTGCTCCTGTGAGCCATTTCCTATCTCCTTGGCCACCCAATTTTTCCTGTAATCTTTATGCCTGGTTTCCTTTTTCCTTTAATAAAGTTTGTGTACTAATGGTCCCGATTGCTGTAGAAGGGGGGAAAAAAAGCAAAGAGGGTTATATTTAATGATTCCTAAACTAGCTCCATAATACGCCCTTTGGTAGAATAGATCTAGTTCTGAACTCTTGCTGAAGCCCTCTTAAAGCTCTTAAGAAGTTGATAGACACCATCTTAAGCTGTATTTGAAAAATTTCTCTCTCTCATGTATTCATAGGTCTTACACTGTGTAAGCACCTTAGCAGAGTTGTAATGAAGCTTTGTTGCCAAGTCCTAAATGTTACTGGGGTGCAGCTCAAAATGGTTCAGGAGCCTACTTATAGGGCTAGCATTGTGCATAATGCTGAATTGCTAGTTTGAACTAATGAGAAAAACAGCATTGAAAAAGACTGTAGTGACAGCCATTTTTTTTCTTAAACTACTAGGGCATGTGTGGTTTTAGCTGAATGAATCAAGCTGCGAGGTTTACTTTTCCCAGTCCTCATTCTATTTCTGGAAGGTTCTAGAAATAGTTACAACTATTTACAATGTGTACCTGAGGGGATGGATTTTGATTTCTGAACATGCTCAAAAGGCTGCAAATGGTTGCTATGTGCTAGGCAGTCCATGTCCAAGTGTTATAAAACCCCCAGAATGTTTATCTAGAAAGAACATACCAAAGATACTCAAGTTTTGGAATGCTTATTTCAGAGAGCAAGTTAAAGACAGTACTTAAGGTGTAAGCAGCAGTATGAACATACTAATTAAATAATTTTTAAACTCTGACTTCAGGTAACACATCAGCTTTCTGCTGACCTATATGTTGCAGTGGGTTCTAGGACACAGTTTAAGCTCTCTCCAGACACAGTCTGTTGGTCCCACATGAACTTAATATCCAGCAGAGTTTGCCCTAAGATTATCGAGTACATGAACTGGAACGAGCTATGTTTTAAGTTTGCCACTACTGCTCTTAATTCACAATAGGTGAAGATCATTGTTCTCTTCCTAGCCAGGGCCAAAGCAACCATGGTGCAATACTGCAAGGTATTCAGTAGAATTGCCTTGCTGGTCAGTAACTATCAAACTAGGAGGTGGAACAATTCTTATCTTAGTGCAGTTGGATTTACGTCTAACTGTGGAATTCCCATATGAACAAACAAAACATGTGCCTGAATATAGCTATACATTGAGCTAGCATGTCAAGTCACCTTAGCTAAGCTGGAAAGGCATGGGCCTGCAGCTGGATGGGTGGCCATATATGAAAGTAGAGGCTGGGAGGGGGGGTGGACTTGATGGCCTTGATAGGCCTCTTGCCATGCTATTTTATTTATTCAATTCATATGCTGCCTCACTAGCCAGAGGTTCTGGGCAGCTTACATTATTTTAAGATAATCTGTATATAACACACAATGTAACTCACTTTGACCCAAAATGTAAGCTGTTTTTAATAGTAAGTATAAAGTCTACACTACCATACCATCCTTGGTAATTGTAAAAGGTTCATCACTGCTCGCTCACAGCAGCAGCTTTGTCCTCCCTTTATGAAGCTTAAAACACAGACAAGTTTAATACTACTGATTAAGAATAATTTTATTAGAAAACCTTCAACATAGAAACAGGTAACAACATTCTTAAGTGAAAGTCCCATTAGCTCCGGCTTGGCCAACTACATCGTAAGCCATGAGCCAAAGCAGGAGGGGAATTTTCTAAGTTAAGTGCTGCGAGGGTCCAGGAGCTTAGGGAGTGAAGGCACTTAAGGGGCCCAAGAAGGCTGAGGCAAATGTAACCTATCTCCCCTTGACTGGCAACCTCAGGAATGCTTCCTGCAGCACCAAGTGGCCTTGCTAAAGAACTGGTCCCTAATGTCCATCTTCTACATCTCACATGCTGGAGAACTAGGGAAGAAATAGCAATTGATTGTCATCAACAGAACAGCAAACCCCTCCCCTTTGATCCCACACAACTGTTGTTGCATTGCATATGGTGGAAGGGGAGCTACCTACTACAAACCTTCCTCTGTACAAAAACAAAACTTCTACTTTTCACCCCCTCCCCCCCCCCAAAAAAAAAGATAGTGCAAAGACTAAATGCCAGCAATGCTGGCAGTTTGGAATGGACAAAGCTTTGGTTAAAAAGGAGTAGCAGCAGCCTTCCTGCATTGCAACAGAGGCTGATGAGACTCAGCTAAGAGGTAGAAGGCAACTCAAAAACAAAAAAGTTCCCAGTGTCCCAGAGGAAAAGCGCATAGGAAGGATAGGGGTCTGGTGAGGGAGAGGAACTCACTTTCCCCTATTATAAAAAGCAGGCTTGAAGCCTTGAATAGTTCCAGAAGACTACTGAATAAGCACCCTCCACCCCTGACAACAGTGGGGGCAGACAGCAGGATTCCCCAGCCTTGCCAGTGGCTGAGGTTTTTTCAACAAGCATGGTCTGCTTGCTGGTCCACTCCAGAGTACCACAAGGTGCAGAAGAGCTGGTGGAGGGGAGAGCACTAGGTAAGGCGAACACCAAGCACTTGTTCCAGTTCTTGCCTGCGCTGCTGAACCTGGAAGACACAAGATAGTAATGGGGTTGGAGAGAAGTGCAGCAAGAAAGCATTTGGACTCCTATATATCCCCCTCAACGTGGAACAGTGTCTCACTTATTCTCCAGGTGCAAGGACCAGACCCTCAGAGCTTTCAATCCTGTTTCATAATACACTTGGGGCAGCTGAGGAAAGGCATAATCCTGAGGTAGGGAGGCGAAAGGACCGGGAAGGTCCACAATAGTTCCTGGAGGCATTTGTTCAAGCAGCAATATAGAGGGTATCCAGGGGAAGTGAGGAATGAGCATGAAGGAGGCCAGGCCTAAGAAGAGAAGAGTCCCTTCACACAGGAATCTGAGGGGGTTGAGAAGCAGGTGGGTTCCAAGAGTGCCTTTTATTCAGTGCTCTGCACTAAAAGTTGACTGTTGCACATAGCATCCTGCTTCCCCATAGCTAAGTCAAGGCAAAAGATGCTGCTCAATCTCAAAATGCCAGGGGCTGTTTTCTAAAGGTTGTGTTAAACTAGCTTCTCCAAACCTTGGCAAAGACATGTCTCCCAACAGCCTCTTGTATCCATGGTTGCTGGTAGAACTCTGCATGTCTCTCCTCTTCTGGGTTGCCAACCACGTCTGTGATGATCTGGAGCAAAATGAGCATGCAGAAGAGAATTCAGAGAAAACTAGCTCCTGTGTTGCTATTCTTTAGTGATCCAAAACAGGCAGAGGCAATAGCAAGACAGCAAAGGAAAACACTTGGGCAAAGATCAGAGGGAGGAGGAAGACTCTGTAAGAACGCATTTTCCTTTGTGTACCCTGACAAATGTCCTTATATACAAGCGGCGTATGGCCAGTCAGATGTCTCTGAAGAGTTGACAAACATAGCAGGATATTTCCAGCACCATCTGGCATCCTCTCTCACCCTTCATACTGCAGTCCCTGATTGGGATAAATCAACACTAATTCATCACATTTTTTCCTGTCTCCAAGAATTAAAGTAAGTTAGAATTTTTTGAGAAGGAACAGATGCAATAGGCTAGCAAGAGCCAAAGTATATGTTAACTGGATACGTATAGAGAAACATGCTGGGCACAGAGCACATACATAGTGATCTGGAAGCATTCAAAGCTGCAGCAAAGTGGCTGCAGATCCAGTCAGTCTCTCGAGTGGAAGAGCACGGAAAGCTTAAGTGTTTGATATGTGTATGGAGCTTGAGATACATAGAGACTTCTAACCTGAAGCTTAACTTAATTTGAACTTTCACAACACATATGGAAGACTAGCATTCAACACACACAGAAACCTTGGACTGTCGCTCTAAGGAGGAATCACCCAGCTCAACCTCACAGGGGCTGCCAAGACACCAACAGAAACCAAGCCACAAAGGAGGAAGCCAGCAAGGCCACACTTAACCTACCTGTGTATGCACAAAAGCATGAGAGTAAGCCCACTATTTTAATTATGTATGCTTTGATTATTCTTTTCATTGTGCTTTTTTCTTTGTATTTTACTCTCTTATGATCCAGTAGAGAGTAGAGAACTTCTTGATCTGCATCCAGATTGGATGAGCTGGCAGATACGGACTTCCCCACCCCCTTCCTTCCTAGCCCCTCTGTCCTCCTAAAAGTGCTCCACAGGGAATCTTCTGAGTCTACAGAATGCAGTGAGCTGTGCAGAGAAGGGCAAATCCTCGCAGAGGGTCCTTCCATGAGCAGAACCCTTCCTCTTGCAGAAGCCAGTTCTTATCCAACCCATAATAAAAAAATACATCTGTTCTCATAAAGATGCATTGTACTGTTAGTCCCATTGCATCCTGCCGCATGGCTCTTTCACGGCTTAGGGCATCATTCAATGTGGCTACCTGTAACCCTCTCAACTTGGAGGATTATGGGCATCCACTCCAGCATGGAACTAGCGCAGAAACAAGCACTCCTGCGTACTTCTCCCACACTGCAAAAAACAAAGACAAATTTTATCTATGTCCTTTGCCCTTTTTCACAAGGGGCAAAAATTCTTTGCATCTGGGCAAAACCTTGCTTCTCTGCTCCCAGGCCCCCAGAGAGGCTCCTATTTGTACTTGTGACTTCATGGCCTCAGGGAGTGGAGGGCACTCTGTAATGAAGAGTCCCAGTTCTAATCTCGGAACTCCAGTCATGAAGACCATGTCCTGTTAGGTATGTGCAAGTCCCATGATTTACCTTCAAGTCCCTCTGCTGAGATCTGATCCACTCCTGGATGAAGTCCTGGGGGTTGCTACTGAAACTCAGCATGAAATCTCGCTGGGTCTTCAGCTGGTTGATAGACTCAATAGTTTCATGGATCTACATATTAGGGTAAAGTCTGAGTTAGACAGGGACAGAAGTGCACTCAAGACTGAAGCCTAGAGATGAGATGCAAGAGATGGAACTACTGATGCAGGGCATCATGCATATATATTGTACACAGTACACTGGTGGATGCCACCAACCAAAGGCTGTACAGAAGCTTACATTATGAATTTCTACAGCTGCTGCTAGTTTAAAGATCAGTAAGTTTTAATAAGATAATATTCTGGAGCATAATACAAGAAAAAAGGAATGGAGGCTGACTACAGTAAGGATATGATACTGAAGGGTGTTGGAAGCACTGATGTAAAGCAGCGTTCTGCAACCTGTTGTCCTCCAAAATAACAGTATTAGTTACAAACACCACCATCCCCAGCCAACATGGCCAATTGCATCAGCCTGGGGAAGCATGGAATAAAGCAATGAGTTCATGTTGGTTCTTCTCACAAATAGCCATTTTCTTTGGGATTTCCAAGCTGCGGACTTCACACAGCCTATCTAACAGCATGTCTTGCTTGCCCTCCTTTTCCTGCCTTAATTTCATCCCAAAGGAATTAGAGCTGCTCCAGCAAATCAAAATGGAACACAGACTTTCAAATCAGGCAAAACAATTTCCACAGAAAAATAGGATATGCTATGCAACTTTCACATTTGGATGACTTGCCATAAACTTGCGTTATAAGCAGTATACAAAATTTCAGGCTGCCAAAGTCAGGCTGCATGGATAAATGTGTCACTGCTTGCAAGTTGAAGCATCTACCTTCCTACCAGCAGCTCTCAGGGAACTCCAACAACCAGCTTGGGCTTCTATAGTCAACCACAGTACAGCACCACCATTAAAAAAGGGGGTTGCTGTATCAACCATGGGTGATTAACACTTTGAGGATAATTTGGGTGCCTATCCTGATTGAGGAGCCTAGCCAGAATTGTTCGCTGTTCCCCTGGTCATGTAAGATAGTATGCTTGAATTACTTTCTTGCTCCATGGCTGGCAGGACCCTACCTTGACATCCAGGGAAGCAATTTCCTGCTGGTTAGTGGTGGAGGCCAAGAAGTTGCTCATTTGGGCCTTCAAGGGGTCATCCACTTCCACATCAATGTCATAACAGGCTGTCTTCTTCTGGTCATTAGGGTCCACACTGAAGAGGTGGGGACAAGAAACCAGGATGAGGGCCAAAAATAAGCATAATTCTGAGAACTATGTTTTTACCACCCAAAAACAAGGTTAGATGCTTTCACATCAAACTGCCTTTGAAATCTTCAGTTCAGGAGAAACAGCACTAGACTACTCTGAATTGTAGGGTGTATGTGTCCCCAAATCCACATTGCAAATACAAATCAATCCAAGGAAACTAAAATAGGCTATGCCAGCAAAAATATTTAAGATATGTACTATCTTTTCTAGACCTAACACTATTTACAAATGCAACAATTATAAAACAGTAGATATATATAAGCAGACAACAAAATCATTGTACATACAACAGCATTTCACAAGCAGAAAAATAACAATGAAATCAACCTTTCATTACATTATCCCCTGAAAGGCACCTGAAATAGATGGGTTCTGCAGCCCTTTCAAAAAGGGCATAAAGAAAGAGTTATGGCTTTCTAGATACATCAAGAACAGCATCTTCTTCCAGTTGTACAGTAAGGAATCCCTCCCTCCCTCCCTGGATGCCATCTTCATAAATTTTGTTTATCTTGACAAACAGTTCCTTTGAGGCAGATCAACTGGATTCCCTTTTCACAGAGCTATCAGAAAGCACCTGACTTGTCATAGGCCAATAGCAGAGGTGAAATCACAGTGGGATCCCCCAAATCCAGTTGGTTAAGATAGTTCAGAGAGAGTGTAAATCATTAACACATACTCCCTTCCTGCTCTGCCAATGTCAGGCCTACCTGATCACGTGGTTGATAACAATGGGATCTGGATGCTGCAGCAGTCCTGCCAACTTCATGGGTATCTCAGAGAATCGCATGCGGGTGCAGCCAAAGATCTACAATGGAGCAAGACACGAACCATTAACGGACTCAGAGAAGAAGAAACCTCCCATGGCAAGTTGGAGGCCCACAGACCAAACTGCTAGTAACCAGAGGCAAGAGGTAAGATGTCACAGTTTACACTATCACAAGGAGTAAAATGTTGCATTGCTTCTTAATTTGTAGACCTTTAGACTGCCAGGCAACCAGGCTGGCAACTGTATGGTTCAACTAGCCTGACGCAAACTAACCTGATTCTTTGTTCTTTCACCAAAATTAAGATTATACAAATGACCTAAGAATTTTTTTTTCAAAAAACATTACGTTCAAATACTATCAGAACGGTATGTACAAAGAGGGGAAATGATGGCATCAAAGAGAAACACCAGAGTCTAGATTCCTAATTTAATATTTATTTATTTATTTATTTATTAAAACATTTTTATGCCGCCCCATTCGCCGAAGCCTCGGGGCGGCTTACGTTAAGAAAAAAAATAATTATAACATTAAATTATATTATACACTAATATACTATTATCTTCACAGACGATAACCTGGAGCAGATGAGAAATATGCGCTTTCCAAGTGCCTCTGCTCTATCTTTAGTAGGACCAAAGGAGACAGGAAGGGAACCAACAGCAATACTGTGTACATATAAGCTCCAAATAATATAATCTGCATTGTGTGCATTTATTCTACTTCCATGATGCAAGTTTTAAAATAAGGGGTGGAAATGCCTATGAAGCAAGATAAGAAAGTCAGCACCAGGGAAAAGGATAGAGAAGATGAAATGTATGAGTACATGTACTTAACCCCCAACCCTCATATTATTTAAGTCCCTTCCCACCCCATCCCTGAATTTGGTTAAGACCTCATCTGCCGATTTCTTCCTCAATCTTGCAGCATTAGAAAAGGGGGAAGCAGCCCACTGAAGTCCTTCTACTATTTAATATTTATTTGGTGTCAGTGTACAAAGGACTGTATAATGCAACCTTCCGCAACCTGGTGCCCTCCCAATATTTTAGAATCCCGAGCATTCTTAACCATCTTCATGCTGCCTGGGGCTTATTGAAGTCCAAGATGAGGTAGGTAAACAAAAGTGGTTTGAAAAATAGTTTTAAATTAGCATACTCAAGGACTCAAATCCTGTACCAGACAGTGGACCAAGTATGCATAAAACTGGACAATAATCCAACTTGCCAAAAGGTGAGGTGGAGAGAAAAAGAAGCAAAATGTACCTGGCGAAAGTAACGGTTGCAGTTGATGTACTCTTTCTCATGACTATCCTGGAGCTTGTTGTGTTTAATGTAGAGCCACAGGGCCTGCATGATATTGGCACGGGTCTGTGTGTGAACACCCAGCAGGCGAGCGAGACGAGGGTCCAGCTTGTACTGAGGAGGCTGTAAAGGCAATGCTATCTAGTTAACATACACTCTGACATGACCATCTCATCAGTTCCAATTCATGCTAAGTATGTTAAATATAACAACTTAATCCCATCTCCAAAATCTGGAAGAAACGGGATCTCAGTAACAACCAACAGCAAGCAAGCAAGAGAAACCATTCTAAAGTCATGTGGGAATCTCAGAGAGATTCTGTCCAGGTGTCTTAATTCTACAAACCATGGGAATAGTTCAGGAAAAAGATTTTTTTTGCAACAATACTCAAAATTAATTATGAAATGCAACAGAATTTTTGCTGAAGCAGCTTCCTCCAAACCCAGTGCGAACTCATTCTCAGTTGTGTCTTTAAAAGCTTACAGGCCAGAAATGTACTTTCTTATCACAAAAGCTGATTATGAAAAATCCAAATGCTGCAGAACGTTCTGATGTGTTAAAAAAAGAGGTACAGCTGTGTACGTAGGCAAGCAGCCAGACATCCCTCACCCACCCCATCTCTAGCTGAGCGAACTAAAGCCACAAGACTTGTGAGATACAACAATGAAGCTTCTGACCATGCACTGCATGCCTTCTGAAACCTGAGTAGCTCATTGATTCATGTAACTGGAAACCTTAAAATTCAGGGGATTACAATTTGCCTGCCCTGATCAAGTGCTAGAGTCTTTTCCCTCTTACCTGGTGGTCCAGCATGAGCAGCAGGGTGCATTTCACATTGACATCACCTGGGCGTTTGACTTGGAAGCCATCTGTCTCTTGGGTTGTGGGCATTCGATGCCACTGATGGGAGCAGGGAAGACAAGTACCGAGTTAGATCTTTTTCATGTAAGACAAGCATGGAGTGCAAACCCATTATTCCATTCAGTATCTTATATTTTAAATGGACAGTTTTCCAATTACTGATTCACTCCTCTTGTAGTGGGGTTTCATTTAGTTATTTCATAAGCACAAATGTCTAAGAATGAATATTCACAAAATAGACACAGGCAATATCTGAACATGTACCAGCATACTTGCAAGAAAAGTGCTCTGTTATGGGAAAAGGTGATAGTCACTAAAAGGATTATCCAATAATATTGGTATGTGGTTTCTACCAATCATAATCTGACCCTATAACTTGTGGATGAAGTGACAATTGGAAACCTAGCCATTAAGCTTCCAAGACAGCACAGAACTATTTTACTTTACAGATTCACTGTGAAGGCAACTGAAATAAGAACTGTAAAGCATTTTGTATATAGTGCTATGGATAGAATACTGGTTATTATGGAGATCCTGCTGTGGGAATATGCCATCAGCTAAATCCGGGGGATAGAAGACCTAATTCTGTTTAGTCTTGCAATGTTGACTCTCCAATGTCTTGGACAAGCTATTATCAGAATCAGGTTGAATAAGCCAGTACACAGCTCATCTTCCTCTGGCCTCTTCTGGGAGCTACGAGAACTGTTATCAGCCCTATTTCTGTATTTCACCACCAGAATCACCACCCCTTTTGCAGTTCCTTACTCCAACTGCGTCAGGGTGATTCTGAAGGCAAAAAATGCATCAGCTCCCAGAAGAGCAAGGTCCAGCATGGCAGCTTGCCAGGCAAGGCATCTACATTTTCGAGCACTGAAACTGCCCTGGGCTGCCTCCCATCACACAGCGTGAACATGCGCTAAAGTACATACCTCCACCAGATGGTTGTCTGGGCCATACAGTTCTTTGTCTAGCTCGATGACCAAGCTCTTGAAAAAGGATGAGAACTTCCTCTTCTGCTTACTTGGCTGAGACAGAAAAATGGATGAGGGACTGAGCCCTGCCTTTCCCGCAAGCACACAGAAAGAGCGGTTGCCAGATACATCTCTAGAAGTGCAGGACAAGCAAGTTGTGCCACTTCTAGAAAGGAAGAACATCATCTGGACTGATACTGCCACTGCGAGCGTTATTAGTTGTGCAGTACTTTTCCTCAATGTTTCTCTTAAGAGGACAGGAGGGTCTTTCAAATGCTCTGACAAAGTCCCTCATCAAAGTTAGCAGTATAAAACTTCTATCAAACTTGGGGTTTTTTCTATAACTGGCTGGAGAAACGGGACTTGGCGTAAACTTAGAGATGTTTTCAAATTATTATAAACTGATTTGAATTTGACTACAGAATGTTAAAAAATATGTAGTAGGGGGTTGACCCAGTAAATCCTATGTATGTGATGTGTGATGTTTTTAGTATTAGTTTACAATTTTAATAAAATTAAAAAAAAGTTAGCAGTATAAGATGACAAATATTCTTACAAATTGTTAGCTTATTTAACAACCACCACCACCAAAACCGGAAGCTGCACTGGGACTGGTCCTTTTAAACTTGTTCATAAATGACATAAAGCACAAGGGCAGGCCCATCTCCTGGGGTCATATTCTGGCCCTCCAGGGTTCTGGAGACAGGCCCGACCCTTTTTCCCCAACCACCAATAATTTGGTAGTTTGCCAGGTTTTGTGCATTTCTTTCCCATCCTAAAAAGTTGAATTCCCTTTCCCAAGGCTTAGTTACTTGCAGTAAGGGCGTTAAGCTAAAATATGGTAGAGTTTATGGACCTGCACTTTTGCCATTCACCACATTCCTTTTTGCCTGTAGCCCCACCCACTATTAGCATGCAATATTAGAGTTTCTCTGCAATGAAACTGATCTTCAGGCACATGAGTCTCATTTCTCCTAACCTAATGTGGGGGGGGGGGGGGGGGGTGAGCATGAGGTGGCCAGTTTCAGCAAAAACAAACTACATTTGCCATTTTAATTATTTTACAATCATGCAATCTTTTCATTTTTAATCAGCCTGAACTATCTGTGAAAAAGTATACTTTTCTTGTTTTTGTTACAGCAGACTAACACAGCTACCCCTCTGCAAATAATTCAGCCTGATAAAAAACTAAAAGAGATTGCAAAGAATCCAAAAAGGGTCTCTCCAGGGTAGATAGCTAGACAATTAAATGGCATATGTAGTTAACTTTTATTAATTAAAATGTGTGCACATAAATATTGTAAACTAAGCAAAATGATAATGTGGTTTAATGTAGGTAAATATTTTTTGCATATTAGGGAAAATACAAATCTCTCTCTCTCTCTCTCTCTCTCTCTCTCTCTCTCTCTCTCTCTCACACACACACACACACACACACACACACACACACACAGATAGAAATGACTAGGAACAGAATCATTCACACAGCACATGTGAAATTTGCTATTTGAACATGTGGTAATGGCTACCAATGGGAATTAGATAATAGAAAAATTCATAGACGATAAGTCATGACAGCTACAGAAGTTGTAAGGTATGCAGTTGCACTGTATTCCAACCAGAGAGATTCAGCTGTTAAGCAGCATAGAAATTAAATAAAGCTACTTCCAGCATCAATGCGTTTATGTATTCCAGTTGCTGGGAAACAGTGGGAGAGGGCTATTGCCTGCATTTTCTGTGCGTGCTGGCTGTCTACTATGGAAAACAGAATGCTGGATCAGATATGCTGGACTTGTCTGATCCAGCCTAGTTTTTATAGACAGACCCTTGCTCATGTTAATTATTGGTATTGTTATCATTTAATTTATTTCTATATTACCCATAGTCAAAGCTCTCTGGGCAGTTTATAACTCAGTATGGAAACAATAATGATGTACAGAAACAACAAGGGAGCATGAGACACACAAGATGGGCTTTCTCTTGTGCATGTCCATTTGGAGGAGACATCAAAAGCTGAAGGAGGGGGCTGGCCAGTTGCAGGGGACAGGGGGAAATTGCCTTCAACAAATATCCAGCAAACCCTAGATTAGCCACAAAGCTACCTATCAGGGGTGTTTCAGTCTTACATCATCCAGGAGCTTGCCCTCCACACGAAGTTCCCATGAGGCTATGCGTTCGCCACCTTCAGATTCTTCCTTGCCAGGTGTAAACGTATTAGAGATGTAAATACGCAGCTTCCGCTTTTGCTGAAGATTTGAAGAAAAACATTAACTAGGGATCAAGTCAAACACACACACTCCAGATCTATGGAGCAGTTCCAGCCCACAGAACCCTTCTTTGCAAGACTACCTATACAGGTAGAATATGTTGCTTCAGGGGCGTCAGACAGCCTTATGCACTCTGAAGAGCTTAGTTGTTCCTATCTCCCTCCATCCATAGCGGATGTGGCTAACCTGCCCCCATTCCATACCGTCAAAGGTTTCTTGATGGCCTCCTGGATCTCCATCCTCTTGCGGGCAATGGTCTGATCCAGCTTCCGTTCAAAAGCCAACAAATCCATGTAAGCTTGAGACTCTGGGACCAGCTCACGAATCTGTGGAAGAGTCATCTTTACAGTAAGCATTTTAGATTAAATTGGGACAAGGATCTAGTGCAGGGGTCCTCAAACTTTTTCACCAGGACCAGTTGAAAGGTGCCAGTGCTGGGCACGGGCTGGAAAGGTGGTACCAGTGGGGCACGCAGGCAGGGGCGGGAGTGGGGCGTGTGCGCTGAGGCAGTGAGACGCGGGCGGGTGTACACGGCGAGGCGGGGGTGGGCATGTGCCGCGATGCAGCAGCGGGCACGCGATGCAGCGGCTTGCTCGCTTGGAGATCATTTTCTCTGAGTGAGTCCAAAATGATCTCCTTGCGAGCAAGCCGCCGCCTCCCCACGCAGGGGGCAAGGTGGGCGGTGGCGTGCATGCGTGGCGCGTGTCCCTGGAGCGTTGAAAACCTCTGAGGCGGGCCAGATAAATGGCCATGGTGGGCTGGATCCGGCCCCCGGGCAGTAGTTTGAGGACTCATGTTCTAATGCCCCTGAGCACTCACATATAGAAAATTTCAAGGGAGTAATTTTCCAGGATTTACATTAGGATTTCCATTCTCCCCAAGTGCACAGAGAAGCCTCTTTCTGCTTCATGTATGATTGAAAAGAGGAGGAAATATAGCTTTCCCCCAATTTAATCAAGGGTAGATGTGCTTCAACCTCACTTAAGAAATGCCACTGTCCTCTTGTTGGGTGGATGAACAATGTAAGGATAGTGAATCACTTTGTAAATTAGAACTGATTAACAAATTAAATGACTGAAACTACTCCAGACTTGACTGGAACTGCTTGAGACACTCTAGACCAGCCTTCTTCAAACTGGTGCTTTACAGAGGTTTTAGAATACAATTTCCCAGAATTCCTGATAATTGGTCATGCTAGAAGGGAATGATGGTTCTTGTCTCACACCCCTGTAGGACAAGTTGGAGAAGGCTGCTTCAGGTCAATTACCTGGCAACCCATGGTAGCTGCAAGCATTCCACATGGGAAAGACTAATCAAAAGACATGCCAAACTTCTAAAACTCCTCTGAAATAGGGGGTTCATTTTCATCCCATTATTCTGTTCTCCTCACTTACATGCCCAACTAATTTATTCTAGATAAAGAATAGCTTCAAATTCTGTAATCTGTCTCTTTCCACTTCCTCCAAACATGCACAATGGCCTGCTTCCGTCGCTTTTATACCAAGAGCTCTCCCAGAAAAGAGGCACTTACCCTCTGTGGAAGGACTTTGTCTGCCATCTTCCTTCTTTTCAGCCTGAAAGAATTGTGCAGAGTAGTAAGCTCTTAAAGGGCGAAAGTATTTAGAATCCTGTGTTAAAGATTTAATCCCCTGCATGTGCTGTAAAGCCCAACCTTATAATTGGAATTATTACATTCTACCTAGGTCTCCCTGAATGTGATATAACTTTCCCTATAGCGGCAAAATGTCTTCCCTTTTTCTAAAAATGGCAGGCAAGCTTCCCACAACCTGATTCAGAGTTGGCTTGCAAAGTATATAAATATTTTGTGGGCATTTCTCCATGGTTGTGCTACTGTAAAGTCACAGTCATGCAAATTATTTTTAATCATTTTGCACAATTTTTCAAAAATTAAGACTGCACATAAGTTAGTATGCAAAAACAATTTTTAAATGGTGGGCAACCTTTCTCCCCCAGATCCTGCTGGGCCACTTTGAAGGGACTGCTCACAGCTAACAAAAGGGGCATCAGGAAAGCTCGCTTTTGTGATCTCCTCCAACCTGCCCCCTGCCACCAAAAAAAAAAAAAAAAAAAAAGCCACAGAAAGCCCAAAATGGTTTGCAGCTGCAACTTGGGGGTGAGTGGGAAGGACTTATTCCTCCTGAGGTGTTCTCATGACACCTACCGGAGGACCAAGTGGGAAGGAGGGAGCCAACAAACTATAGTCAGCCCAACTGTATGTTGAGCTCACTGCAGGTTGTCAAACTACCAACTCACTGTGGCTTAATATGACATGACATGCAAACACATCCACTGTGTATCCACTGATTCTGTAGAAATCATGTTCCTGAATTCTGATTGTATTTTTAATTTTTATGTGGAGGAAACTGGGACAAAGGGAGTATGATATGTTTGGCCTGTAAATATATCGAATTCCAATTATTTTCCCACAAATGTGAGAAAAGCACAAGACATCACTGCATTTCAGTGCACAGAGATTTGGATTTGCACCTAAGGACCCTGGTTTCTACACCTTGTTTACATCACTACCTCTCTGTCCTGTAACAGAGCCAAAAAACACTTTACATTAAAAGAATAAGAATCAGTGCATCACATAGGTGGGATTTAACCTTTCTTGTTTCACTGTGGTCCCAACAAGAGCTTCCCCTTTAAGCTGTCATTTGCTCCAGAGAGAAACAGCTATCCACGCCAATATCAGTTTCTCTCTTTTGACAAGCAATCATTGGTGCATATAGCATTTGGGTTGGAATTGTCATGTGGAAAGAAAGGGTTATTACCCAAACCCCAGATGCAATGCAAACCCAACCCTGATCAACATCTTAACAGAAACAGACACATTTATCATATAGTTTAGCCCCAGAGTTCACTTACTGGGAAAGTTTCAGAACAAAGACACAAGATGATCAAGTGCTGAACAAATAAAAACCACCATATAAATAATGAGGGTAATGGATATGGAGAAACAGGAAGACAAGGCCAGAGTGGGTTGGTGGAAGGGGCTGACCTGAATGCAGCCATCAGAAACCTGAGATCCCACCTTAGAAATGTCAGAAATTTCTTCTACCCACTTTTAACCTTGTCACAAAGACTAGGAAGCATAGAATTATCCAGGAATATAGTGGGATGTGTTTACAAACAAGCATCCATTAAAATTGCAGTTAGCCATATAGCAGCTCCCAAAGAGCGACCACACTCAGCAGCACAGAATAATATCCCACATTCCCTAGATCATTTTATTCTGAGAAGACTGGCTTCAGTTAACTTGTTTATCTATCCTAAATGTGCATGGCAGTTAAATCTGCCACAGAAATATGAGCAGCTTACACTTCAGCTTTTCATGGCAGCAAATGTGGCAACAGCAAAACAACAGAAGAGGGAAAACACCTCGAAAACCAATGGGATATCAGCAGTTTTTTGAAATATGGGATATGGAAAAACATTTACTCATCAGCTTAAAGTTCCAAGTTTCCTTTAATACATTTCAGACTTTTTATTTATCTGAGCAGCATTCACATAATGTGGAGTGTACAGAAGACTAATGAACAAATCTCTTGAATATAGGTTAATATGCATTTATTTAAGTACAGAAATAGCAAAGGGAAGATCAACTGTTGAGCAAAGTATTGGAGCAGTGAAAAAAAGTAATTGGTAGTGTATGATTCACAATTATTCTGAATGTTTTGATGAAAATTTTAACATATTCAGCATTCACATAACCTATGGTAGTTTTCATATATTTGTACCAATTCTATTTCTCTATCTCGGCTTATAGTAACTAATGTAAAGAGAAAAAAGCAAGAGACAGTATGTTCTGGATCTATACATCAGGAAGTTAAATTCTCCCTGCAACATTACAGAAAACAGAGTAACTCCACCTTCAACCCACTGCAGAAGAAAAATATCCATCTACAGAGCACTAACCAAAGGAATGAATTCTAGCAGCTGAAAGGGCAATCTAGCAAGGCTGCAGACTTATTCTCCTTATGCCCTCTCTTCCACCATACAGAACTTGGTCCCTGAAGCCTGGTTGCCAGATGTTTGCAGCTGCTTATTTCAGCATGTCACACCTCCCTTGGATCAAGCTGACTGAGAACTTGCCAAGAAACTGAATGTCATTTGCATCCTATTTGTTTTTTAAAACAGCTGGTAAAACCAGGCCATGCAGGCCCTATGAGTGGCCAGAGGTATGCATGAGAGGAACAGATTAAAGTCAAATTCATAGAAGACGCTTATATAAGCAGAGCCCAGCATATACTGAAGCCAGAGGAAAGCAACAAGAAATACCAAAATGAGACTGGAAGAGAATAGGCTGCTACTTAAACACTGTCACCTGATTTCTCATCAGCAAATCACCTATAAGAGACTTAGAATTTGGACCAGCGGGAGCTGGATGACCACAGCCAAAACACTTTTCCTTCAGCCTCCCTTTTTGAAATAGGGAGATGATATCTCACAAAGCTTTCAAAAAGATTACTGACAGAAGTTATGTGGAGCGTTCTGTACAGTTAAAATGTAGCATATAAATGCATTATATTATGTTAAATTCTTGTAAGGAAAGAAATGTGCAAAGAAATTGCTTTTGAAAGCTGGGCATTAGCCAGGAGACTGGTAGAGAAAATTGGTGTGCAACAAATTGTTTCTGGGTATCCCAGCCCACAAGTCCTTTTCAGAACTCCAGCTAACTATGCCATCCCCAAAGACTCTAGAAGCTGTTAGGGACTCAAGTAAGCCAATCCTGCCTCCTCTAGAAAACTTGTTTTCTATGTTATTTTTCAAATTGGCATTCAACATTCCTTGGCTCTAGGAGACCACTGAAAACCATTAACTTGCCTGTATTTCTTACTTCCACTCAATTTCCACCAGTTTCACATCTCTGTTAGATCAAGAAGTTCAGAAGGGGTTAAGAGAGCCTGGGAAGTGTCCTCCTTCAGTTATTTTTCAGCTAACTGAAAACAGATCTTGAGTGAATTCAAGGTCCCTTGGCCCATCACATGTTTTCAACAGATTCTGCTGTTCAGTGCCAAGAGCTAGCAACCACACAGAGCACCCTGGGAGAGAAATCAATGATCAGGGATGATAATAATTTATACACAATATTTGGAAGGTCCCTGCCACACAACCATCTTAAACGTAATGGTATTCCTCAACTAACATTTCCACCATGAACTGCCAATGAGTATTAAGTCCCTTGACTAGAAAAGCACATCACAAGCTAGTTCTCACTGCAATAGCAAACCTGTTAGGGCTGTACCACTTCAGACACAAGGCAGAGCTTTGTATGAAGTGGTTGAAGCCCCATCAGTGCGGGTGTTCAAGGGTAAGCTGGACATGCAAATGGTAGACATGTCATGAGCAGAGCTGGCTGGAGCCGGGGGTCAGACTAGATGGCCTGCCCAGGAGGCCCCTTCTGACTCACTCTGTTTCTGTGTTTCTATAATGGAATGATCCTCCATGCAAAAAGAAAGATAGAAATTACAATGGAATAAATATAGAACTTCACAGCCACAACTGACAAATCAGGGAGAAATCTAGGCTTGAAGCTCCCACCCAGTTTGAAATAATACAGATACAGGTCTGGTTTTGTGACCAAGATTGTCTTGGCCATGCTAGTAGATAAACTATGCCAAAAGACAAATAGCAGGAGAGTGTCTTAATCAATTTTTTGGATCTCTTAGCAGCATTTGCTCCCATCAACAATGGTATCTTTCAGGACTGTTTGGATGGTTGAGACTAGATGGCACTTAGTAGTTGTTCCAATCCTAGCTATCTGGCAGTTTTCAGAAAGGTGGGGATACCTGTTCTGTCCCATAGGAACTACCACAGAGTTCCATTCTGAGCATATTATTTCTTAACCTTACAGGAAATTGATGGAGGAAGTCGTGAGAGGTTTTAGAGTAGTTTCATTAGGAACACAGTGGTATCTGCTCTTTCAAATGAAATCCCAGGAAGGGAACAGATTCTCTGAATTAGTATCTTGATTCAATACTGAGTTTAATGAACTGAAATTAAATTCAGACAAGACAGATGTAGGCATGGGCCTTGGATGAAGGGTGAATGGACTATTTTGCATGGACTGCAACTGCATTCCTGAAGAAACAGGTCTACAGCTTTAGGCTGCACTCCTGAATCTGGCCCCCGTCCTGTTACTTCAGATGGTAGCTGAGCCCTGATGTGACAGATACATCCTTTCTTTAATCACTGGGACACTGCCTGCATAACAGGCTTTGGAAGCCTCTATACTGGACTACAAGAATGCAATCAATACAGAGCTATCTATGAAGGCTGTTTATAAAGTACAACTGTTTTAAGAAGTGGCAAGCAGAATTTTAACTGGCCTAGGTTACTCACACCACAACACTAGTCTCAAGAGATTTACACTGACTGCATGTTTGTTGCCATGCCCTTATGTGCTGTTTTGCCATTTAAAAACCTCTATAATTTGAGTCCTGAGCATCTGAAGAAATGCCTCCACATGTATGAAGTTCATCCCTTGGAGAATATTATTTAGCCCCTGGATTCTCCAGCATGGATTTCTTCAGGATTCTGTTCTGTCCTCTATGCTTTATTATTATTAATATGACATTATATTTCTGCCTGGCACCAAATTTCCCATCTTTTCAGTGCCACATTATGACAGTCCTCTTTGCAAAGGCCTTTAAAGATCTGCCTGGTTTTTCAGAGGCCGGACACCATTAGCCAGGTGCCTTTCTTTTACTCTTAGCTGGGTATTTTTATTGCCTTTTAATTGTCTTTTAATATTATTTTAAATTATTTTTAATTCTTATGTTTTTGTCTATTGTAATTTGTTGTTTTTAGACTTTGTTCTAAACTGCCCAGAGAGCTTTGGCTATGGGAAGTGCAGAAATGAAATAAATTATCATCTTCATCTATACAGATGTTTCTGCTAATATTCCATCCCCACGTCTAAAATACAATGTCTAGCAATTTCTCACTAGTGGCCCAAAATTCTCTGCTCAGTGCAGCCTGCTTGCTATTCTCCTTACTGGCTTTTAGATAGATGAAAACTGTTTTAGTTCAGAATGTTCTTCAAATCAGATTTTAAACTGGAGAACTATTATTCCAGCATTCTTATTTTTGTTTTAAAATGTGTTTTACTCATCTTATCGCCCCTATTTTAATATTTTGATCTGAACCACTGTCATTCTATATTATGAACTTTTCCAGAAGTTTTACAAAAAACATCAGTCTTGATGAAAGGCCTACCTCATGAAGGCATGTCCTCTTCCCTCACCATCAGCAGCCATTCCTTCAGGCTGAGCTGACGGAGATGAGATGGAGAGCACGGCAATTCTAATAGCACTGCTAAAATAATTACTTCCCATCCCCCTTTCCCTTCCCATTCACCGTGTCATGTATTTTTAGATGGTAAGCCTGTGACCAGGCGTGATTGTCCGTAATTGTTTATAGGTAAACTGCTCTGTAAGTCCTTTAGGGTGAAGAGCAGCTTTAAAATATTCCACATACATACTGCATTTTCCTTTGGTGAAATTTGTTACTTTGTACATCTTTGATTAAATTAGCATGGGCAGAGGGCTTGTTCATCTTGTTTCTGGGCATCTATGCCTACCTTACAACTCCCAGCTGGCAGTGGAAAGGAAAAGAAAAACTAGCAAAAAAGTTCTAGAAGAAGGGTAGAAAAGAAATATAGAAAATGTGTCAGGAAAAGGATCAGATTTGTTAACATGTTGATTTTGCTTCTCTGTGCCATTTGTTCTTTTGTTGTTGAGACTGCAGTTCTACACACAGACAAGTCAGACTGAAGGACAGACCAAGATGTGGGACCAAAGAGCAAGTCAAGACTGAAGAACAGCTAAAGGATACACACAACACCACAACACAGTGTTTCCTGGAGCAATGTTGCTTATATTCCTTCCTGTCCGCCCAGCCCAGGCCAGGCCCTGAGAGTACTTCATTCCCTAGGAAGATGCTGCAACCTGCCTTTTGCTGGTTCACTGCACAGGCAGATAAACAATGATCTCATTACTACCACTTCAAATAACAACAACTCCCAACAGCTCCCAACATTACTACCACTTCAAATAACAACAACTCCCAACAGCAAGCAAGTTTTTGTTTTATTATGATTAATTTTTATTGTGAATTTCTATAGAACTGCACAAAAACATAAAATGAAAAAGAACCGAAGAGAAAGAAACAAGATTTTTGATTTTAGACTTTTATATCCCAGCATGATTCTTTTACTAATAGAGGCGAATGGATACTAGTCATGGATGAGTCATGGACCACTGCCTGGTAAATATAAGGTACTGCAAGGAAAAGTATCAAGGCTTAGATTAATGTGCATCATAATTGCAAAAATTGTGCCACTATCTTGCACTGCTGCATGTGTTCTTTTGAGCATCAGATTGATCCAAAAGCACACCTAAGTCATGTACCTACTTCTTCAGAGGTAAAGCAACCTTATCCAGAGCATGGAAGCAACCCAAAGCCCAGAACCGAGAAGTGCCCACTGAAAAGGTCTCTGCTTTATCAGACCTTCAACTTCAGTTAGTGCAAGCCTACCAGCTAGTTGCCAGTACCTGCCTCTTCCCTGCCAGTTTGGTTGGCCATTTTTATTAGGTTTTTCTTCATTCACTTTAGCTTAATTTCATTTAGCAAGGGAGTGGATTTGGTTCTTGTGCTTTCTGAACTCCTTTTAACATAGCAAATCTGTTGTCAGGATTGTGTATTTTCATCAAGATTTATCACAGCTGAATGTATGAACAATCTTGCTCCACCTTTTAAGATAAATTTGTCATATAGTTTCTGAAATGGAAAGAGAAAGCACAGACTGTTTATTAGCAAATGATTTTTTTTCCAGAGAGGAATTTCTCAGATATAGTTTAACCAAATTCCAAAAAGGACTCAGAGGGGAATACTATTTAAATGGTCAAGGGCACCCAAAACCATATCTTCCTGCACAGAATGTCCAAAGCATTTTCCAAAGGCCTAACATTGTATACATGTGTGTGTGTATGCAGGTGTGACCCTAAAGGTAGTCAATAAAACAGCTTGAACAGATTCAGTAAGAATACAAATTGGCTAGTATATACGTGGCAATGATGGCAGAGGGTCTTGGATGAAGATGATAAAGAGGTACTGGATAAGAAATGGCCCATTTTCAAATTTCACCAATTTGAATCTGTCATACTATGCCCCCAAATGGCAGACTTTTTCTTTGCTCTACTCTCCACCCTCCACCAAAATAGATGCACAAGGTTAATCCAACCTCAAGTTCTTACCCTCGTCTTTGGGTTAATGATGGTGGTGGCTGGGTCTGCGGAGCAAGGAGGCGCTTCCGGAATGGATCCATCATGGCCTGTGGCATTCCAGGTCTCAGTGGAGAAGCTGCTCCATATGGTGGCCCTGATGGTGATCCTACCTGCAATCCTGTCATGGGCATCCGGCCAATAGGCAGCATCCCAGCGCGCTGGCAAAAAAGAACAAAAGGCATTCAAGGTAATGTACCCACGAAGAGTATACTGGCTGAAGCCTGGCTGGAGTCACTACTTCCCAGAGAGCTTAGTATGCAGAGCACATGTTTTGCATACAGAAGGTATCAGGTTCAATTCCTGTTATCTCCAAGCAGAGTTGCACAAACTGCCTGAAACTTCAGAGAGCTGCTGCAAGTCAGTGAGCAGGTTCACACTCTTAGGGGGCAGCAAGGAGCTATGGTAGCTTCCTTTCCCCACCCCACATGTGCTAGTTGTGTATTTCCTTACTTCTATCATCCCCTGTACTATGCTTGATTTTCTGTGTCCACACCCATGAGAACAGGCAGTATGAAAGCCATGGTTGTATGGTGGGTTGGAAGCAAGCTCTCCCACCCAGCTCACTGGATTCAGAATTACGGAAATGACATACTAAGCAATGAGTATACACGAGCTGGAGAAGACAAGCTAACATGGTTTCTTTTCCTTCTCCAACCATGCAAACCACCTTCTGTCATCAATATTGGGCAAAATGGACTGCTGGTCTATGTTCCTCTATTCAGAAGGGCCATTCTGATGTTCCAGATATGCTTTATACCAGGTACAGTTGTAAGCAACAATGTCTGCCTGTCTTCTTCTAACTCACACTTATCTAAGAACCTCAAATTAACCTGCTCTGATTAAAGTATGACAAAGCAATAGGTTACTGGGTGGCATGGCAGACTAAAGCCCTCCATTTCAGTTTCAAGTAGCATCTCAAGATAAAAAGAGCATTATGTTTCCTTTTCTTGACTGTGCTTACCACAGTCACACTCTCTACCATCTTAAGAACTGAAGCATGGAACAGGAACCAAAACCAGAGACAAACCACAGGCAAGACACTCCCATTGCATATACGTAAAATTGTTCCACATTCAGGGTTCCAGCTACAAAAACTTTTAGCCACTTGGCTATGCCCACAGAATTCCTAAAGAGGCATATGCTGTTGGTATAGCATACAGCTAAGAGCATTAGCTGTAAACCAGGTAACACATGCATAACTGTGAAGTCAACAGGTAGCCTTAGGCAAATCACTATAACTGAGTCTCAGTTATCCATCTACAATATGGGAATAGTAATGATTTAATCTAAATGGCAGCTGTAAGGATTTCTGGAAGCTTACACAAAGTACTTTCACCTTTCCAGAATTAAGTACCAAATAGTATAATTGCCTATTTCAAAACTCTCTGGACTTCCCAATGCATACTACAGGAGCCCTTGTACAGGATCACATCAAGGTGCTCATTACCAACACTGGACCATCTAGCACCTCGTACAAAAACATAATTCTGTACCAGCACCGCCACTCAGTAGTCTGACTGTGTCTGACCCCAATAAATGTAACACTATTTATAGTATTTATTTTAGCACTTACATGCCTTCTTCCAAGGACCAACTATCGGAAGGCAACTCAAAACACAGTGAAAATATAGAATGTGTTAGCCATAATTGCAATCTATAAACATGTCTGAAAAGCTGATTGGAACAGTTACATATTGAGCACTAACTATACCTATAAAAAGCATCTTGTAACAAAAAAAGTTTTAAAGGCTAAAGGCGGGATATAAACGTAATGTAGTAGTAGTAGTAGTAATGTAAAATAATAATAGCCAGTGAGTTAGAACTTTCTTGCTTCCTTCTCCGCTGAGGCTGAGGCAAAATATCTGCAATTCTTTGGTACCCACTCTTCAATAAGAGGGTTCTGCAAGATAGGTAGGTGGGTGGCAGGTGGGTTGTGTATTTGTAACAACTTTTCCATGATGACTGCTGACACTGCATCCATAAACAGCCCATCCATAAAGTTATTACTTTGGAGAAGAAAACCTGTTCTTCTGTGCTGCCACACATTTTTAAAACACCTGTGAGAATCCATTAGGTTTTACCAGTTTGGAGTGTATTTCTAGTTATAGATTCCTCTAGCACATTCTTCATCAAAATCTGGAGTATCTGGGTTTTGTAATCCTTTTGCCTAGGGGCCAATTAGCATAGTTACCCTCTGGCATGTTAGTTTTGCAGCCACAGTAGCTGCCAGACTCTGCTGGAATATACTCTATAGTTTTCACGGCAGTTCATTCCATAGGTTTGCACAGGATACTGCTTACATATCTATTAGACTACTTACTTAACGTCTTCTTGACCTCATTAGCTTTAGAAGGATCTTTGTCCTTTCAACATAGAAAACTAGCAAGATGAGAACATTCTTTCTTTCCCTTACACACTGGCATGCTGCACCCTGCCTAGGATTGCCAGGCCTTGAAGCAGGGAGGGAAGCAAAATGCCACCTCTTATTTTTGAGTTTGGACAGGCACACATAGTCTTCCTATACAAACCTCTAGTGATGGAATCAAGAGCCTTGACCAGTCTCACTCTTTCCCCTTAGTGTTCAAGGGAGCCACTTCTCCAAGAAGTAGGACCAGGATCATCAGGTTATTACTCAACCAGCCTTTTCACTGTTAATAGTTCTATGCTTACCTGTATGGAAGGAATTCCTCCCACCACTAGAACTCATTATCAAGAGAGGCTGCAAAACATTTCTCTGGTCCATAAATTGTTAAAGACTCATGACCGAACTGGGCAACTCAAAGTCTACTGGTGGCTGCTAATTTGGATAATTGCATACTAGGATTTAGCATCTTTTATAGCTGTCCTCAGTTCAAGTTACAGATGTACAAATCTTGTTTATGAAGCCCCCGAGGGGCACATATGTTCACACTCATGCACACACCTGCTTCAGAAGAGATCTGCACTCCCTTGCCCTGTGGGATCTGAAACAAGCTCCTGCTGCCAAGGAACTGATGCAGCTGCCAAAGCAACCAAGCCAGCAGGGCAACATTTCAGCCCTCCCCAACAGGCCCAGGCATTGCCTCTAACTCACTGCCACTCCCACACAAAGCACAGGCAAAGGGGGTTGGGCAGCACCATACAAGCTCAACAGTGAAAGGATTGCCCACAGCAGTGAATAATAGAGAGAAAGCAATTCAGAAGGGTTGTGAGCATGAGAAAGGGTTAAAAAAGTCATACACAAAAACCTTTGAATAGTTGGGCATGTTAACCTAGCAAAAACTTGTTAAAAGTAGATATATATTTTCAAACATATAAAAAGTTGTCAAACAGAAGAGAATGACAGTTCACCGAACTGTGCTCAATTCCATCTGTGGTCAAGCAAAAACCTTGCTCTCTCAGCCTCAGCTATTCTCTTCTTTTAATCTGCAATATATGATAATGAAAATTACCAAGGTAACGTATGTTAATTGCTTTGAGCAATTACAAATCTGGATAATAATACTGGGCATTTATATAGCACAAGCATCAATGAGTGTAAACTACCAGAAAAGATTTAAACTGAAATTTAGGATAAGCTTCAGACTTAATGGCAGCCATTGAACAGGTTGCCTAGAAAGGTTGTGGAATCTTTCCTTGAAGATTTTCTTAGCACAGACTGGGCACATGTCTGTTAAAATGGTTTAATGCAGCCAAAGTTAAACTAGGTGACCTGAAATATGCATCCAGGTCTACCAATCTGGATGGAATCATTTTATTGTCAGGGTTCACAAGAGTCTCCTCTCTTATTGTGTCTTCCCTTTTTCCTGTGATCAATTAATATTTATTCCGGGCCAAATATTTTTTGGAAGGGGATGAGGTGCAGATGTCTCCGGCATAATGAAACAAGTTTCTTTACTTTGCTTAGTTGTGCCATTTTCTACTAGCCATACATTTAACATTAAGATCCTCAAACTTCTACAGAAGAGTCATGCATTATGGAATCCTGCTGATCTCTAAGATTTCCTCACTGATGAAACCATTTTATTTATTTATTTAGAAAATTTCTATGCCACCGCATTCGCCGAAGCCTCGGGGCGGCTCACAAAACACCAATTAAAATATAATACACTAAAAATATAAAACGAATTAACAATATAAAATAAGTCATTTCCTAGAGAACTGTTTTGTCACAGTCAGGGTTTCACAAATTATATTTTAGGGCAACACTAAAATTATTTAAATGTGCACATAAAGTCTCGATGCAACAAGCACATGCTTGCAAATACCTGTTCCATACAGGTAGGTTCACTGAGCATACACTATGGCAAATTCTGTGTAATGTGTAAAATGGCACCAATTGCTATAACGGAGGAAAGGTTCTCCTCAACTCATGCTAGTTAGTCAAACTGATTATAAATCCTGCCAAAAGTAAGAGGACAATGTATACAAGTGGGTGCATATGTATCTTTTCCAGCAATGTGTGGCTTAGTTTATTTTCCTCAATCATTTGTAGTGCATTACTTTCTCAAAATATGGAATGTGTAAATTGGTATACAGAAGCTGATGCATGTGGATGCTTTTACCTTTCACTATGGAGGTTGAATCTGTTGGCCTCCTAACACTATGAATATTATAGACTTCATATCATTATGTACATCAGCTCTCATGAAGGAAATTGAACATCTGCCTAGTTTATAGTTACTACCCAAGTCCACACACATTTATTCAAGAAGCAGTCTTAGTTACATGGTCACCTGTGGCCTATTCTTTCTTGCCCCAAGAGGAACACTGAATTTATACATGTGGAAGCCTCAGCTGCCATCATTTTCTCCCCAAGGTATCACCTAACCATCTGCTGCCAAGTTTTAGAAAGTCTGCTAAGTCTTTTAAAACATTCTGTTTACAGAAAATGCTATAGAATATTTTAAAAAGTCATTCTTTTTTTAAAAAAAGTCTTTAAATATATTGTCCTTCCTGGTTCCTTCCAAGTTACAAAATCACAGGGCTGCAAGTGAACTTTATTTCAAATAGTCTGCTTCCTCCTATGTAGAATTACAAACACAAAAATACCATCTTAAGACAGCATCTGAAATGGCACAAATGGTGCTGCTATTGTAATACTATTTGTAAAATGGTGGCTAGAGGGAAAGCAAGATTGATCTAAAGGGCAAAAAAAAGAAAAAGAAAAAAAAAGGTT